TTGTGAAACTATTTATAAGATTCGCAGTTTTATGTACACTTAAACCCTTTCCAGTGCATAGCCAAAAAAAGGAGTATTCCAGGAAATGAAGTGACACAAATAGCAAACGAAGGGTCAACCTGGAGATGAATTTACCTTTCTACCCGTCACTACAAACCTTCCAGTCAAGATATTGCTTCTTTCCTGGTTTCATGTGTCGTTCCTTGAGTCGTCAGTTCTTTCCAGTTTGAGCATTAGACGGACAAAGTTCCCAGTTTTAAAACTTTATCAAATTACACTTGCATCAGCAACAATGGTCATCGTTACCGTGCCGTCAGGTAAATCTGTCAGAATCAAATGTGCAAATTTAATCAAAATTGGAAATTATATTCGTGTAATTATCTGCATTCCAGGTTTAACCAAACGTCACACCACTCCTCCGCCCGAAAAAATTGTCGACGACGAGCTCAGGGACCAAGTATTAAATAATCCACTGGTAAGTAATGCATATTTATTTACATAATTTGAAATTTTAGAATATATTTTACCCATTCGAGTAGAAATTGTGTTAGCAGAGTATGTATTTTCAAAAATTGGCATGAAATTTTAGATGTTCGTCATTATGTATGTATTCGCCTGACATTAATTTTTCTCATTTTTTCCCAGATCCTCACCAAGATATTGGGATACTCGTCTCAAAATGACGCTAAAACCCAACGGCTCGTTTGCTCCACGTGGAACTCGGTAATTCTTTCCCTCCCCACCCCAAAACTTAACCTTGTCGTGAATCAGAGTAACACAGGAGGATGTTGCGACTCTCAGATTTTCGAAAAATTTTCGGCCACCATGGACCCCGATTTAGCACGGTGGATAAGTGTCACCACGTCAAGGGAAAAAACATGCACGTGCAATCCAACCCCAGCCCCCGACGAAGAATCTCAAATTACTCACTTTCAATTTCGAAATAGCGTCGGACTATCCAATTTCCGTTTTTGTGGTGAAAATTATGACGAGATCGTGAAATTTGTCTCCTTAAAGATCAGTACCCAGTCAACCCCACAATTTCATAGCGTTCTTCGTGACCATTTCCCAAACATCGGAGGCGTATCAGTTATCGGTTTATGTGACGAAAACGAGCTTGAAGTCGAACAAATTTCCGATTTTCTAGTAATGTCCCCCATCCCAAAAAGGTCCAAGCTGGAAACATTAATGTTCAGATCTCGCGAATATACCGACTCGTCCAATCTATTAAATTCCATGCTTCAGCTTCTCGTCACATCGGCACCAAACCTTAAAAAACTTTACCTCCAAATGCACAATTTTCCAGATCTTAGTCGAAACCGTAAGTTAGAATCGTTTTCATATTGTACTATAATTCAGCCCAGCCAAATCTATGGCTATAGTTTGAGTGGCTTGTCAAATTTATTGAAGCAAGTCGCCATAAATTTGAGGCACCTCAAACTCAATCTGTACCATGGTAGGAAAGGTTTAACTTGGGTTCCTAATGGCGATATGGGTTTCAATATGCCAAAATTCGGTAATTTGGTCACTTTTAAGACCAATTTTGTCCACATTTTTCCTTGTGGGGATTACATGGAAAAAGTTGTTGGAGATAAGTTGGAAACCTTGCAATTTTGTAAGGGTCTCGGTAAAGCGGGCGATGTGCAGACCTTGTTGGAAAATATGGCAGAATTTAAACCTTATTTGAATAATCCAGTGAAGTCAATGAGGTGTTTGTTTGTAGACGGGGTTCGTGATGAGAGGGTTCTTGATAAGATACAAGTTATATTCCCGTCGCTAAAAATAGTGCGACTCTCGTACAAACATTTTGGGGTTTAGTTCTTATTTTTTTGAATTTTGATTTGAATTATTTTGCGGGTGGGAGCAAGAATTTAGTTTAACTGAAGTTTTTCTACGTCTTAATTTAGGATACGACATTACCATTTTTCACAAATTTATCATAATAAAGTGTGTAATAAATATATGTATTTAATTGGATAAAACATGTTCATCGGAAAGTAATATCGACATTTGTAAATAGATACATATTCATACATATGTATGTACATATAATTAAGTGAATGTTACAAATAAGTATTGAATTGTACTCAAATAGATTGCATTTAGTATATTTACATAATTGTCTAGTTTAATACTTCGTAATTTTGTTGTTCAAATTTAAAAAAAATTGTACTAAATATTTACCGAATCATGAAAACGACTCCACATTAAGCTATTTATCGTATAAAGTTGTAATAGTTAATGATCTGTTTAATTTAACGAATAAAGATTTTACACAAATTAGAAACGTTCAATCTTATTTCATACAAGATGGACCATTTTAACAAAGGCTGCACTTGTATAATTTTATTTTCATACATATTTTAAAGCAGATACAAAAGGCGTTAGGACATGGTTTTGACGAATTCGCGGATGAATATCTCTGGCGGGGAGTTGAATTTTGAACTGATTTTTTGTAGGCTGTAAGATCATACTCTCAGAAAGATATGTTTAAAATTTTAGGGCGATAGCTTCAAAAATGCCCCCTCCAGTGCCCCCAGAGTTGGAAGGAGCCAAAAAACACTTTCCAAACTGAATTACTCATATAGCATGATAACCTAAGAGGTCAGAGGTGAATGATTGTTAATATTACAACCCTAGATAATCATTGCATGTAATAATAAAATAATCCACAATGAATTACATAACGTTGGGCCTCCATCGTCGCTGATACTTTTCCATGAAAAGTGATAAATCGGACCGTGCACCGGGAAATTGACCTGCTGACCTTGAAAACGGACAGACTGGGTCAAATGAAGATTGAGGGTAAAGCTGGAAGTGTCCTAAGTAATATTAAAACAAACAGTCAAGATTTTGTGTAAACAGTTTTAGAGAAGGACCCGAGTTAATCAGCTGTCGCGGAATCCTAAAAAACTCGTGAACTTATTTGGAAAATTAATGGTAAAATTTTTTCGAAAATAAATTTTAATAATCTTTTTGTGTCCCCTACTGCAGAACTATTTTATCTACAAGGTACAAGTGCCAAAATAATAAAATTATTGCGTTTTGGTTAGTTAAATTATTTCTGAAGTTCGACATCGAAAACGACGGGAACTTTTCCAAAAATTTTATAAGGTCTGATGAAAACTCAGTCCGTGGGGTATAACCACTTATCAAAATTTTGTCAAAAGTACTTACAGTGCAATATACTATATGTACCTTGGATAAAAACCACTTTAGGGATTTTTAGCATCAAAGTCGTAAAATGTGGGGGCCTTAAAAGTGGAAGAGTTGCGTTAAAGAGCGCATTCCATTAGGACAAGTATGAAATTAGACTGCAAAACGGACTTAAAAGATAAGCATAAGGCAAAAGTGGTTTTATATAGTGAAAAGCATGCTAAGTCCATTGATAATAGTCGCAAAGACGATTTTTGCACCAGGACCTCAGAAAAAAATATTTTGTTCAACGCCATTTTATAAGAACACTGGTTTGGAAAACTAAAAAATGACACCTCTCCAAATTTGACCTTGCCTCATTTCGCAGAGTACACAAAATCGGAAGCCAGATATGCTTACCTATAGTTTGAGACATGGGCTTTCAAATAAAAAAAGTTAGAAATCTTTACGACTAAAAACCATCCCGCAATTAAGGTATGAATTCGTCAAAACCATGTCCTAACGCCTTTTGTATTCATATTTCATAATTACTACATATCTACGTGTAGACTATTACATACATACAATTCTCATTCTTCACGCATTTACGCTACTTCATCATCCGACCATGCATACATACATTCTAGAATTTCCAACAAATATTAGCATGAATAATAAACCCTCCAAACGAATATAAAAAAGTAGCGTCAGAGTGATCCAAGTTTTCCTTTAAAATTATCCTATATCCCATGACAATTATGTATCTTCGACCCTTGACCTTGATCTCAAGGTCATGAGGTCAGAAATATTAACGTTCTTGAAATCGCCTTAAAATTTCCTTTAAAATGACACCCCATATGACAATTGTGTATTTTTTTACCTTTAACCTCGTCGTCAAGGTCATGAGGTCAAAACTACTAACATATTTGAAATCTCCGCAAATTTCCTTTAAAATGACACCCCGCATGAAAATTAACGTCCAATTTAATTTCGACCACACCCCCTGGCGCCGTTGGGTGTGGTCCGATTGACCCAATTTCCGAACTCGACCGAGAACTAAAAATTAGAAGCAGAATGGCGAAAATGGGGTCTGATTATGTTGACTCGTTCTGGAGATATCCTGCTTACGGACAGACGGACGGACGGACAGAGAGACGGACGGACGGACAAAACGATCACAATAAGTAGCTGACGCTACTTAATAATGGAGATACGCCGAGATACCTCAAATGCAATTGAGTCTTTACATATGTAGGTTACATAAAAACACCAGAATAATACTCACATAATTATGATTGTCTATATATAAATAAGTAGCTGTAAAAAGTTTGCAATGATTAAAAAGCCACACTGCGCCAACTTGTCTATTCCAACGGGCATTCGTAAATACATGCATATTTGCATACACACATACATACATATAGATAAGTACATAGCATAAGTACTTTGTTATTCTGCGTAGAACCATACACAATTTAATAATAAGTTACTGGACCATGTAAGTATGTACATAAATAAGTATGTATATACATACATACATATGTACTAACCCAAATAAAGTTTACAGCGTGGACGATTTTTTCCTTAAAATTCTAGGAGTTTCTTCAAATTTCATGTTTCTATATCGCAATATTGTCTATACATGCTTACATAGAAAACATTTAAACACTTTACATATAAAAAACAACGGAATTGTGTTCTATAATATGTAGTACAAAATTTTTAAGAATTTTTTTCAGAGAAAAAGTTAATCCTCATTCATGTGCCCATACATATGTAAATAAGATGGAAATGTTTATTTCTCGTTATGCTATTTCTGACCTGGAAACCTTACTTTACTCTTAAGTTAGTATTTAGATGACCATTGCAACCCATGCATATAAAATATCAAACCTGACCCAAAATTAGAATCATTCGATCTTTATTATCTCATACTCACCTGGCCGAAATAAAACATGTCCAATACATTTTTATTGTTTATCCGACAAAGTTAACTTACATATTTGACGAACAAATTCTGCCAACGCACAATCCGAAAATTTGCAAATTTTAACTAAATACCAACTATTACAAGGAAAAGTACGTAACCAATTGCAATAAATCAGTCTCAAAAACACTCCAAAATAAATTTAGCAGAAATGGAACAATCGCATAACATCACTTTCGACCAAATTAAGAAAGCCGGAATTTTAAGGTAATTAGTTTGTCACATGGTGCAACATTTTTCTTTCACTTCTTGTTCCGCTTAATGTACTTAAGCAAACAACTACCTACATACCTTGTAAATAATTAAGTATTGAAAATTGAGTACTGGTAATTCGAAAATATCTATCTACAAATTCCTTACTTCATAAGATTTACATGCATACATTGTAAGAAATTTTATCGCCGGATTATCACTGACCGGTGTGACTTAATGATAATAATAATCGCTCGGTTACAGCGGAATCGCCATGTGAAAACATCCATCTCTAGCTCGGTAACCGTCTATCACCAAGCGGACGCATACTACCACCGAAATGGGAACAACTCCCATAACCAGATCCCATCTAAGCATGATGGCAAAAATGCAAACAGTTTTCCATATTTTTATACATATTTTGAAGATTTTTCGTACATATTCTCCCGTATATTTCGAGTATTTTTCTAAATATAAATATTTAAGTAGATCTTTCGAAGTTTTTTATGTATATAAAAATATTTTTCTTCATTTAGGTTTCCTCAAAATTATATTTTATAAATATAGGAGAAAATTTAAGTTGAAAAACATGTGCATATTTTCTGGTTTTTTAAGCACATACATATTCTGCGAAATTTACATACATACATATCCGCCCTCTGATAATTATTAGTTTGTCATATTATTGCAGATCCCCTTTTACCGCAAAGGTTAACCTTATCGAGGAGAAGCGTCTCACCGACGCACCGTACCTCAAACTAATGCTCACGCAGGATGAGGGGGCAAACATTATCGTCGTAATGGCCATGGCGTATGAAAAGGCAAAAATTACATATGAGGTGAGAAACAAATGAGAAAATTTTTAAGATACGAATTTTGGAGTCAAGTTTTTTTGAAGTAATTAAAATAATTGTTACAAATTTTGTAAGACCGGAAAACAATACCAATTCGATTCTGGCATGTTTCGAGTCCGTGCGAAGAATCAAAATTACCGATCCTGGTCCACCTTTAATTTCGACTTGTGGTTCCTCCGTGATGAGACAGCATATCGAAAAGAGCTATCATCTCAACGAAGCGTTAGATCCAGTAAAATTGCCGATAAGCTTTTCAATTTTAATTTTGCAACTTGTTAGTATAATATCAATTAAAAATTATATTTAATTGCAAAATTGCAGATTTTTCGGCATCCCATCGCCCCACACAAGTATTGCAACCCACAACGAGTGCCAATGCTGATAATAATTGGCGAAGTTGAAGTACTTGCAGAGTAAATTCAATAGTTAAATTTAAATTAAATTATTTATCTACTTATGACTTAATAACTTAGAATACCAAATGATTTAAATATTTTAACGACGTGTGGTTCATTTTTAATGGTTGGGTTGACGCCATATTATTTAGTATTAATGTTTTAGACATGTAAATACATAGTTAGTTAATATCTTATGCATAAATATTTATATGATATATACATACATAATTGTAGACTCACATATTTAGTTTTAAATTACTGCAAAGAAAAAACACAATTATAAAATAAAATGATAAAGCGTTACGGGACAATTCTCTAGAATAGATTATATCTGTTCATATAGATAAGTATTAAACAACATTATTTTTTCTGAGTTGTAATGAAGTAGCATGCAGTAACACTAACCAATAAAATTTCGACAGTAGCCGAATTTCAAAACACGCCTAAATATAACACGTTTTCGACCTACATATCTATTTTACATATTGCAAGCAATGCGTCTCCAGTATAAGATAGGATACATAAATATTTAGTTATACAATGGGTGTACTTACGACAATATCATATTTCAAATTGCAATTTGTTCAGCAAACGTTTGCGAACTAGTTTTGCATAATAAAAATGTGTCCATTTGGTGAGTACATTTGCGAAAAAAACACAATGGGTTTCCCGTAAAAAATGTTTTCGACATTTCACAAAACTTGGTGATACTCTCCATCCACGCAGGATTGAACTTTTACAGAAATGGATAATTCTGGGAAACTACGCCACTGCCAGTCTCAAAGTTCCCCACCAGTGTTATTTGAGAGAATTTGAGACTGGCAGTGGCGTAGTTTCTCAGAATTATCCATTTCTGTAAAAGTGCAATCCTACGTGGATGAAGAGTATGTATGTATTTTGATATGCTTGATTTTCGAGTAGGTTGTCATGAGGCAGACGAACATTTAAAATACGCTTGCAGATATGTAAGCGATGATGTATGAAATATAAATTTAATTATCTCATTGTCATGTTACGCAAATGATTTCATAGTTTTCATTGCAGTGTTTTGTAAATTTGCGATAATTATACTGCTTTAATTTCCCTCATAATACATACGTATTTAGATGTATGCAGCTTGGTTGTGAACTTTTGCAACTTTAAGACGTAATGGGACTCGACCAACATATATTTGCTTTGATAACTCATGAAGGATAAGATGTGCATATTTGCATTTATATACTTGTAAGTAGTGCAGAAATTGATGAATTTATTGAAGGACGGAATCAGAAATAAAGAGTTAGACAAAAGTATTTAATTTTGTTACATTAAAAAAGATCATGAAGGAGGCAGGTTATATATATGTATATACATAAATTAAGTTAATAGTCTACTGGCCGACGGTGCATCCAGCATCCTTTGGATAATCACACACATTTATTGTAGGGTTGAAGTGGAGATCGGCGGGACAATCATGGTAGTATGGAACCCAGTTGCTGCATTGACAGAACCCCCCACAGATCGAAGCAGGTCGATACTGATCCTCTCGATCAGCTGGGCAGACGACGTCGTTACAATTTCCCTTAGGTGCAGATGTCGTTGGTGCTTCTGTAGGTGGATTAGGTACGACTTCCTCGCTGGATTCACTGGATTCCACAGGTGCTTCAGTTGGTGGATCGGTTACGACTTCCTCACTGGATTCCACAGATTCTTCGACAGGCGCTTCGGTTGGTGGATCGGTTACGACTTCCTCACTGGATTCCACAGATTCTTCGACAGGCGCTTCGGTTGGTGGATCAGTTACGACTTCCTCACTGGATTCCACGGGTTCTTCGATAGGCGCGTCGGTTACTTCTTCGCTGGATTCTACGGGCTCTTCGATGGGCGTTTCGGTTACTTCTTCGCTGGATTCTACGGGCTCTTCGATGGGCGTTTCCGTTACTTCTTCGCTGGATTCCACGGGCTCTTCGATGGGCGTTTCGGTTACTTCTTCGCTGGATTCTACGGGCTCTTCGATGGGCGTTTCCGTAACTTCTTCGCTCGATTCCACGGGCTCTTCGATGGGCGTTTCGGTTACTTCTTCGCTGGATTCTACAGGTTCTTCGATGGGCACGTCGGTTACTTCTTCGCTGGATTCTACAGGTTCTTCGATGGGCGCGTCAGTTACTTCTTCACTGGATTCCACAGGTTCTTCAACGGGTGCTTCAGTTGTTGGCACCACTTCTTCAGAGCTTTCTGGAACTGGGACTTCCTCTTCCGACGATTGGCCGACTGTGCATCCAGCATCTTCTGGCCAATCACAAACGTTTATTGTAGGGTTGAAGTGGAGATCGTCGGGGCAGGCATGATAGTGTGGAACGTAGTTACTGCATTGACAGAACCCGTTACAGGTGTTTGGAGCAGGGAAATACTGAACCTCTCGATCTTCCGGGCAGACCACGCTGGCGCATTGATTGGGTTTTGGTGGATCGGTTACAACTTCCTCGCTGGATTCGACAGATTCTTCGACAGGTGCTTCTGTGGGTGGATCGGTGACGACTTCCTCACTGGATTCACTTGACTCCACTGGTTCTTCGACGGGAGTCTCGGTTGGTGGTTCAGTAACTTCTTCGCTGGATTCTACAGGTTCTTCGACAGGAGTCTCGGTTGGTGGTTCAGTAACTTCTTCGCTGGATTCCACTGGTTCTTCCACTGGAGTCTCGGTTGGTGGCTCAGTAACTTCTTCGCTTGATTCACTGGATTCTACAGGTTCTTCGACAGGCTCTTCGACTGGTGAATCAGTTACAACTTCTTCACTGGATTCGACAGGTTCTTCCACTGGTGTTTCCGTTGGAGCGTCAGTTACAACTTCTTCACTGGATTCGCTGGATTCCACAGGTTCTTCGACAGGCGCTTCCGTTGGTGGATCGGTAACGACTTCTTCGCTGGATTCGACTGATTCTTCAACGGGTGCCTCAGTTGTTGGAACAGGAACCTCTTCTTCAGAGCTTTCAGACACTGGTACTTCCTCTTCGGAAGACTGTTCGGCTGTGCATCCAGCATCTCCTGGCCAATCACAAACGTTTATTGTAGGGTTGAAGTGGAGGCCGGGTGGGCAGGCATGGAAGTATGGAACCCAATTGCTGCATTGACAGAAACCGGCACAGTTGTTTGGAGCCGGCCGATACTGATCTTCCCGATCTTCTGGGCAGACTATGCCTTCGCATTCGTTCACCTCGGGTTCCTCTGGAACTGTACCACACTTGGGTTTACCCACGCAGTGATAAGCAGATGGCCAATCGCAAACTGGTCCTGGGCGGACATTAGGGTTGAAAACGGTCCCCTCGGAACAGTTCTGGTAGTGCTTGACCCCCCAAACGCATTGGATGAACCCATCGCACCTGTCTGGATCCACGAGGTATTGACCGTGCTCGGTACAGGTTGTGGGGCAAGAGTCGTCTTCCCCAGATTCTTCTGAGACGGGTGGAACCACTTCTTCAGAACTCTCAGGCGCTGGTGCAACTTCTTCAGATGAAGGCTTCTCTTCTGAGACAGGTGCATCAGTTGGAGCTGGAACAACTTCCTCGGAACTGGCTGGGGCTTCCTCAGAACTCTCCGGAGCTGGAGCTACTTCTTCGGATGAGGGTTTTTCCTCAGAGACAGGCGCGTCGGTTGGAGCTGGAACAACTTCCTCCGAGCTTGCTGGGGCTTCCTCAGAACTCTCTGGGGCTTCCTCAGAACTCTCTGGGGCTGGAGCTACTTCTTCGGATGAGGGTTTTTCCTCAGAGACAGGCGCGTCGGTTGGAGCTGGAACAACTTCCTCCGAGCTTGCTGGGGCTTCCTCAGAACTCTCTGGGGCTGGAGCTACTTCTTCGGATGAGGGTTTTTCTTCCGAAACGGGTGCATCAGTTGGAGCTGGAACAACTTCCTCGGAACTGGCTGGGGCCTCTTCCGAACTTACGGGGGCTGGTGCAACTTCCTCGGACGAAGGCTTCTCTTCCGAGACAGGTGCGTCAGTTGGAGCAGGAACCACTTCCTCAGAGCTTGCTGGAGCTTCCTCGGAACTTTCCGGGACTGGAACCTCAGCGGATCCAGAATCGGACCCGGATCCAGACTCATCCCCACAATCCCCGATTGGGCGATTGTTTCCAGCCTTGACACATTTCTGGCATTCTTCCTTAAACCACTCTCCTCCTGGACATCTCTTCAACTCGAGACCTTTACCGGTACATTCGTAATACCTCTGAGGATTTCGTTCGTGAGGATATAACTTTCCAACATCTGCTTTTTTACACTGATAGTTTGCATCTCCGGGACGACCTGGTAATCAAAATTAAATTTTAAAAAATTAAGCCAAATAAGCCAAAATTAGAAACATATTTTGCAATAATTTTTAAAAATACGTACCCGAAACGGATACTGCTACGGCCAAAAGGCACGAAATCACAAGAAAAAGTTTCATATTTGTTAGGATCCAAGTCGCAATTAAACTTGTACTTGCGTCTTTACAGTGGAACCTCGGTGGCAAAACTGGTAATCCAGGCAAACGAGGTATGGCTATTTAAGCAAGTAAAAAAACACGTAATCTGCTTGATCCTTCTACAAATCAGTTTACCAAACGCTTAACAACTTAATACCTGGACGATCATAACGGCGGAGTTTACCCAGCCAGCTAATCCTTCACCTACGTCGGTAAAGTTTATGCAACGCTGGTAATTTGTAATGCTATTCACATTGAAGTGGCCATGATATTGAACTTTGATTTTGGAAATAATTGAGTTATATTTACATATGCAACATCCAGGGTTCATATGTAACATTCCACGATTGTGTGGCTTATCTAAATTGATAATCCGCACAGCTTAACTAATTTATTACGGGTTGATTCTCCGAAGCAAAATGTTTTGAAGCTATGGTAAACGTGCTTTGATTTGATTTTAAACCAATGATCTGCAAAGATTGATCTCTTAAGCCACTAATAAAATTTGGTAGGCATCCACGTGAAAATTACGTCACGAAGTGTGGTCAAGCTATGTATCGCGTAACAGGATTTTTCCTTGTTATAGGTAAGTCAAATTATATTACACTATTATTTGTTGATAAAATATGTATTGTGAAGGTGGAGCTTTTACCCAATTTAAATGATGCGTGGACAGAGGGAAATTCCCGTGTTTAAGTTTGAAATTGACGTTGACTGAAGAGCCAAAGTTATTTTAACGCTCGTCAATCTTATCGATGTCGTAAATTTGTTTAATAAATAATAAATCACGGCGAAATGATTCAGTGGCAAATTTGTACAGTTATATGGTCATGGTGCGTGTTTTGTTTGAAAGGAATGGTCTCATTTGCGTCATACTTTTATGATTTAATATATGTACATACGTATGAGGTAAGTAATGTACAGCATACCAAAGGATGCGCGATCTGGAAACGTGATTTTTCAATTTTTTTAACGTCAGGAAGATGCAAGAATTTTCCAGATTACGTCAGAATGAAGACGTATTAATGTGCAAGGTTTTAAATTGTGTGAACAGATTCTAAGGCTTAGAATACGGATCGAAATTTTTGCAAGTTGAGGTTCTGCAAAATTTGTCAAAATTGCAATATTTTTATGAATGAACAGAATGTATTCTTATAATTCTGCCCAATTGGAGTTGCTTATGTATGATATTTGTGATAAACTAATTTGCATTTATGTACATAACTATGCAGAATGACATGAAATTCGAGATATGGAAATTCCATTTTTCTTCCTGAGGCGAATTTCCCATTTCCCTTTCCTCCGGTGGTGATTATTCTCTTATGACTCTATTTTTAATTCTTCAAATGTGCAAATACCATATAGGTACGCTAGTCCTCAATGTATGTAAGTTAATATAAATATGCATGTATGTAGTTATGTATGTGCAGACAAAGTTACACGTATGTATTCCACCTGCAATTGTGCAGACAATCAAAGTAATTGCGTATTTGGAACAAAATAAAAAATTGTAGATAATAAAATGACGTGTAAATAAAAATAATACTGATTAAAATTTAAAATGGATTATTATTTACAAAGTTGTTTATTTGAACTGGATTTTCGCAACTAATTCTTTAGCTTACGTCTAATAAACAGTTCATTTGATGAACTGCAGGGCATCTGCACCCTTCTCGCATACAGTTAAATAAGATAAGTACATATGTACGCTGGTCTAAGGATAAGATGCATGCGCACATATGTATGTATCTTTGCATGCATGCAAATACAATGTATACAAATGCATACGCTTACGTTAAAATGTTACCCCTACAATAGTACAGAATACACATTCTCATTTAATTTGATCGTTTTGGCGATGCGAGTCTGACATTGAACTGGATCATGACAAAGAAATATGTGAACACGGTGCTCACAACCTGTGCAGAAATAAAGAATTAGTTACATATTCATATCTCCATAGATAAGTATCCACACTTATCTGCATACGCCAAAAAGCCAATCATACCGTCACAATCAGATGGAACGTTATGGTGAAAGATTGTGCCTGCAAGCCAAGTGGGTTCTTATCCATCTCGTGCAGAAATATGGTCACTTCCGCCGTCTTCAAACTACCCCCACTAAATCGGTGCATATTTTCATACAGGAAACTCCCAGTTTTTTGCATCTAACAAATAACCCCCACGTTAATTCATTACTCGTGCATAGCGGTGACAATTATTGGTCACACCCACCTTGACATATCCGGACGCAGCAAGGCCTAGGGACGTGGCAAATACCACGACCGAGATGGAAAGCAGCAGCGTGGAGTGCAAGTCGCCATCCTCGACGAGGATGAGGAGATAATTGCTGAACGAGATTAAGCCAAGGATCAAGTAGAGCAGCATGGGTGTGGAGGCCACCTTATTCACCGCACCCACTGCCACCCTCAACCGACCGTAATTCTCCACCAGCTGCAATACTTATCAGTTACAGATCTTGGAGGCAACTTGAGACATACATATTTACCTTTTCCCAACATAATTCTTCCCCCTCTTGGCCAACTCGTTGCAAAAAGTCCCTCCAACCCGTCCCCAGCTTGTGGATGACGGAACAGTAGACGACATTGAGACCGAGGACGCTGAACATGGCCATCACCCCGAAAAAGAAACCCATCACGGAGGTGAAAAAGGTAAGCACGAATCGCATCACGCCATCGTCCATGACGGAGAAGATGTAGTTTCGGAGATGGGAGCTGGCCGTGGTTTCAGAGTTGGTCGTTTTGTTGACGTCGTTATCATTGTTTGTATGGCCCATTGCAAGTTTAAAGTAATGCGTGAGTGCTTTCACTTGATCGGCGATGGGGTCGCCAAGACAGAAAAGGCAGAGCAGAAGTACGGTCAAGCTCTCCTGCAAATAGATTAGTGCCATAATAATTGGCTAGAACAATGCTCCATATATTTAGTAAAATGGGCCCCCACCAGGTTTAGGACATTTTTGGTCATCATAATTACATAACCTCATTTCACGCCCAAATTTCATGTATGGAAATCGACCTGACGAAAATTTATATCAATTTGTCTTAACACAGCACGTGCCTAATTTCATAGAGTGATTACCTCTTTTGAAGTTTTGACAAATTCTTGTAGAAAATATTGTGCAAGAATTTTTTTGCACTTAATTTTCAGCAGGTCAATCTTCGTGGGTGCTTAAGCATTAAGGGGTAATTACTAAGCGCCAAATCCGCCCCTCCCATTCTAATAATTTCTAACCATGGATGCCTTATTACCACACATATGTACATTTCGTCATTACTGATTTCACAACCCACCTTACTACAAATCTGGGTGACCCATTTGTTGACCTTTCTCTTCCCACTGATTGAATGAGAGTAGGAAATGTCTCCGAGGGCGGTGCAGCATCTGAGAAAGTCCTCGCCCTTCATCCAGATGGTATAAGTGAATATCACCACTGTGATGGCCATCGTGGTCTCGGACGCCGCGTCGTAAAGGATGAAAGGGTTGTGACGAATCGACTCTTGTTTTAGCGTCAGAGTGAAAGCGAACCACAGTCTCGAACAGCATTCTACTAAACCCCAAGCGTGGTTCAATATGCACAACGTCTGCAAAGTCATAGTTAACTACATATGTATGTGTATATTTATTATCATGCCTTTAAATTTATATTCGTTACTAATCGGTGCACTGTAGGAATCTGATATACGTAGTCACGTAAGTGGTAATTTCGAGGTATTAAAGTTGCTACCGCTTGGTATTAAAAATTAAAATTATGCAAGTCCATACAAATTTTCTATCGATAAACACTTTAATACCGAGCTATTACTACAACGTATATGTAGCTTATCTATTTAACTTATTATTTAATACCACCACTTTGGTAGAGTGAGAGTCATACATATATGTATGAATACCGCTCAGTATTAATTTAATACTGGATTTCGAAGAGCGTGAAAATTTTTAACTATTTCGGTTTTCGGCGAATATCTTATTTAACCCGATGCTGGTACCGAATTTATTTAATTAAGATGCTAACTCGAAGAACGTGTGCTTCTAAAAACATATTGCTATATCGTACAGATTATAAGTTATGGGGTACCTTTTGAAGGCTTCTACTAACAACGATGAAGGGCCGAGTCCCATCCGGTGTCAGCCTCAACTTGAATGGAATGAGGAGAAAGTAGTAGCCAAAGTTTAGGAGGCTGGGGAAATATTTAAAGGCGTCCGACGTCAACCGATTCTTCGTCGGGGTACAACTTTTGTTGTCACATTTAACAACAATCGTTGTCGTAGGCGTAGCGACGGTGGATCTATTCTGTAATGAATTTATGGGCCTCGTCATAATTCCAGTAAAAAACTGGACGAGGGGCGATACAGTTTTAAATCTGTCTTCCGTTCTTCCATCATGATTAAGCGATAGTGGAAGATACGAGTGAAATTATTTTAATTCATGATATTAGTGAGAATGCATAAATAAAATTTCTTGGACCAACCCATGAAAGTACAAATTTGTATGTACGTAAATATATGTATATGCAGATACCATCAACTCATCATTATTATTAGAAGGCTTTAAGCATTTGGAAATTATTGATTATCATCAATATCGAACATACATGTATTGTACGTATGTATGTTGACGCAAGGTTGTCCAGAAAAGCTGTACATCAGATAAAGATGTATGTATGTATAGAGATATGCAATAAATGACAAAATTAAAAGAAAAAATAGAAGGAGAAATATGAACATATTTATGTACATACATACATACGTACTTATATGTATCTATGTAAATACTTATGTATTGAACCGAGTCTGAATTTCCAATTGCGTGCATGGTTTAAACCAATTGAATATTTGTAAATCTAGATACAAAGCGGTATGATAAAACCAAGTTTAATACTTTAAAAGAATTATTAATATTTATTTCCATATACGCAAAATTGTTTCGAAAATATGTACATTTATTTATTTTTATCAAAATACATAAATATATTGCATTAATTTTAATTCATGTTAAGTATGTCAAACACTAATGTATATATAATGTGACTCACTCATATTTATTTACAAATATTAAAGTGCATATGCATAAATACATATATATAACTTAAAATTAACTAATGTTTAGAATCTAATTAAACTCGTCTCACTTTTCCCAATCCCTTTAATCCTCCCCTTCAAAATTGGTGTAAGTACGGACGATGGCGACACCTCGACAAACTTCCTCACTCCCATTTCATACGCCGTTATCATTGAATCCTTCCACATCACTTCATTCGCCGTCTGTCTCTTCAAATTGAATCGAATATCTTCCTTGTTGATGGCAACTTGACCATCGGCATTCATCACGATGCCCACCTTCGGATACCGGATGGTCAAGTCGTCTATCAATCGTGCGGTAGTTTCTGCCGCGCTGTTCATAAAATGAGTATGAAAGGCCCCCGCCACCCGCAAAAGGCGAGCATCAATCACGCCCAGCTGTTCCTTGAGGGGTTCGCTCATCAATAAATCTACCAGCGCTTTACAATCTTCAATCCTTCCTCCAACCGCGAATTGTGCGTCGCCCAAAAAAGTGGAGAATTTCACGGCGGGAAAGTTATTCTTTAGCCAGGGTTCGAATTTGTCTCTTGTCACGCCAAAGACCGAGACCATCCCGGTTTTCTCAACTGATACTTGCGCTTCCATCGCTCTTCCTCGAAGCTGCACGATCTCGAGGGCATCTTTAAAGTCGATTGCGTCCGCAAAAACTAGGGCGGCAAATTCTCCGACAGAAAGACCTCCTACGACTCGGATGCCATCCAAGATATGGGGCGATTCCGCCTTGAGGTGTGCAATTTGAGCCATGGATCCGACAAAGAGGGCGATTTGGACGAATTCAGTGCTATTGAAGGAATCCGGTTGACCACATCGGGTAAGGATGTCGATCCCAGTGATTGCTTCCGCTTTGGAGAATATATCCATAGCGGCTGGACTATTGAGGGAAGAACACATCCCAACCTTTTGGGATCCTTGACCTGGGAAGAGAATCATCTTCTGGGGCATTCCGAGGTAGCGAGAATCTTCAAGCGGAGTTGAACATAAAGAGGATATCAAGTTGAAGACATGAGCCGTGAAATTTTCCAATGTTGGAGATGCGAATGCCTCCGCTGCTTTCACTTTGACGGAGAAAGCCTCGGAGACCAGCTTGGTCATTTGAACCGTGAGAAGGGAATCTCCTCCGAGATCGCGGAAAATTGAGGATTCTTCAATTTCATCCGTGCCAAGGCAGTCTTCCCAGATTTTGCAGATAATTCGCAATGTTTTGGCAAATGTGATGTCCTCCATGGAAAATGTATCCTCTGCTTTTTCTGCGGAGAAATTATTTTCCTCTTTGGAAATTTTCTGAACCTTAATTTCCGGCATTGGTAAGCATTCCACTCGGGTTCCATTTTTTCGTCCACCACCCGATGCAAAATCTGACATGACTGATATCGCCAATTTTTGCATCATGTCCTCCAATTTGTGTGCCATCTCGGTCAAAGCGTGGAATTCGTTGGTTTTATCTTGCAAAAAATGTACCATGTCTTTGAATGATGCTGGTTCCCTGATTTTCTCCTCCTGCTTGACCGGATTAAGCCAATGTTTATAATTCTTAAAGATAAATTTTGGAAATGCTGGGGCCCTTTTGTAAGTTTCCGGCAGAAATTGTAGCATCTCCCCCTTATCGAGCATCTTCTTCTCCGCGGCACCAATTACAACTACTCCAGAGTGAAGTGCATCCAATTTCTTGACGATTTCATCCCCCGAGTTTGCAGCAATCACGGCAATTTCCACCTTCTTCTCGCCCTCTTTCCCTGTCCTGGTCAGATTCAGAATTTGCGTCGCGCACACGTCACCAAGCGAGACTTGTTTTCCGGTTTGGACATAAAATTTGATATATTTTGAAAATACGTGGCATTGTTCTTCAAATCCGACGCGGTTATTTGGGTCGAGTGGGAGGAGGAAGTGAAATTTGTCGCGACTATTTTGCTCGATTTCTCTATGCCTTGCCTCCAAACTGATGATGGCGTGACAATTAGTCCCCGACAATCCGTACGCACTAACTCCCGCAATGGATTCAAATTTCCTCTCATTTTTATTAACCTGTTTAGACCCCATGTTAAATCTTGTCTGGTCCAAGTATTTGCTGGGTTTCTTTAAATATCGAAATTTTGGAGACTCGTTAAACTCCAGGGAACACATGGCCTTCAGAATCCCCAGAAATCCTGCCACCATGTCGAGATGTCCAAAATTAGGTTTGACCACGCCAATCACTAAAGGCTCTTTTCTCCCGGAAAATACCGTAGTTAAGGCGCACAGCTCAATCTGGTCGCCTAAAATGGTCCCCGTTCCATGCGTTTCTAATAAGTCGACGTCATCAATCGTCACTCCCGCCGCGGTCATGGTATCTTGAATAACTTCAACTTGACTATCCACCGTTGGTGCAGTGATCCCATTACCTCGCCCCACCGAATTGGAGCAACATGCCAGGATCTTACAATAAATTTGATCTCCCGCCCGTTTAGCGTCACTTTCCCGCTTCAGCACGTAGGCGAACACGCCCTCTCCGGACACTGTTCCGTCTGAGGTATCGTCAAATGCGCGGCATTCCGATGTCGGTGAGTGGATGAGATTCGTCCCCATGAGACCATCCTTCGCCGGGTAGAGGTAGATGTTGGCGCCACCTACGACGGCAGCATCGCAGCGATGGTTCTTTAGATCTTTGACGGCTTGTTCGACTACCGCCAAGGCGGCCGAGCATGCCGTGTCGACCACGTAATTTCCGCCTTTCAGATTATACGTGTACGAGAGTCGCGATGGGACGACGGAGCTTTGCCGCCCGACTACAGCCACGCCATCCAGCGCCTGGTCAATGACGCCATACTCGATGTCCGATGCGGTCGCGTACACGGCGATGGACGCGTTGTCAATGGCGCCGAGATCGTACCCAGAATCGAGCAAGGCTTCCGTCCCAACTTCCAGAAACATGCGTTGCTCGGGGCACATGTGTTTCGCTTCGTTTTGCGCGATCTTGAAGAATTCGTGGTCGAAAGAGTCGACCGAAGGGAAGAAGGAGGCCGAGACGGCGGGCGATGTGAAAGGTGTGGTCATTCGGGTGAGGACTTGGTCGGATCGAGAAGGAGGAAAGGGACCAACATGTGATTCCCCGGCAGAGACGGAAGTCCAAAAAGCGGGAATTGTGGAAATATCGCTAGGCAGGCGGAAAGCTACTCCTACGATGCAAATGTGGTCGTCTTCGTCATCATCTTCGTGCTGGGATGGCTTACTTTTTGTCATGGCAGCCTCTTTCGAAACTTTATTAGTATTCAGTTTTTCTGCTAGGAGAGAAAGTGTTGGGGAAGTGAAAAGATCGGCAATCCCAGTAAAATTTTCGACTTTCCCGGTCAGCAAAATATTCGAAAATTTTATCAGCTCTAAAGATGTGAACCCTTGGTCGCGAAGGTTAAGGGTGGTACTGATTGATGCAAGGGCACGTCCAGTCACTTGGGCCAGGCTTTTTACTAAAAATTCTTCCATTGTTTCCTGACTTCTTTTCCTTATCTCCACTTTGCCCCCCATTCTTCCCTGGTATTCTGCTTTGATCATGCTCTTCACCAATTTCTTGTCCACCTTGCCATTCGGAGTTAGTGGGAAGTTTGGCATGGCAAGGATTACCTGTGGAACCATGTAGTAGGGCAGAATATTTCGCAACCTTTCTTGCAATAAGGTCTCAATTCCTGACACTTTGTTAGAAATTTGCACCGCTGCTGCTAGGATGTCGCCTGAAATTATTCAAAATGCATACATAATTATTTTCATTCGACTATGAAATAATTTGCAAATTTGTAATGCTAGTTCAATTTTTTTAAGTATGCATGTACATATTTACATACCTCCACGATTTGCCGCCTCAATTGTCAGAGGGATCACGGCCTCCACATTTTCTGCCACTTGCAAAATCCCCCTCTCAAGTTCGCCTGGATTGATGCGTAATCCCCCCACTTTAATTTGTGACTCGTCCCTCCGTCTGAAGTCGATATTTCCATCGGCCATCCATGCGACGCTGTCTCCCGTCAATATTGTTCTTGTTCCTTCACTCAGCATGAGCATGCTTGCCCCCTCTTCTTCGTCCTGGCCCCCTTTTTGGGCTACCGTGTCCCCAGAAATAGCTAACCTCCCCACACATCCAACCGGTACTGGTAGAAGCGTGACGGAGTCCACGATGCTCACGGGTCCAATTCCTCTCAAGGGACGACCAATTGGGACGTGGCGAGAACTATTTTTCATTTTTCCGACACCGACCTCATATGCAGCCGATTCTATGGTTGCTTCCGTAATTCCGTAGCAGTTGTAGATTTTGGTAGAAACCGGTAACAGTTTTTGAATTGCGGATAAAGTTTTCCATGATAGCGTGTCCCCACCGAGCGAAAGTGTAGTCACACTTGACATAAGACCAGGTTTTTCCTGCAGGGCGAATAGTGCGAATTCAGGTGTCATTTCGACATAGTTGACCCCGTGGGAGGAAATTAGGCTGAAATTTATGTCCAGATTCAAACGTTCGGATGACGATACCATGGCGAGAGATCCATTCGAGCAGAAAAGTGCTTTGGTCAGGTCGAGGATGAAAACGTCAAAGGAAAAAGGGACCCATTGAAGGAGGATGGTTTCCTCGGTCAGGTCGAATTCTTCTCGTGCGGCGAGGATTAAGCTAATTTTGAAAAGGAGAACAATTTAAAATTATGTAGTCTCAAATTTTCAGGTATGTAAATATTCCAAATTTTTTATAATGGGTGCACTCAATTTTGTTGGAAATTTCGAAACTTTTGCTGGAAAATAATGTGATTCTTGTTCTTAAATTTGCAGATGATAATGCTTTAATTTTGCAAGATTATTTCGCAAATTATTTCCAATTAATTTCGAATTTGACGTGAGTAGGCCAAATCGTTAAATTGCTGTGTAGGAAACCTATACTTTCATAATCGAATTAGATTTATTTCCCTTACCGGAAAAGTCCACCATGACTGCAAATCCATTTTTTCGGTGGTCCCGTAGACCCCGAAGTCATCGCCATGTACGCTGGTGTTAACTCCCCTGCCAAATTCTCCCCTAATTTAACTTCATTCCGACTCATCATCAAATCTTCGTATTTCACAATTTCCCACTGATTCGCTTCTTCCTTTAACTGCTCAACTCTCAAATTTGTTACGATTCCGAGATACTTGTCTTTCGCCCCCAACTGATGCAATTTCTCTTGAAGGGACCCATCAATCGGGACGAAATGTCCGCCTACCTTCCAAATTCCCAAGACTGTTGCCACGCAGCTAAAATTTTTCTCCATGACGAGAACAATTGGCAACGAGGAGATATTCTCTTGTCCAAATTTTGCAATCAGATTGGCTCCTACATTTGTAGAAACTTGGTCCAGTTGGGCATACGTGAAGTGTTGGTGTGTCTCATAAATCGCAACTTTGTTTGGATTCAGCCCCACGTTCTTGGCAAAAATCGTCATCAGCGGGGTATAACCTTGTGGGTTTTTAGCCTCGCGAAAAGTGAACGACTTAATCAAGTCCTTCTCCTGTTGGGATATTATGTCCAACTCTTTCAAAGAACCGAGTTCTTCAAGATTTTCCATGATTTTGCAACAATTGATGAAGTTGAGGAGGAAAAAATGTGCAACTTTCTCTTCCAAAACAGATTCCTGCCATGAAAGGGAAATTCGTGTCCCGTTTCCGTTCAAGTCGTCGTAAACTTGCAGTTCAAATGGGACAGATTTTGTAGCTCCCTGCTGACCTGGATTGTAGGAAAATAGGTGGCATACCGTGTCCTCGAAGTGAATTCCCAATTTTTCGAAAAATTCTGGAAATCCAAATTCTTGAAAATTTTTGAAAAATACAATCTCCGTCTTCAAAAAGGCGAAAAATTCGGACACGTTCATGTTCATGTCGAAGGTTGTAACCACAGGGAGGAGGAAAGCTGTATTATTTGCGACTTTGAGGCAAAGTGAAACCTCATTTTGGCCGAGATAGCGACGCAGCGTGATTAAGAAGCTTGAGAGGAAAAATTCTTCTCGGCTGATTTTGAAGAGGTCGGATACCTTTTGGAGATCAAGGTGGACAAGTTGGTCGATTGTTTTAACGGAGGTCTCCCCATTTTTGATGTCTCGGATGTTCAGGAAGGTTTCAAAGTCGGCCGTGTTCTTGAATCGCTGCTCCAGTTCGGATTCCAGTTGGGAAAATGCGACCTTAAATTGCACGTCAGGGTTGGTAATTGCTTGTTGCAGTTGTCTTGGGAGGGAGATGTGGGTACGTTCCATGATTTGTGTAGCTTCCATTTTCTTGTTGGATGGATGAAGATAAGGATCTAGATTGTGATAAGCAATATTTAAGTCAGTTAATTTTTGGATAACGTAACAAAATGTCTAGAAAATATAGAGATAAGTAAATAGTTTTTAAATGTGAATCCTTATAATACTTAATTACTACGAAATTAATTTTATATACCAATAAAGTGTCTGTATTTATAATAAGAATAGTGTATAATATTACCAGATAAGTATGCTATTTTAAAGCAAAAACGTTGAATGATCTTCAAAAATATTCCCAAAGTAATAATCTCAACTCTCCAGTAAAGTAACTTTTGCAACTGCATGAAACAGATCTGCATAAGTTGTTACTTTTATACCTCACGGATTGGAAACGTCACTAATTTAATTAAAATTAAACATGTCATCGTTTATCATTTCATGTCGTAATGAATATGTAATTAATAATGCCGACACCATCAAGTGGTTTTTATCCAATTGAGTCTGTTTTCCAAAATAAAGTGGACATGTTCTTTTATCCAATTAACCAATCCCGAATCCGCCCATCCAATTGAACACTTATTAAAAAATCCATGTCGTCATGAACTCACTGAAACGTCACGGATGAGACCAATGTCACAATGGCAGGCACGCCTCCCATCCGTGATGGCATTAGATAATTTCATGCCATCATCCCCAACGAGTTGAACTTTGCAGTGTGTTTTTATCGAGTGGTTTATTGAAAGGTAAACGCCGCCCACTTATCAGGACATGATTTAATTAACGGCTTACATAGTTAAATAAGTGCAAATTCTCAATCCAATTAATTTCTTATCAAGAGGTTACATACCCATTTTTCCAACCTCGAGCTCATCAACTGACCGATGACATCACGGACTTCGTCATCAAAATGAGATATATGCATACAACACATACTGATATACGCTAATTCTGTAGTTTTTAATAAACACATGTAAAAAATGTCACAAAATGTGTAGTCAGTACTAGGTTTTCACTTTATCACACGGACATTTATCACCACGACATCATTAAATTCAATACAAGTATTCAATTCATTTGAGATACCATATTAATACGTATTTGCATATGCAAATACTCCAAGAGTATTTATTGCATGTACAAAATTAGTGATGTCATGATGTCACAATGCTCGAACAGAACATGAGCCGATATAAACGGTGGCTTTTTCATTAACCAAGTCTCACTTGATATTTGACTACTCCAGAATTATAACTATTTACACATAATGTCGCATTTAACCTTACCCCTCAACTTATTATTCCTCATCTTAACTTTGTATCTTTCCTTTACGGCCGGCGACCTTGATTTCTTCACGCATTCCGATTACCACGCCGACCTGATCGCGACAAACATTTCGATCCCACGTGGCCTATTGATCGACGAAGCAGGTGACATTCTCGTCCTTTCTCGAGGTGCGAGTAGTATAATCGCCCTCCATCAAGCGCAAAATGATGGGTCCACATATTCGCAAACGCTAATCGTCAATGGAACTGGGCTCGGGTTAAATCATGGCATCGAATACAGGAACCAATTCCTGTACGCGTCTAGTGGATCGACAGTTTACCGCTGGCCGTACGTGCCAGGTCAAAGGTCACAGATTGATAACAATTTAAGGGAGACGGTCATTTCAAATATTTCCGTCCCGGATGAGAACAAAGTTAACACGAGGACGCTCATATTTGATGAGGACGACTTGCTCTATGTCACGATCAACTCGGACATTCGGTTGGATAATGACTCCACTCGGTGTCGGATGAGGAGGTTTAATCTGACCGGAGAGAGAGACGAGGGTGGAATTGATTTTGAGACGGGAGAGGTGAATAGCAAATATTTATGCAAATATATGTAATTACGAAAATTATGTAAAAAGTTAAAATTTCGTTTACAAAATCTGTTGTTCAATATTCGCAAATTTTTTTTGCAGATATTCGCCGACGGTCTAAGAAACGAGGTGGGTCTCGCGTTCGACTGTTCCGGTGTGATGTGGGGTGTGGAAAACGCGGGTGGTGCTGACTACTTAATCCGTGACGACTTGGGAGGCTGGATCCATGACTATAATCCAGCCGAGGAAATTAATCGGTTTGATAAGCCGGTTGGTACCCATTACGGTTACCCGTACTGCTTCGGAAGTTACAACTTATCAGGATATCAAGTTGGGATGCAGTTTGCCTGGCCTACCGCGATGGGAGATGGGATCCATAGCGATGAATGGTGCAGGACTCGAGCAAATGTAAGAAAGCAAATAAACCTGTGTATGTACGCATGTCGCATATTTTAGTCCGAATCGGAACTTATGGAATTGGTCAAATGTATACCTATGAGTCCCGTATTTTAAACAAAACCGATTAGTTTGAAATGATATCAAGCGGAAATGGTATCCATTGTAACGATAGTTTTTTTATTGTAAAACTATGTATGCTCTAAGTCAGGCTTTATCAAGTAAATTCCCCTCAGATTTCATCCACTGCTACTCAACGTAATACAATCTACTCTAATAAAGTGTTAGTATGATCCCTGGGTCCGTCTTCGCAATGCAAATTGCCCCATACAGTAGACAAAGAAGGAAGCGGAGCAACCACTGCATGCATGCACTGCACTGCATGAATAAATGAATACATGAACATGTACACCCCACATACATACATCACTCATCAATAGTGGTTATCATGATAAGTGATCGTGATAAACACTATTAATTAATTATTTTAGTTTGAGAAACTCTACCCACAGCGAGTGGCATGTCAATTCGAATGTATTTTTGACGCTGAATCCAACGCCGTCAATGGTTTTGACCTGCGAGGCCCCCGTGACCTCGCCGTGACCGTGGTGTCCAAATCTGGCTTATTCGTGATGTCGCATATCAATTCGAATGTATTTTTGACGCTGAATCCGAATCCGTCAATAGCTTGGCGTTAATTGTAGAAGTTAACGGGGTTTATGGAACTTAACGGGAGCGTGAAGCGTGGGAATTTAAATAGTTAGCTATGCAGTTACTCCCACGCGACGGGAATTTAAGTAATTAGCTATTCAACTACTCCCACAGGGGGGAATCAAATTTTACTGTGACCAGGTTAATTAAAATGCAGTATAACTTGGGCAAACCCTCAGTCTGATGTATGTATGTAGTATGACAAAGTCTCCACTGGGAATTATTTAAAATATAGTATGACGGATTTTTCGCTTTGGGCACACCCCCCACTGGAACTCTAGAACCCGGCCTTGGCCGGGCTATACGCTAGTATGCAAATAAATCCATAAGTGCCAAACCTGTAATGATTACATCAAAGTGCTTATAAAATTTATTCAAATACCGATTCCGAAATTTCTAAGTCAAAATTTCAAGAAAATTTCTCTCAAAATTTTCAGAACGAACCTGCCACTTTCTTCATGCCCGCACACACCGCCCCACTCGACATAGAATTCTACTGTAACGCCTGCGACGACGCTAACCTGCCCAAAGGTGCGTTTCCCTGTTCCTTCAGAAACGCTGCTGTCATTACTTTCCACGGTTCAATGAACATCAGCACCCCGGTCGGGTACATGGTTGCCTTGTACCCGTTCGACCCCACAACCAGAGCACCGACCGGGGAGACCATCACCATCTTGGAGGACATGAGTCAGCACACTGACGCCCTCAGCAAGGAGAGACGCTTCAGACCGGTCAGTGCCGTTTTTCATGGACAAGGACATCTAATCGTTTCAGCCGATACGACCGATCAAATTATCAAAGTGACGTATAATAAGAACAAAAGTGGAAGCGGTTCGGGTCCCAGGGCAACTTTTTATACCCTTATTTTGTGCATGTTGCACAGTTTTGTATTTTATGCGTAATATCTCTTTAATATTTTTGGGAAATTATGCTTCTCTTTGTACATAAATAAATAAATAAACAAGGATGTTAATCAGTAAATTATGGAAAGCGTATGCATGCATTTACATATATAGATTATAACGCTACCTTGGCAAGTAAACTTTATTTATGGCATATTGTATCGTATATTTGGCGTATCAAACATGCAAAGATATTGGCATGCTCGATAAGTTAATAAGGCATTTTACTCACTCGCATAATCAATAACATATTCACCTCCCAATCTCGATAATAAATTGATAATGGTCCCGTTAAATACACCAAAATGTTGTATACACGTAAACATTAAGTATTTGTAGAGTAAAATATTGGGGGCACGAGCTTATTTGTGTGGTTCTACATATTCTGTATCACACACGATATGATAAGTTCACACCAACTTGGATAACACAATTGCTGGTTACTTTTCAATTTCAGTTTGACCACAAACACCAGTTTTACTAACAGCGTCCAATTTCCTAAGGGTCTGACTGAAAATTTAGAATGCCAAAAGATCGTAAGATATACATCGTAATTTGTAAGTCCAGTTGATACATTGGTAATCAGTCATTGATAAATATTTTATTCACATTTTGACCAGTTACTTGCATCAGTGTTGCCATTTTCGTCACGATTTTGGTTACTCGATCAAAATCTGAAACAATTTATAAAATTGGAGATAATGGGATTAACGCGAGGCCGATCGAGTTTCTTTTTAATGGAGGTAAAAAATCTTGCAATTTAGAGAAATAAATTGTATTTATTAAACTGAAGTGAGTATTCACTCCGATATTTGTAATTAAGTTTCTGTAAAATTCGGAAATTTACAAATATTTACACAAACTTACAAAGATTATGGGAGAAAACTAACACAAAAATATATTGAAGACTTGTGCAGGTTACATACATATTTTTACGAGAGTCTTATAATTGACTGTTTAGACAATTTTATAAAAATTTGCACAGTTTGCAAAATAATTGCGAATACTGTAATTATATAAATCCTTATGCCATTTATTACATTGTTTGAATATTTATTTAGAGTCTCGACTAACCGGCGAGCTTGGGGTCTCTCTTCCGTCCGCCATTGGACCCGGTAACCCAGTCGCTTGTACCCCTCCGGACCCATCCACCCAATGCTATTCTTACGGCGACTACGCCAATCTGACCATAACCGACGTTGGCGATTATTGCGCTAACATTGAGTGGACCTCAGTTTTTGCCCGGAGACTCGAGGACTGTTTCAATGTTGGGAGTGACGAATATATCTATGGCGCGAGCGGTGAAAACCAAATGTACTGGCCGATTAATCCCGACGCCAAGAATGAGTCTGCTTACATTACGGGGGGAAGGTTTGGCTGTATTATTGAAAACTACTGGTTGTTCTCGAAAGGAGCAGTGATCCATGCAAATGAAGAAAATCCACTCTTTGTCAGTAAGTTTTATAGCGCTTAATTTAAAAGCATAAACCGTAACGTTTAAATTTCCCACCATACATATTACAGGTTGGAACACGACTCACCCAAATCAGATTTGCCTAATATCCTCAGATATATATCCATATTCTCAGCGTGCCCCGTTATCCCTTCGATACACCGTGTGCGTCGGAGAAAACGTCAAAACCACGCATGTCTCACATTTCCCAAAATTCTACCAGAAACCGTCCTCCCTTCCGGACGAGACGATGCTACTCTATCCATATTTTTCTACTTGGGCTCAATACAAGAGAGATGTCAATCAATCGATCGTAATTGATTTTGCACAACAGATTGTCAGTCGCGGTTTTGAGGCGAGTAGCCACATTCAGATTGACGATAATTGGGAAACTTGTTACGGAGAGGGTGCATTTGATCCGATTAAATTTCCGGATCCGGCAGGTAGGTCATTTATTTTAGATCAATTTTAGATGCATGAATTAATAAAAAAATACTTTTCTTGCTCAGAAATGGTTCGCCAAGTGAAAACTCTCAACTTACGAGTCACGCTTTGGTTCCATCCCTTCATAAATTTTGGTACGTTTATAATTTAGAGGGGTCGCCCCGGGAAGTGTTGATGTGGAATTTTTCTCTAAAAATGGTCAAAAAATGTATCCAAAAATACCAAAATTTGGAATAATATTCTGAATATATCTGTCGTGAGGTATCCGCAAACATAAACTGCTTAGGTTCATTGTCCATCCCATATTTAACGTTTTTCATCACGCCCGCCATTACTGCTTTTTCGGAAGACTTTGCAACTTCATTGAAAATTTTCTGCCATTGTAACCAAAAGTTTCTTGAATTGTCGACTGTTTCTCAAAGCTGGGAGTATTACTTCTTACACATAGCCCACATTTTTTTATTGAGCGAAGATGAGGGATGTTTGTGGGGTTTCCATTTTTCGACGCCAAACTGATTTTTTTTTCGACTTCTTCCTTCATAGTTGTTGGATTGTGTATTAGTCCAACGTCGGTCCAAAAAATTACATTTTATATTTTTTGATACGCATTGATGAAAGGAATCAGACGGTCCATCACACATTTCAGAAAACAAACTTGTGCGTCTCCACAACCCTTCTGAAATGATGGGTCCGAAACATGTCCAAATTTACGGAACGCCAGCCAAACCTAAGATTTTTTGAGAAATTTGGAAAAACATTTTAATTTCTCTTCGGTTCTCAGTTGAGAGGTACATTTGCCATGAAAAAATTTCCTTCCCGAAGTTTCTGTCACGTTTTTGAAGGCGTAGGACTCGTCATGAATGGCCAACTTTTTTGGTGGACTTTTGTTGTAAGGCTTGGGAGGGCTTGCGTTCACCAGTTTTTCTTGACCATCCGTATGCTTTGCTGCAGATTTCTTTGAATACGCTTTGACCCACAACTTATGAGCCTTCACATGATGCGCATAGTCTGGATTAATCTTCGACTTCATGGTCGCAATTGGCACAAACGTGGAGCAGTACTTTCCAAAAATAAATTTAATCGTTTTTCATTTTCAAGGGGTCAATATGATGGTTTTTTCTTGTGGTGCGTATTTGAAGTTGATATTTTCGGATTCGCCATACATTTTTATGTATGTCCTGATTTTTGTACGGCCACACCTCTCTCACAATGGAGGCGCAAACTATGTTCAGCGCAGATAATTTTTTGACCATGTTAGTTTGGAAGACCAAGTCTTTTGAAACAACATTTGGTTTGGCACTTGAGCAGATGCGCAAAATTCGCCACTTTATAGGCGCCGCAAGTTCGCAAAAACGCTTGATTTTTCAATGTACGGTCGAGCGCGAGCTCAGCTTTTTTCCGTCTCTGTCGCTCACTCTCTCACTTCCACGCGAGGGCATTGACCCCGCAACCCTTCATCCGCATTTTTCATCAATAATTCCGAATTGTTATATTTTTAACTATAAATTTCCCCCAATTTCGTAATGTTATAAACAAAATTTATCTTAATAGAAAGTATCAACACTCTGTTGTCAAATAATTTTTATACCTTGTTCAGAAAAGTTTTGACTGTGACGATAAAGACCCTATGCAGACCAGAGGATTGCAGAAATTCTTGTCCACAAATCTTATCAAATTACGAAATTCCGGGTGAATTAATTTCAAAATTTATAGTTAAACATATAACAATTCGGAATTATTGGTGAAAAATGCGGATGATGAAGGATTACGACGTCAATTGTCGTCAATATCTTCGCGTCGGAGCGAGAGAGTGAGCGACAGAGACGGAAAAAATGAGCTCGCGCTCGACCGTGCATTGAAAAATCAAGCATTTTTGCGAACTTACGGCGCCTATAAAGTGGCGAATTTTGCGCATCTGCTCAAGTGCCAAACCAAATGTTGTTTCTAAAGACTTGGTCTTCCAAACTAACATGGTCAAAAAGTTATCTGCGCTGAACATGGTTTGCGCCTCCATTGTCAGTTGAAATTTAGTCAAGCCTTCTTCGAGTCTTTGTCGCTCAGATTTCGGTACTTACAAAAAACTCGGTTCCCGACTTTCTCGCTTTGAAGTTGCGTACGAAATTTGTTTTTCAAGGAAATCTTATGAAATTTTGAGGGTATGGGGTTGAATATATTTGCAATATTATACGAAAAAATAAGATCTCTGAAACCATCGCTTACCACCCTGCTACTAATTTGAAACTCATCAACACTTCCCGGGGCGACCCCTCTATGTTAGGAAAGGTTCGAAAAAAAACTTATCAATCGGGTATTCATTACGAGTTCGCATATTCTCATGGCTGCATAATTCTGAAAAAAATGGCGAACTAATTACAAGTCTTGGAGATGTGCAAGTTCACAAATGCATTTTCAAGCTAAAATTTTTGCAAACTTGTGAACTTGTTTTTTTGCTAACTAACGCGTAATGAATACCCTCAATATAAGTACTTCAGGTAGCTTTTATTCTTAATCTCTCTTAGAATGTGAAATGTTTGTCACCGCCCTGCAAGCCGAGTATTTGGTGAAGGATGGGAAAGGGAAGGCGGGGATATCGTCGTGGTGGGTGGGCGACAACACTGGCTCATTAGACGTCACAAATCCTGCCGCCCTCGCCTGGTGGCTCGGCAGATTGGCACAGCTGGAGGTCACCACTGGCATCGAGGGGTTCAAATTTGACGCTGGAGAGATAACTTACCTCCCATACTCCATTTTATTGACGGGAAATCAGAATCTCGTGCCAAATTTGTACACTACCAAAGCTGTCGAAGCATATGCGGGGTTCGGAAAACTTGTGGAGGCGCGGGTTGGAAGGTTAAATCAGGTAGGAAGGAAAAGCTATGTCAATTTTCGAAGTATTTAAATTCAAAAACATCTTTTCAAATTTTCAAAAATTCGAAAAATTTTGAAACCTAAGGTTTCAAAGGATTATAAACTTGCGATGAAGTTTACTCAACAGATGAATGTAATAATTACTCTGCGTATTTTTTCGAATGAGTCTTTTAAATATGTATGAATGTACATATATACTTACATATTTATACGAAATTTAAATATTCAGAAAATTTGCATGGTTCCCTAAAAACAAGAAAATCAATTTACACCCATGATTCAAATAATACTTACTTCAAAATTTACCCCTATTAAAATCAGGGACTACCAATGTTCTTCCGTATGAATGACAAACGAAGCTTGTGGGGCTACCAGGTCGGTCTCAAGTCGATGATTCCTACCGCTTTACAATTCGGCATAATCGGGTACCCCTTCGTCCTACCCGACATGATTGGTGGCAATGCGTACGACGAGGGCTGGCCTTCAAAGGAATTGTACATCCGATGGATGCAAGTTAACGTCTTCATGCCCGCCGTGCAGTTCAGTATCGTTCCTTGGGATGACCATTTTGACGATGAGGTGATCTCTTATCGATGCATGTTAATGATGTAAATATTTCTTAATTATTATTTAATTTATGACAGACGGTCGAGATTTGTAAAAGAATCCTCGCAATTCGAAATCAATATCAGGACGAAATTTTAAACGCGGCCAGCCAAGCGGTTGCGGAAGGATGGCCGATCAATCGTCCGATTTGGTGGGTTGACCCAACTGACCCCGTGACATTTACGATCGATCAAGGTGACGTGATACCAATTAAATATTTTAATCCAAGTTTTTGGAAGTATTTAAAACTTAATAGTGCATCCTACATAATTGTTTCAGCGTACATGTTGGGCGACAATATTTTGGTCGCACCTGTCGTCGAGGAAGGCGCTACAAGTGTCGACATTTATCTTCCCGATGGTAGTTGGATATCCGGAGTTACAAACGTTACCCACCTTGGGCCAGGCTGGCTGAGAAATTATTCCGCCCCGTTAGACATTATCCCGTATTTTGTTAAGACTAATTGAGACAAGATTTTTGCATGCATGTATCTATTTTCATGTATATGTATATATGCATTTATTAGAGTGTTAAAGATATTAGTCAACAAAATTTTAACTAGTCATCTACAGAATACATGCATATATGTATTTGTATGTGCATATCTACAGCATTTATGTATTGAAAAACTTATTCTATAGTTGGAAGCCAATGTTTTTGACGACGCTCACATGCGACACTGTTAATAAAAACCTGTAATCCATCGCAAATCGTTATTCCTTGCTTCCTTAGCACTTTTCGGATGTATGTATATACACATATATACAGTACCCAAATTATGTAAGCAAACATACAGACATCAATTTAGTAGTTTAGGCACATCATAAACAAATAAAACTTTACTTTTCCTCATCCTTTAATTAAAAATATAATTATGTACTTGTGAGTCGAGTTGTACTAATACCAATGCCCAGGACGTTGGTAAGTACATTTTGTCTATCCCTGCTTGTCCTATTTGAACTACATTTAAATTAATGCGGTCACCGTTATAACAAACCTTCATAGGACATTTATGCATACTCAAAATTCTGGAAGTTTATTTTCATGCTGTGCACATTGTACAATTTTGTTTATCATGTAATTGAATTGATCAACCACTGAATGTAACTTTATAGGCGTTTGCCTGAAAAAGTTCAAGAAATAAACTGAATACATACATACATACATACATACATTGTACAATTTCATTTGTGACTTGGTCAAAGATCAAAATCACGGAAAATAATTAATAATCTAATTTCCTTAAAAGAACACAGTATAGCTGGATTAAGGCACATAATTATATCAACACATCAGTTATGATGACAAGCAGGAATGTTTCCCATTTCAGTACCAAGAATTGATTGATGTGTAAAATTAATGCATATGTATTAATATATTCTTCGTATATCAGCAATATTATAAATAGGTTGTATGTACATGTTCCTGTGCATACTATTGGATTCAATCGCTTATCAAACTAGACAAAGTTACTTGCTGTATTTTACCTAGTATGGTCATAAGAAGTGATAGTAGAGCACTAGAGCAAAGCTTTTGAACCAGATTAAAATTAAGTTGAACGATGTGTTGCATATTTTTCCTATATCTATACAAATTTTGGCAACAATACGCATATATTTTTTACGTTTCGCGTATGAAGGAAAATTTATAATTTTTGAAGTTGTAAATACGTTCAACGGCTGCTATTATCTAGGTTCCCAAACTATTAACATTAAGCTCGAGACAGTGTCTATTAACGCATATTAAACTTCCGGTCGTCATATTCCAGAGAAATTTTCAAATCCGTATGCGTAATAAGATTCATGCCAAGGAATTCATCCAAGCCAAAAAATCCTTGTCATTTATCTGCCATTTGACTTTACTGTCATTTCTTTTGACCAGACGAGGTATTGCACTTATTAAATCTGATATAGCCAACAACAAATTGTTAGTTGGTATGACAACGACACTACGTACATATGAATATCCAGACATACTCGTATGTATGCAAGTATGACCCCTAGTTGACCTCGCTTAATTTCAAAGTTATTATCAATGGGTATAATGGATTGAATTCAATGGGAATGAGAAGCTTACAGATAAACACATCCAAAGAATTATTACAACCCATAACACGATTAATCTTGAATGGAAACGCCTGTGCAATTCCATAAATTAAAAACATTGCTTATTCAGTTATATTTAGTTGAATCAAGTAAATTCATACACCTAAATGACCGGCACAAAGTTCTCATACTCGAGTACTTATCACATAATTTAGATATGTACTTACATATTAATATGTATAACGCACTATGTTAAGGCATAAATCAGATCGTCAAGATCAAAGAAATCTCCAATGTATGCAATTTTACATTAGTATTATAATTTGTTGGACCAGTTGCTACTGAGATTTTGAGGCGAGACGCATCCGCACTCCTCATTTGGAGGTCAAGACTGGAAAACAGGAGAAAATACCTACAAGTTTCGAATTTATTGTATTCAATTTTTTGCCTTAATACTCCCTCTTAGAAGTAAATACGAAGTTTTAACTGTTAGCCATAACCTAAAAATGAATTTCAATTCAACAAAAGCTGATCTAGTTTTAAAATATCCACCCATAATGGACTGGACTTCAGAAGAGGTCAAATTTATACCAGAATTTCGAAAACGTGTGAGTGACCTTAACGATGAGGAGATGACAAGTGATGAAACTCTGATCAGATTTTTTAGGGGTAAGATGATAATCTTATTTAATCTTGAAACTCCGGAACAGTGGTGACTTGAGATCTTAACTAATTTAAAATCTTACGTATTCGGTTGTAGATCATTTGTATTGATTTATGCATATGCAATTCTTAAATCAATACAAATTATAAGTTTTAATTTTGACCTTTAATCGTATCCTCTTCTATGCAGCACGCGATGGTGATCTGGACAAGGCGGAAACTATGCTAAGAAAGGTGATGACTTCATTTCATATTTACTGTAAATATGAATCAATCATTATGGCTTGTTCCATTCATTACAATAAAAATCGAGCCCAAGATAAGCGCCAGCTTATCCTCCTCTGTAAATTGCGCTCAATCCTCGTGTTTTCGAATGCATGTCGCCACATAAAAAATAAGTATGTATATCCTGACCACCCTACTTATCACGCTCATATGACCTGATTTAGCATATATGTATGTAAATCCCGTGCTCGCTAATAGTCGTAATTAGGAACGTATTTATTAAATGTGTATTACATAATTAACGTTCATTTTCATTATGCATGCATTTATTACTTTTCAAGTCAGCTAAATGGTTCTGGGACAATAACGTGCTCAGCTACAGAACAGGAGGACGCCTCCCACCTTCCATATTAACGGATGACTTCGCAGTCCAAGTCCTCGGAACGGACTTTGAAGGCTACCCCGTCATCTACACCCCAATTGGCCGCTGGAATATTCGAGATCGTATAAACGATGGTTATCTCGAGGAAATCATGCAAGGGAGATTCTACTCTTTGGAGGGGGTTATCATGAAGGCAGTGCGGGACAGTGGGATGGGTCAGTTCGTATGCATCCTTGACTTGGAGGAAGTCTCGTTCTACAAAGTGGCCCATGTAGAAAGTAAGCAATTTATGTCTGGGTTTAGTCGTTTATCGATCATGTTCGCCTCAAAAATTTCAAAAATTTTTTAAAACTTGAAATTCGTGACCACGATGGTAGGTACGATGGACGTGACCATCGTACGAAGAGGTTGCATTTTCTCTAATTATGTAATCTTTTCGTAATTAGATATTTAGTTTCGAGTACCAAATACATTCAAAATGCGTGTCAAATAAAATATACATTTATATTTTACTCCTACAGCTATCAATGTTATTAAGAAATTCTTACAAGACTTACAAGATAACTATCCCGAACGAGTAAGATCTGCTCATATGGTGAATGGTAAGTTTTTTTTACGTATATGCTTGATACAAATTTATGTATGGAAATTATATACATAAGAAACTTTGTACTATTGTAGCTCATTGGATTTTGTCATACATCTTGACCCTTTTCAAGCCATACGTTTCTAATAAAACGTTGGATAAAGTGATCGTGTATGATGGAAACAAGTCGAAATATTTGTCGCATTTGAAAACCCACATCCCAGCGGAAATCCTCCCTGTAACGTTGGCAAATTTGAAATAAATTGCTTCCTTGTGTAAATTCGAACTTAATTTTCTGAAGAATGTTGGGATACCTAAAAATATGTTCAATATCTATGTTAACTTTAATAGACATCAATGATGTCACATCATGCAATTTTGCTTGAATGAATGAAAATGTATTTATTTTACTAGCAATTTTAACTTACATAAAAAGCAACGTATGTAATTCGGACAAACTTTCGATACTTTTTTCAAGTTGATTGTGTTTTTGTTTTCGAACTTTTTACCAAAAAATGTGACATCCTTATATTTAAATTAATGTAAATAAATAAAAGTGTATCGATCGATGCGAAGAAAAAGATTTTTGTCTCAAATTTGTTTTCCCAAACGCAACGGCTACTTCTTCTTCTGGATGCGGGCCACCTGAAATCCCAATTTCTTTGTTTTTGCCTCACCTGTTCGTACGTTCTCTCTCACTTCATTAATTTTCCGAATTAACCTTAGTAACTACTTTTTCTCTCTTTTGCACAAATCCTGTTGTCGGTAAGATCAAGGTACCGTGACTAACTTTGATTGAGGTGAGAACAAGTTTGATAAGCGGACACATTGTTTTTCCTTTGCTAATTGAATACAAATTGCAGCATACTTTACATATTCTTAGTAAGTTAAGTGCATCCATTCTCGTCTAGGTCAAAGTTTCGGAAAAGCAATCTTTAATATCAATTCAATTTACTAAATACTTTATTTCACCTTTGCTAGGAAAATGAAACGGTCAAATAAAGCGTCATCCTCCAAATCATCAAAGGAACTGCCGTTTATGAAATGGTACAAGGGGATGATCAGTGGGGAAGCGAATGATATGGTGCAGCAATTTTCCCTGATACGGCCGATACTCTCTGATCCGGCTTATTCGGATGCCACCTTTGCGGCTCTGGTCAGTCTCGGTTTACCAAAAGAAAGCTGGATCTCCACCCCGTGGAGCTATGAAGTTGAGAAGGGACGTTTTCGAGCTGCTTTTATTCGGGGAAAAAACAACCCAACAGGAAACATCTTGGATCAACCACGATACATTGGCTTCGTCATGAAGTTGCTGAACAGGGATAATAAATTTTACACCGTAGAAGAACTCAAGAATCACACGCTCGTTGAATCGTTGAAATTTATGATAACTTTTGTTACCACCGCTGTAGAGGCTGAGAAGGAGGTGAGTCCAAGTTTTAAAATAGGTACGTAATTTGCTTACTTAATAATCTGATTTTTATTACACAGACTGAAAAATTGTGGCGACTATGTCTTGAACAACTCCACCGGTTGGAATGTTTGTTGGATCGAGGGAACCAGTGCATCGATAAAGAAGTATGACATTCTTTTAGCACATGTTAATTATATTTAACTTTAATAAAAAAATACTGATTTTAGGAAGATGATCGTCTCTCGGCTTTATGGACATTACAAGATGTTACCTTCCACCTCGTGAATAAACTTTTCGACATGGATAAAGTCTTTTCAAAGCACCTGGCAAACGTAATGCTGAAGTGTAACTTCTCCCCGACATTCAAGAACTCTACATTGATCGAGGAGATTAAAGTGGAGCCTGGAGTGCTGGAAAAGATGAAGAGATTTGCTCAGAGGATTGAAATACTAGGAAATCTTGTAAAGGTGAGTTGTATTTCAATCAAACTTCCAAGAATATTTTATTGTATACGTAAATTTATGCTGGACGGTTTTATGAATTTGCTTTTTGAAAGTTTTGTGAACGCTTTATTATCATTTCTTTGCTCAAAATTTTTTCAGGCAGAGAAGGATCCTACCAAGAAGAAGAAGTTTGCGGAGGATTTAAAAAACGAGCAAGGGGAGCTGGATATTTTCGTGATCAACCAGGAGACTGGGCAAGAATTTAATTATGTGGTGGTGTGTATGCTACAGCTGGTTCACCGAACGGCGCAAAATGACAAAATTATCAATGAGATAGTAAGCAACTGTTTATTTTGCATTTGATACTGGTCATTCAAGTTTTATAATCAATTTATTTTCTCTGCAGCTTCACAAAATTCTGGCGAGCTTGAAGAGGTACAATCACCAGGTCTCCGACTATAATATCGAGTGGCTGGGGTTGAGTTCAACACGCCGTTGAGGAAAGGTGCGCTGCCGACGTGGACAAAGAAATCATACCAAACGTGTTCAGTACTGTTCAGTATTCATAGTTTAAAATGCAAGATATTTTTTTCGTATTTACATAACCTACCATTTTCAGAACTTAGACTTGGAATTTATATTTTCAAATGCTTTAATAATTTTATTAATTCATTCTTAATAAAGTTTCAGTTACAGTTAATTATTTGAGTTTTATTTCGTTAGGGCTGGAATAGAAGGGACGTATCAAGCTTTAAAATGCATAGATTTAAAGTTGTAGAAGTTCCATCATGCAAGTATTAAAACCATTCCAAAAGCTTAAGTTGGACTTGGAACTATTCTCAGTTTACGTTTTTATTAGGGAATATCTTCATAATTATTTTTTATAATTTGTTTTAATTGTATTTGGATATCCATACTTGCGTAACTGATTCTGAAAGTACAGTTAAAAGCTACATGTGTGAAATATTAACTAGCATGTAAAATGACTATATACACTAAAAATTAAAGGCGGATAAATAATCTATTGCGTTTTCATGTACATTTTCGAGCCGCAGTCGCGTATCATGCCCTTGGTGCAAATCGGAGGTGTACACTGTTATCAATCTGATATCCGATTGGATTTCTAGGAATTTTAACTGGTATTGGGGTCGACTCGGTCGGACTAATCACGAAGTTTCGCACGACATGCGCCAACAAGACTTTCGTCTCCGCCAAGGCATATCTCATCCCTGTAAAAATTGTTACAAAAAATTAGTTTTCAACCCTCCCAAAAATTTCGATCAGTATTCTCACCAATGCAGTTTCTCGGTCCAACGCTAAACGGCATGTACGAATACGGGTGAATTTTCCCCCTATTTTTCTGACTGAATCTCTCCGGATCAAATTTTAGCGGATTAGCAAAATATCGCTCATCCTTGTGAATCGCTTCAGCAGAAATGACAACATTTGCACCCTTTGGAATTACGAGTTTCCTGTTCTTAGAGTCCAACACCTCATAATCCCTCACTGCAATCCGATCCAATCTCAACTGTACTGGGTAGAGACGGAGAACCTCTGCAAAAAATTTGAAAATATAAAATTATTCCTCTTTTTGCAAAAATAAAATTCGCATAAAGTGAAATCACACCTGACATAAACATTTCCATATATTCCAGTTTGGTTAAATCATCATACGAAATTTTATCTCCACCCTTTTCATCCGTCCCCATGATGCGGTTAACCTCTTCGTACACCTTGTCTTGGATTTCGCCCTCCGACGCCAAAAGATACAGCGCCGCCGCCAGGTTATTCGCCACCGTGGAAAATCCAGCCCCGATGAAGAGGAAAGCTTGCGCGCAGGCCAGTTCGTTTGTCCATTTAATATTTTTCTTGTTCCCTTTCGACCCCTCAGCGATATCCACGTTCGAGTTGTCCTCATTCTGCGCGTCGACTAATAATTGGAAAAAATCGTTCCCCTTCACGCTCCCTTCTTGTCTCGCTTTTAACGCCGCGTTCAACAGACCCCAGAAAAAATCGGAATATTTCTGCTCGAAACCTTGGATTTTGGCGAATTTAGAAAACCTGGGAAAATTCTGGAGAAGGGCGAAATGCATTTTTCTATTTTTGATGAAGGACGCCAGCATTTCGGTCGTGGTGGTGAAGAATACATCGTTTTTGTCGAAAGTGTCGACATCCAGGCCAAACACGGAGGTGGCAATGTTTCCCAGCGTATATTTGTACATCGAGGTGAGGAGTGGCAGGTCGAAGCTGGTGTCCAATTTGGAGGTTGCGTGTGTCTTGACGTGCTCATTGAATTTTGTGGCAATCCTGAAAATTTTGAAAATTTGAATTATGAAATTTCATGGAAATAAAAAAAATATCTCAAATCACGCAATCCTTGGTAACTTTGTAAACTTCGAAAAATCAGTAAACTTGCATTTAAAAAAATTATCAAGATAACGAAGAAGATTAATTTCATACATGTATGTACACCAACCAAGACCAATGCGTATTTTCATATTTAAAGTATAAAATTATTTTACAAAATTTTCCTAAAGCAACTTAAAAAACTTCCTTATGCATACCTCTCAAAATGGCAAAACATCCTCTTAATTTTCCCCGATGTGAAGGTCGGTGATAAAAATGTCCTCATGTCTTTCCACTCTTGTCCCCCCATCTCGGTGAGACTGTGACCCATCCGTCGGTCCAGTTCTCCAAACCCCGTCCGGTCCGAAAAGTGATCAAAATCTTTGACCAAAATATTCTTCACGAGGTCCAAATCTTTTATGAAGATGGTTTGACCCCCAAATAGGCCAAGTTCCGAAAATCCGGCAAATTTCTCGTCACCAATTTCGTCATAATACTCGGGATCACCGTCGATCAAATACCTTTTACCGCCCAAAAGGTCACGAAGGGAGACTTTATGTTGCAAAGTAGGAAACCCACGAGATGACCAGTACGAGAATTTAAGACTTTTGACCATGTGCAGGAGCAGTGTGGCCATGGTGACGAGGACGGCTAGTAGCACTAGCATTTTGGATGTATTTCAAAAATTAAATTGGTAGATTTGCTGAGATGTTTGCATGAAAGCAGATTATGTTTGTATGAATTCTCTCGTGTTGTATGGAGCTCTTTTTATATGAAAGTTGCGACGGGGCATTTGGGTAGATTTTTTTTATTGATTAAAGAGTTAATGCTGAATGTGTCCCCGTTAAGCGGTTCTGTCCCAGCAATGTTGAATCAAATACGTAGATTAGCTTGTGTTAAATACGCAGTATAAAAACAGTTGTTATTGGGTATGGAGAATATTGTAGTTTTAATCTAATCTCGTCGTGTATTGTTAAACGTGAGTGACGCCTACTTATGTTTCATGCAATGAAAATGACTTTTTGGTAGATCTACCAGCTAACCTGTCATGCTTACGCGTATGCACTATACCCGTAAGCATGACAGGTTAGCTGGTAGATCTACCAAAAAGTCATTTTCATTGGATGAAACCATAAGTCGGCCTCACTTATTAACTTCTCCAGTGTTGTGTAACTACTCAGAGAAGTAGTTAAACTACAACTACTTTGATGGCAGAGTTGAATTCTAACTACATTTTCAACTACATCCTACATCCTACACCCTATTCTAACTACTAATTATTTCTAACTACATTTTAACTACTTTCACTAAACTACCTTTTACCTTGTATTCTTAATCATATGTTAAAATCATTAAAATTAAAAATTCATTTACAACGGATTTTTCTTTTAGATTTATTCAAGCTAATTTGCATTTTTCTACATTTTTACTACATAGGGTTCGGTCGGAAAGTAAAGAAACACTTGAAAAAGTATATTTATTTGTCTGAAAGAAAAATTGTCACTGAGTTGGAACGCGGTAGTTTTGTAGTCCATGCGATTTACTATCCAAATCAGAAAACCGGAAATCGATATCTCGATTAGTTCAAAAATAAGAACAAAAAATTCAGAGGAACTCGCAAAAAAATTTTGCCACTACTACGAAAAAGTGTGCGAGCGCGTTCAGATAATGGTTAATAGCCACTTCGAAAAAGAAAAAATTCATAATGGGGCAATTTGCAGAGTTTTTGATATGTATGAGGGGAGGAGGAATGCTGAATTCAAAAAATTAAAAAATCGTCCTGCTCGTGTAGCGACCCCCAAAGTAATACGTAGAGTTCAGAAGGAAAACAAAAATAACCTTGGGATATCAGATAGTAATTTGGGCTACAAATTGAAAATATCAAAATTAAGTTTACATGACATTAAACCTACGAAGTTGGGGGTCAAATCCTATAGGGCGACACCTGCACCAAAGTACAACCAAGGTCAGCAAAAAAGAGCAAAGCCCAACTCTCGGCAGATTGTTGAAAAACGAGTCAAGCAAAACATGCCCGTGATTCTGGTCATGAATGATGAGACCAATTGCTCGAATGATCCAGATGAAGTCCCTGCGAGGAAGTACTACTCATATACTAATAAGAAAACGTTTGAAGATTCCTTCAAATACACGACGAAGTCAAAATTCCCCATAAAGCACATAATCGGGCAAGCATTGGACTCATTGGGGGACGTCTCAAAGCCGTTCGTGACCACAGCCACCATGACCTCGGAGAGATATCTGAATGATTGTGTAAAGAAGATCTTGATCCCCTTTATCAATAATCGTGATGTACTTTTCTGACCGGACACAGCAACATGTCATTCTTCAAAAGTTGTTCTGGACTACCTGCGGTCGAAAAAAATCGATTTTTTTGCAAAAAAGGAATATGCTCCCTACGTCCCTCGGGCAAGACCAATTGAAAGATTTTGGGCATTATGCAAGAGAGAATATAGTCGTCGAACAAAACCACCCAAAAAGTTGGGAAGATTCCGTCACATTTGGACATACACCTCAAAAGTGGTAGCGAGAAAGAGTGGCAAATCACTTTTGGGGACCGCGAGGCAAATAATTCGCCAGATAGGAAGGATGGGGGTCTATGATGAAGAAGATGCCAAGTATAAATTGAATTAATGTCATTAATTTGAATTAATGCCAAGTATAATTGTTTGTAATTAATAGGTTTTATAATGGTAAAGTGCAAAAATTATTTCAAAAATTCAGAAATTTTTAAGTTGGAATTTATATTGTGCAATTATTTAAGTCTAACCATATGTTTAGAATTTAAAATCATTTGTAAACAAATAGATTTATTTCCCGGAGGTAGGGTGTGTAACGGCACAGAACCCTGTGTACTCGGGTTGGTTGTTAATAAAGTTCAGTTGGCACAAAGCAGCCGTTGAGTAACGTCGTTGCCCATTATTGCTGCATAACACCGCAGCCACTGCTGCATGCTGTGTGCATCAACTCATTGTCATCATCATCATCATGACCGCACCCACAACCACGCCCTCTCTGACAGACCATATGAAGGAAAAAATTGAACGATAAGGACCTTGTTCTTAACCCTTAAAAGTGTCATTGGAATTAATTAAGTTTTCCGGATTTTACAGGTATTTTTCAAATGTTTTTCAAATGTTTCTTTACTTTCCGACCGAATCCTAACTTCATAATTAAAGGAAAAGACGACAATGTCTGAAAGCTTCTTCCGGGATTATTAAAATACGCAGCAACTTCTGCCTGTGCTTCATTACAGCTACTCGAATTTCCAGTCATTACGCCGTCGTCTCGTGTTTTCCCCTCCTCGAACATGGAAAATCGATTCGCTTTTTTTGCCAACGAGGGCACCATGTCGTACTTCTTCGGTGTTTCATTGCACCTCATATCGCGCTTATTTAACTCCTCCTGGAGGCTGATGGCGTTTTTCTTGAAAATAGATTTGCAGTGTTCCAAAAATTGAGGAGGGATCACTCTGAGCTTGAAGAACGGATGTGTTAAAGTAACAATGATAAATGGTTCAGCCTTATCGCCAAAATCTGTCAGCCATCCATACCGTCTCTTAAACTGTCTTTCAGCCGACTCCGCTATAGCCTTTCCATGTTTATTATTCTGAATCTTCGATTCCTTTAAGCATTCCAAAATTCTTAACCATTAGGGTAGCAAGTCGGCCAAAAAAGTCTGGTTATAAAAACTTAATTATAAATGCCGGGTGCGCCGCCGAAGAGGACAAAGAAATAATACCAAATGTGTTCAGTATTCATAGTTTAAAGTGCAAGATATTTTTTTTCGTATTTACATAACCTACCCACCATTTTCAGAACTTAGACTACGATTTTTTTTGTTTTCAAATGCTTTAATAATTTTTGTTAATACGATTCATTCTAAATAAAGTTTCAGTTACAGTTAATTACTTGAGTTTCATTTCGTTAAGGCTGGGGCAGAAGGGACGTATTACGCTTTAAAATGCATAGATTTAGTGTTTCATAAGTTCCATCATGCATGTATCAAAACCATTCCAAAAGCTTAAGTTGGAATTGGAAATTCTCAAAATTTTAAATAGAATTATTATTTTGTAACGTTTATTATGTAACGTTGGGAGATATTTACAGGCTCTAATATTGGCATTTCTCAAGTTTCATGACACGGAGTACTTAGGCAGACTTATACATACATTTCCTAAGTTTTTATTAGGAAATATCTTCAATATATTATTTTTTACAATTTTATTCAATTGTATTTCAATACATATTTGCGTAACTTAAAGTTCAATTAAAACCTACATGTGTGCAATATTATTAATATGTAACGAGTATGTAAAAATGACTACCTACACTAAAAATTAAAGGTGGATAAATAATCAAATGCGTTTTTATGCACATTTTTGAGTTTCCGTCGTGTCTCACGCCCTTGGTGTGAATCGGAGGTGTACACTGTTATCAATCTGATATCCGACGGGATTTCTACCAATTTTAACTGGTAATGGGGTCGACTCGGTCGGACTGATCACGAAATTTCGCACCACATGCGCCAACAAGACTTTCGTCTCCGCCAAAGCAAATCTCATCCCTTTAAAAATTGTTATAAAAAATTAGTTTTCAACCCTCCCAAAATTCTCAATATTCTCTCTCACCAATGCAGTTCCTCGGTCCAATGCTAAACGGCATGTACGAGTACGGGTGAATTTTCCCCTTATTTTCCTGACTGAATCTCTCCGGATCAAATTTTAGCGGATTGGCAAAATATCGCCCATCCTTGTGAATCGCTTCAGCAGAAATGACAACATTTGCGCCCTTCGGAATTACGAGTTTCTTGTTCTTGGAGTCCAACACCTCATAATCCCTCACAGCAATCCGATCCAATCTCGTCTGTACTGGGTAGAGACGGAGAATCTCTGCACAAAAAGTGAAAAAAATAATAATCTTTTTTGCAAAAATAAAATTCGCACAAATTTAAATCGGAATTATCTATGTACACACCTGACATAAACATTTCCATATATTCCAGCTTGGTTAAATCGTCATACGAAATTTTATCTCCGCCCTTCTCATCCGTCCCCATGATGCGGTTAACCTCTTCGTACATCTTGTCTTGCATTTCGCTCTCCGACGCCAAAAGATACAGCGCCGCCGCCAGGTTATTCGCCACCGTGGAAAATCCAGCCCCGAGGAAGAGGAAGGCTTGCGCGCAGGCCAGTTCGTCTGTCCATTTAATATTTTTTTTGTTCCCCTTCGACCCCTCAGCGATATCCACGTTCGAATTGTCCTCGTTCTGCGCGTCGACCAATAATTGGAAAAAATCGTTCCCCTTCACGCTCCCTTCTTGCCTCGCTTTTAACGCCGTATTCAACAAACCCCAGAAAAAGTCGGAATATTTTTGCTCGATAGCTTGGATTTTGAAGAATTTTGAAAACCTGGGAAAATTCTGGGCAAGGGCGAACTGCATTTTTCTGTTTTGGATTATGGACTCAAACATTTCGGTCGTGGTGGTGAAGAATACGTTGTTTTTGTCGAAAGTGTCCACATCCAGGCCAAAAACGGAGGTGGCAATGTTTCCCAGCGTGTATTTGTACATCGAGGTGAGGAGTGGCAGGTCGAAGCTGGTGTCCGATTTGGAGTTCGAGTGTGTCTTGACATGCTCGTTGAATTTTGTGGCAGTCCTGAAAATTTTGAAAATTCAATTGACGAAATTTTATTGAGAAATAAAACGTTTCATGATAATTTGACCCTGCTCAAAATATATAGTTTTTTTTCATAAAAACCAGTTAAAATAAATACTTTACATAATCGTTAATTAAAGTTAATTAAATGTACTCCTACAAAGACTAAGGCGTATTTTCAGTGTAAAATTATTTTACAAAATTTCCCTAAAATTTTTCCACACAAATATTTTTGTGGAGTTAAAACAACTTAAAAAACATCGTCATGCATACCTCTCAAAATGGCAAAACATCCTCTTAATTTTCCCCGATGTGAAGGTCGGTGATAAAAATGTCCTCATGTCTTTCCACTCTTGTCCCCCCATCTCGGTGAGACTGTGTCCCATTCGTCGGTCCAGTTCTCCAAACCCCGTCCGGTCCGAAAAGTGATCGAAATCTTTGACCAAGATATTCTTCACGAGGTCCAAATCTTTTATGAAGATGGTCTGACCCCCAAATAGACCAAGTTCCGAAAATCCCCCGAATTTCTCGTCACCAATTTCGTCATAATACTCGGGATCTGCGTCGACCAGGTATTTTTTTCCGGCCAAGACGTCGCGAAGGGAGACTTTATGTTGCAACGTGGGAAACCCACGAGACGACCAGTACGAGAACTTGCGACTTTTGACCATGTGCAGGAGAAGTGTGGCCATGGTGACGAGGACGGCTAGTAGCACTAACATTTTGGAGATATTTCAAAAATTAAATTTGAAGATTTGCTGAGATGTTTGCATGAATGCAGTTTGTGTTTGTATGAATTCTCTCGTGTTGCATGTGGCTCTTTTTATATGAAAGTTGCGACGGGACATTTGGGTAGATTTTTTTATTGATTAAAGAGTTAGTGGTGAATGTGCCCCCGTTAAGCGGTTCTGTCCCAGCAATGTTGAATCAAATGGAGTGGATTAGCTTGTGTTACGCAGTATACAAAGAGTTGTTATTGTTTGCATGTCCAGTTTTAATCCAATCTCGTCCCGTGTTATTATTAAACGAGAGTGACGCCTACTTATGGTTTCATGCAATGAAAATGACTTTTTGGTAGATCTACCAGCTAACCTGTCATGCATATGTACCAGTAAGCATGACAGGTTAGCTGGTAGATCTACCAAAAGTCATTTTCATTGCATAAAACCATAAGTTGGCATCACTCATTAACTACTCACTGCATTAACTATTGTACATTGTACATATGCTTACCAGAATGTAATGAAAATGATTCTAATTTTCACTCTTCATGTATTGAAAACCGTGAAAATATGCGCATCTCAAAACAAGGGTCCAAATTCATCGAAGATTAGCGCACTTTAAATCAGATTTCATCAGAATAAATTTAAAACTGTAATCTTATTGTTTCTTGGCATATTTGCTGCATTTCATTTTCTCTGGATTATTACAAATTTTAAAGTTGATGCAAATCACTGTAGTCAAATTTATTATTATGCATGTGAATTTAGATAAATACTTATGTAGGATTAGAACGTACATATATACATATTATATAATTAGCCATGCGCATAATATTTTTGGGACGTGGAGTTGGAGGATGGCAATAAAATGTTAGATCCACCGATAAAACTAAACAAAGGTAAAAACTGGCGACCCTGAAAAATGTTCATGATATTAATTTACGCATGATTCACTTTTTCCGTTTATTAACAATTCTGTAGATACTTGTAAAGTACAATTTTTTAAGACTTTTGGAACCATGAGAGATGTATCAAGGTATCAGTAAGTGAGACAGATTGCCTAACTTATTATGGCTTTGCAGACAATATCGCATATCGTCGTTGAAGAGACAAACTGAGACAAGCGAGTTTCAGATTTTTACTGCATCAAAATATCGAATATTGTTTTAAATTAATTGTTAGGTCTAAAAAGCTTTTTTGAAATTTTTTGTAAATTTTTTGCGACCAAATTTTACCGTACACACTTTTTTAGAGGATGGACCAAGAAGGATTATAGGTTTGCATGTACATTACATAAATATGATCCTATACATATGTATGTAGCAAAAGTGTACATATGTACATGCATTAAGCAAAAATATGTACACATTCATATGTACATATTATTTGGAAGTACGCATACATATTGCTTATACCTATCTATGTACATACATACTCGTATGTACACCCAAATGTACCAGTTATAGGTTTGTACAGTGTCGGACAGATGTCTACGTCCACATAGTCGCGTCAATTTCATTTTCAAATTGTCACTGAACTACTGAACCAATTTTCATCATTGATATATCAAATTCTCACAAATTTAACGTAATTTCATAGCACATTATTAGTTTTCCGCTAAAAAATTTATTTTAGGCCAGAGATGTATTTTAATTCAAAATGAAAACAATTGGATGGACAAAAGTCAACGTCCAGTCAGAGAAAACATACAAAAAAACTGTAATTTATAAGGAATGTTATAACAATTAATTTTTAATATTTGGTTGGGCCTCCGTTCGCTTTAAGGACGGCTTCAAGGCGTCGAGTCATTGAGTTTACCAAATTCTTGGTCACATCTTCAGAAATGGTTTCCCAAACTTCACGAATTCTGGATTTAAGGCCCGGAATTCCTGAAAAAGATTGTTTTCTTATTTCTCTTTCAATGTGGTCGCACAGATGCTCAATGGGATTCAAGTCTGGAGATTGGGGAGGCCATTCTAGCTTCGGAATTTTTTTTTCTTGAAGTATTCCATGGTGGACTTGGCAGAGTGTTTCGGATCGTTGTCTTGTTGGAAGGCAAATCGTCGTCCAAGTCCAAGTTTTCGAACAGATTCCTGGATATTACGGTCAAGTATTCCCTGGTACTTGTATTGGTCCATAATTCCGTCAATAAATTCCATTTTTCCTGCCCCACTTGAAGCCATGCATCCCCACACCATTACCGACCCGCCGCCGTGCTTAACTGTGGGGTTGAGATTTTTTGGATTCAAAGCTTCTTTTGGATATCTCCACACTCTACGACGCCCATCTGACCCAAAGACATTGAACTTTGACTCGTCAGTCCATAAAATATGTCCCAGAATGTTTGTGGCTTGGAAATGTGGTCTCTGGCAAACTTCACTCGTTTGGTTGCATTCCTCGGTACAATAAGAGGCTTCCGGACTGCTCTGTGGGATTTCAAATTTCCCTTGTTCAGTGTTCTTTGGATGGTCCTAGGACTAACTTGTTTGTCGAACATCTCCTTGATCTCGGTAGATAGCTTTGGAGCACTAAGTGAGGGTGTAACGTTGACTTTGTTGAGCACGTGGCGTACTTCTCGGTGAGCCAAAATGGGTTTTCGACCACTTCTGACCTTGTTTTGGACTGAACCATTAGCTTTAAAGTTCTTAATGATTGTCTGGATGGTTGTCCTTGCTAATTTATACTTGGTCCATATTTGTCTCTGCGACAGCCCCCTTTTTGTCCACCCTTCCAGTCCTGAATGACAAGATCTCGAATAGCGATAGGAATTTCCTTGCGTGTCGACGCCATCATATTTTTCTGGAAGAAAATTATTTAAAAATTAATGCGGCATATGTTATTGATAGATTTATTAAGTTACCTGATTTTATAAATTGGAGAGATTTTTGTTGTTGACAATTAAAGTGAAGTGGACGTAGACTTTTGTCCGCTCAAATTTCATCCTCTCTCGCTCTGCACTATGATTCTCAGTTTTCCCAGAATTTTCAGAAATAACTCATATGTTTTATGAAATTACGTTAAATTTGTGAGAATTTGATATATCAATGATGAAAATTGGTTCAGTAGTTCAGTGACAATTTGAAAATGAAATTGACGCGACTATGTGGACGTAGACATCTGTCCGACACTGTACATATACATATGCATAAAGTGCAAGTAACGCCAAACAAAATTTCGTATGGATTAAAATTTCTGCCCAAATGTATCAGTTATAGAATTGTGTGCATAAAGCACGATATTCGTCAAACAAAACTCCGCATGTCATTAACAATTCTGCTCGTCCGTGCATAAATGATACTTTTTTATTATCATAGGTACACATAACGTCAAACTTATCCGTAAATACGTTAATACAAACATGTTTCCATACTGTTACGTAAGACTTTAAACGTTTTCAATTCAGACAAATCAATATTGCATACATATGCATACGTATTTAAGTATTCTGTAGTGCAATGCACATTAGACTCTCATTATCAAGTGCATGGTTAAATTTTACATTACATAATACGTATGTATTCATCTGTTACTACTGGACAGGGAGACTTCAACAGCCGGTGATTGCATATAAAAACAGACAACTTTGCTCATCATTCATCAGAAAAGTGCAATAATACACTAGCAGCACGACCACAAAATAAATTCCTTGCAAGTCATTGTAATTATACAGATATTGATTTCTTTCAAAAGGTGAAGGTAGTCCTAAAATCCGGCATTCAGATAAATACATAGATAAATTGGAAAAGTACATCAAATTTTAAAAACATGAGTATCAAATAATCTTAATTTTTACCGGCGATTAAATAACTAAGCAATTATATTCTGAAATTTTTTAGTTATATTTACGAAAATGAGCCTGGACGATAAAGACGAAGGTCAACCAGACGTTGGCAATCTTTCTTCTCCGGAGGATGTGATAACAACCGACCTTATCCAAAAGATACTCCACGGTCACGATCCAGACGCCAAACTCGTCTCATACTCTGCCAAGTTGGGCACCAAGACGGGTGACAATTTCATGTCAATTATTTACAGTGCTGACATCCTCTTTACAAACTCTTCCTCATCCGAGGAGAAACTTGAGGTCATGATTAAAACCATGCCGAAGAATGAGTTCCGAGTCGAAGAGCTCAATAAAGTCGCCGCCTTTACCAAAGAGGTCAACATGTACGCCCATGTCCTCCCAGAAATGGTACGCTTCCAGAAGGAGCAAAAAATCGAGGATGTCGAAATAATGGCGGATTGGCCGGCATGCTTAGCGTCATTTTCTAACGGAGGAATCGATGATTTCGTAGCAATGGGAAACTTACGGGGAAAAGGGTATGCAAATATAAATCTGTGAAAATGTAGGATGGATTTATATGCAAATTTTTATTAATCATTTGCCAATAGATACAAAATGGCGGATCGAATCAAAGGTCTCGACCACCCACAAATCCTCCTCGTCCTCTCCACCCTGGCTAAATTCCATGCCATCTCTTTCGCCCAATTTGGTGGGGATGGTGCCAAAATAATGTCCACTTATCCATTCCTCGAAGAAAAAATGTTTCCCGATCCGGCCGAGTTGGAGCACTCGCTGAAAGATTACTTCAAATCGTTACTGCGTTGCGAAGTAAAAGTTCTGCGAGACTCTGGACACGAGAAAGAAGCTGAAATTTTGGCACTATTTTGCAGGGATGATATCGATGTTACCTTATTAAGCGAAATCAGCACCATTGTCACCAGTAGGAAAAACGCCGTCATAAATCATGGAGATTGCTGGACGAATAATATCCTGTTTTTACATGACGGTGAGAAACTCGTCGACCTAAAGTTGCTCGACTTTCAGGAAGCGAGATGTGCACCGAGGTCGGCAGAAGTGTCCTATTTCCTACATGCTTGCGTCCCCAGTAAAGAATTGGATGTGCATAAGGAAGAGGAATACCTCAAGTGGTATGATGACCACTTTATCCAATTTCTTGGAAAGTTGGGCGTAAATAGGAGTGGGAATGATGGATTGGATTTCAAAGATTTTATGGAAGAGTACAAAAACTGCAAATTTTACGGAGTTATACTCGGCTTGTTAATGGCACCGATGATGTGCACGGAAAGTGAAGATCTTCAAGATTTGGAGGGTGAGCAATATATTTAAAATATGGAAATGTACATACTTTTTCGGGTAAATATATGTAACTAAACAACATGCTTTTTTAGACATGGAGGGCTTTGGGGAGGATGCCGCAACTAGAATGTTTGAAGCAAGAACTAAGGCAAGCAAAGATAGTCAGTTAATATCTACCAATAAAATTTGCAATCTTGCCGTTAATCATTTACCTCACTGTCCACAAGTGATTAGAAAAATGAGTGAAATTAAAAAAGTTTGACGTTTTAAAAAATAAGGAATAAATTTATTTGCGAAAATTTTTATCCAGTTCTTTAAAAAAAAGTTCTTTATTGTCCAAACCGGATTTTTTGCACAATACAGATTACATACTTAAACATTGCTTTATTGTCTAATTTCTAATCCTAAGTCATACGTAAATAAATGTGTAAGCTCTTAGAAAGATGAAAGTTAGGTAAATATTTATCCCACTTCTTCATAAAAACGTAAGCGTACATTGCATGCATACGTCATAAATATATACTAACTTAACTTTGTATAACTAGATATGATTGTCAATTACCTAAAATTAAATATCTACATTTCAACTTCTGAACATGTCAATTTTACAACTTTTCCAAGTTTTCTAATATTTACACAAATTTTCTAAACATTAGATTTATGGTGGATCCAAAATATGTGGTATGTCATTTCATACAAAATATAAAACTACACAAATTTTAAGCAAAATAACATGATCTTTGCGAGTAAAAGTAAACACATTTTTGTATGCGCTACCATTTAGTAAGAAATTATTCATAGAATTATTGAGGTAGACGCAACCATTTTTTTCTAAAAACTAAAAATTTTGAGAAACTCAACTAGATATCTTAGCTATGTATTTCTAGTAATTCTACTTTTATCCTAAAAATAATTTTTGCAACGTTCCCGTAAATCTTTCGTCATAACCTCAAATAAATGTAAATGTATAATCCAGTTCCATTAATCGATCACCATTATATTGTTGCAACTCTTTTCATGCCGTTGACGTGTGAACTTGAGTGCAAATCTTTTTCCACATTTGGCACAGGGAAATTCTTGATTAGCAAGCGACGACCATCCAATTATCGGGCCCTGTTTCACCTTATGCGTGGCCTCGTGTCTATCAAAAAACAGGACAAGTCTCTTAAGATAAATCTCACATTTTCTCCATAATTATAATAAAACCATCATCCCCTCACCTTTCCAACTCTGTCTCGCTGCACTGATAAAACAGCTTTTTGCACCCAGAGAACCCACACGATTTAAACTTCAGCCCAAGTTTGGTTATCTTTTCATTTTCCGGTGACACATTGCACACCGTGACTTCGTGAATCGCACAAATTCTTCGTGTCGCCAAGACCTTGTTGCAGATCGAGCAAGCAAATCCGTCATTGTCGTGCTTCATCCGTTTGTGATCCTCCAAACTGCGGCGATCGTAGAAATCTTTATTGCATTTCCGACACACAAAAGTTTCGTCGGGTTTCGCATGCCCTGTTTGCACGTGTATTTCCAAGTTGGCTTGCGACTGGAAATATTTCTTGCATATTTCACATCGGAATGAAGTTATCTTATTGGCAGGGTTTTGAATTGGGGCGACATCCAGAGATCTGATAAGAGATGATTTTTAATTTGACTTGGAAACTTTAAAAACTAATTACTTAATAACAAAGATAAATTTACTTTTGTTTTGGAGACATGACCACTGTCGAAATTGATGCTCGTTGTCTTATTGGCGGAGCTGCTGGTGGTGAGCACGGTGACTGTTCCACCAATCCAAAGTCAAGGCCGGTATGCAGAGGTGAAAATCCTATTTGAATTGGTCCTTGATTATTGACATTAAACTGAGAAAATGAAATCTTCGGGACATGAAATGACACTCGAAAATTATTATCGGTTCGATAAGGTTCTGGTATTTTTATGATTTGGCTGTTCACTTCATCTTTCCGACCAGTCTCAGTTAAGAATGAATTGTTCCTGGAAGTAGTTTTTTCTGTGCTTTTTTGTACCGTAGTCAATGTGAAGCCGTCCACTCTTGTGTGTGACAAATCCTTAAATCTGTAAAAAAAAAGATCATTTCATTTCGTCAAGAATTCCAGCAACTTAATTTTTAAATTAGTAAACAAATTTAATTATTTAATTACGGGTTCAAAAGAAATTCGCCCTTCTTCGGAATTTCATACTTAATTTTTTCCAACGTTGATGACAACGACGATCCTCTCACTGGGACATCGTTTTGCAAAATATCGGAGGAGTAGATGCCATCAGACATTTGCAGTGGCAGTAATTCTTCAAGTATTTCGTCAGATTGACAATCCTCCATTTTAATTGTAATATCATCTCGAGTTGACGAATTATCAACAGAGATTGACCTACTCGAGGGTTGAGGGGAAAAGGAAAACGTCATCTCATTCCCATTATTGGATCCTATTTGAGTCTCCTCTTTCACGACATTTTGCATCGTTTTTCGACCCGATTTTACTACTGGGGGAATGAATGAAGCAGTTTCCTTAACAGGACCTTTCCCCCTTGGACTGCCCCGAGTTCTGGCTTTTGTTGTCTCCTCCTCAGACTTTTTTGTCCTCTGGTGTCTATGAAAGAAGCAGGGTTTGGTTTTCAAAAAATTATTACAAATTTAAACCTCCCCAAGTAGTTTGAAAAAAAACCTTATATTTTCGAAAATTGGAAAATATGTAGCTTTACTATTGACCCCAATAGCTTTATTTCCTGTTGGTGAAGGGTCTGGCAACGTGGAGATTCTCGACACATTACTTGTTTTGGGGCCTTTCACTTCCGTCTCCTTATGACCTTGGACTTCCTGTCGTACCGAATTTTCGACACGATTTGAATGAGGAGTATTTCTGGGGTTTAAACCAGACTCTGAAACCGTTTGAAGTGGATTATCCTGCTGCTTTGCACCACTCTTTCGTCTGACATGCCTAACGAACAGATCGTCCTCATTATCATAATCGTCCTCTTCGAATTTGTGTTTACGTTTATTATTTCCGCCACGATTTCGAGAATCAGTCGGGGTGCCATTCAGTATTTTGTGGTGCGATCTATCACACAAGAATTAGTCGAAGTCATTTAAATTGTAGTTAAAATTGAATAAAGTAAAGAAAAACTACGATTTATTTGGAGTGATGGTCTTCCTTTGAGGCTCGATTTTTTCTGAACCCGGCGACCTTATCAGTAATTTATGCGTCAAGGTGATCTCCTCATCAGAATCAAAGCTGTCTCTCGATTCGAGATCACGTGGTTTACGGATTTTCACCCGAGGAGGAGGAGACCTGACCGTGGATGGATGAGATTTCGGCGGAGCTATTAATTCCACCTTATCCCCAGTGCGAGAAGTGTTAAGTTCTGCTGTCTGGATAATCTTCTTGTTCCGACCTTAAATTAAAAACCAACAGTTCAACTTTATTTAATCATTTTTTCTCATAATTATGGGAAAGCTAAGCTTTGTTTTTAAATACATACATACATGCATTTAATATTAGTCAGGGTTTTATACACTTTAGTAGTTTTTAATTAAAGCATTTATCCAACTTGGCGACATATTTTTCGGCCGTCAGGTTTTAATCAAGTTAAATGATGTGGATTTTGACAATTTTGTATTGAAATTTAATAATTTGAAAAACTTACAATTCGTAAATTTGAAAAGATTTGCATGCATGAATATGTATGTACATACGTATGTAGTATGTATGATGTATGCATACATCATACAAACTACATACATACATAATATGTACGTACATGTTTACTGATATTACGCTAGTTCTGTACGAAATGTCGAATTAATTAAATATTGATAACTTAATTAACTTACGGTTCGTTTCATCCATCAGCTTCAGTGACCTCTTTAACATTTGGGTTATTTGTCCATTAATTGATTTAATGACCTTGTCCATTTCCCAGACTTGTTTAACCAGTATGGCCACACAATTTGAACAAGGGACCATTTCCTTCCTCACGTCACAGGTAGGATCTTCTTTGCGTAGTTTGACCTTAAAGAGGTCCACCTGCTTGGCCAGGTCAGGTTCATCTTCTACCTCAAACTGACCCTTTTTTACTTTACCACCACAGATGAAGCATGACCCCGGGTCGTAGGTCACAGCGGCGCTGGACTCCTTTTCAGTCTGAAGAGCGACCAGAGCGGCTTCCACGGCGGCGTCGCGTGTTATCCTGACCACCGGCGCGATGTCGAGAGAGGGAAGTGAATCCAATGCGCGGGACGACGCCATGAGTTTAGATAACTAATTTTTAACTGCTAATTACTTAATTTGTGGTTGATTTTCGCTTGAAAATTAAGTCTTATTAAAACCGCCACTATTATCTATTCGGTCACTTATGCATGCACTATTTATTTACTAATCTTAAATGCACTTTACTAATTTCTTCTCACACAGGTTTAATATGGTTCAAATCAATGTGTATTAAATAGTTTGCATCACTTTTGAATGTCAGATTAATTATTTTCTTTGAGTTCAAGGGTCTGGAAAGAAAACGTGCACCTGATTCAAATACCCACGACTTATGTAAGTGTACCCAGTAAAGGGAAACTATGTACATACATGCATCACCTTTCACTTCTTTAAGTCTCAACTTTATGCATGCGGCTTGCACGTTGTGTTTTAAAAACTTGTAATATTTATTCTGTTTTAGAGAAAATGTGATATTTATGTGTGTAGCTTAAGTTATTTAAGTATTAACAACAGATCACAGATTGGAAAGAGTAGTGGTTACGCAGATACATATGCACATTTCTATGTACAGATGGTATAGTTGGCCTGGCCAACATGTTAACTCCGGAAAGTGGTTATATTATAATATAGTATTATAACTATATGTACATAACCTTGAGTTAAAACCAGATACATATACACATATTTCGATAAATTCATACATACATACACGCTTTGCTTTCTGAGGAAACGTGCATGCATTTTTATACAATTATTTTTGTCGATTTTATATGCATATTTAGCATGTTCGTATTTTCGTATACATGTGCCGGAATGCATAATATGTACATTGTACAAATGCAACAATTTTGAAGGGATAAATTATCTGCAAGTGATAAATGTATGCACATACGAACATAGACAAATATGTATATAGGGGATGAATGAAATGAATAACTAGGGAGAATTATACATAGTATAAACGAACCCCACCGCACAAACTCCCTCCGAAGGTCACATGGAATCCCGCAATACTGGACACTTTCACTTCATCTCTCCCAGAAATTGACTCATCCCATGATAGCTATCACAATTTTCAAAAAGCGATCTCACAGGCCTTGCGAGATGCAAATCTGATAAATCAACGCAAACTACCCCAAGCAGCACTAAATCGAGACCAACAAATCCCCCCTGGTTTTGCGAGATGTGTTCCTCCCTCAAACAAAGGACAAAGTCCTTACTGAAATCATTACGCAAAGCTCCCTCCAGTGACTTTGAACAAGCAAAAGATAAGTACGTTCAGAGTCGACAAGAATACTCGCTACAACTCAAAGCCTCGAAACAAAAATACAAAAATGACATAATCAAAGCAATGCTAAACCACAGAAATACTACTGATTTCTGGGCTACAGTAAATATAATGAGAACTCGTGAATTCACACAGAATAAAATTCCTCCAGAATCATGGACCTGCCACTACGAAACACTCTTCGCGTCAAAAACGACCACCCCCTCTCTACCGATCTCCAAATCTGAAAATGCGCAACTTGATTACCCCATCACACTCAATGAAGTCATGCATGTACTTCACAAATTGAAAACCAAAAAAGCTCCAGGACACGATGGCATTCCAAATGAAGTTTGGAAATCCCTTCCCCTCCCTTACATACAACAAATGCAACGTATCTTCAACAACATTCTCGATAATGGCACCGTTCCTGAGGAATGGACAACAATCCTCCTCCAACCAATTTACAAAAAAGGAGACCCCCTTCTACCCCAAAACTACCGACCTATTGCACTTGCTCCTACAATACTAAAAGTTTTCTCTACAATCATCTCCAAACGAGTCCATGATTGGGCTGTTACCAACAACAAAATTTCCAAATTCCAAGCAGGATGCAAAAAAGGGATGGGGACCCAAGAACATCTTTTTACCCTACTCACCCTCATCCAATCAAGACTAAGATTACCAAAAGGGCGTTTGTACGTAACTTTTGTAGACTTAAAATCTGCATATGACTCGCCAGGCCATGCTGATTTATGGGACGTCCTCTCGAATGCTGGAATGGGATCAAAAATCATCAACGTACTTATATCATTGTATTCTCGAGCAAATGGACAAGTGAAGCTTCCTTCCGGCCTCTCGGACAAATTCAAGATTCGAAAAGGGGTGTTACAGGGTGAACCACAATCTGGACTTAATTTCAATATATTTATCAATGACCTAGTAAAAGAGTTAGATGAAAAAGGTCCACCCCCAATACAAGTGGGAGATGCCAAGCTTCACCTCCTCCTCTTCGTTGACGTTATCGCTCTACTTGGGGACACACCATCACAAATTCAGCAAAAGATCAACATTGCAGCCAGATTTTTCCACCGCAGATCGCTGCAAGTCAATGTAGATAAAACCAAGGTCGTTATCTTCGCGAAGAAAAAATCTACAAAACTATTAGCTCGCAGCCATTTTCACTGGGAAAACCAATCACTTGAAATTGCCCCCTCCTACAAGTATCTAGGAGTAACATTTTCCGCAAATGGTACATTCACCACCCATACATTAGAATCACGAGCCAAAATAGCTACGGCAGCAACCAAAGTCTGGGATATATGCAGAAAAAGCCGGGTCCCACCCATTGATACTCACTTAAAATTATTCAACTCACTTGTTAAATCCACACTCCTTTATGCTTCACCAATATGGGGGTGGGGTCAAGAAGAAACAGCGGAAAAAGCCCAGTCATCTTTCGTCCGGAAACTCTTACGACTACCCCCAACAACCCCAGCATACTTCTGCAGATTAGAATCTGGAGTTACCAAAATCCAACTACAAATTTTTAAAGCCACTCTCGACTTTTGGATCAAGACTGTCAAAAACTCCACCTCTCTCACTTTCTCATGTTTAAAAGAACAGTTCAAATGGTACGAGTATAGAGACACTAATAGCACAATATATTCCTCCAAATATTGCTGGGCAGCCAAGATTGTAGAAACTATAATCAAGTTAAGCGATCTTTCCTACCAGTCTCTCCTCTCTCATGACGAATTATCACCCCTTCGAAATGTTATGATTGCCAAATATGCAGATATACTTCACCAGCAGGACTTAGATAGATGCCGACTCTCAAATTTTATCCCTCTGTATCAATACCTCCGACCTGACGAGAACAGACCGTCATACCTTAACCAAAACCTTTCACTCCCTATTGTCCAACTATACGCACAACTCAGACTTAACCGTTTCAGCGTTAAACTTGGGCCCCACTACATCAAGCTTGAAACAAGATGTCCACTTTGCACGTCTCACGCCTCCAACAATGTACAACATACCCCTGGTCAGGAAATTTTCAAAAATACTCAAAAAATTTAAAAAAATTGAGTTTGCTATTGGATATGATAAAGCAACTATCTAAGATCACAAAAACGCTTAAATTATGAAAATCCGATCAAAATTGGATTTTTGGTGATTTTTTGAATGAACGAAAACGGAATTTTTCGTGTTTTTCGCACCTTTGAGTGGGTGTGGCGGGCGCAAATGGGGCCATGGAATGAAATCCTTCTTCACTTTTGCTAGACTCACCTAGGGCTACAACATATTCAAAGGGCATCAAGATCTGTGATTTTGTCGGTGAAGGGTTGTCCTCCTAAGTATCATACTTAAAGTATGTAAGGGTTCAATGAATATTACAACATATGTAAGGTTTGGAATGAAAGTATTCATGTCTAAATGAATTCAAAGAGAAATAGCCTAGGAACAGCATGCATAAATATGTAAATACCATTTATAAATGATAAGAATAAAATACGATGTCAAATACTTGGAAATTTTTCAACGATTTCAAACTTGCCTTCTTCTAATGCGTATAAGATGGTACAAACTAAATGTATGAGAATATTATGAGTTTTAGCTAAACCTAATCTAAACAAATTCGCGTTTTCTTATGGATCTGGATACCAAGTTCACGCAGACGGAAAAGAAAGTCAAATAAAATTAATCAGAACAGTAAAAAAAACACCAATACAAGAGTCTAATGAAGAAGCGGAATCTCAATCTGCCTCATTTATTGATGTCAGTTTCTTCAACATTGCAATTTGCAACATACGTAGGTGTTTTATTATTAATTTTCAAAAGGTATGTTCCGCACTGTTTCTGACCAAAATTGTGATGAAATAACAAACTTCAAATACATTTAGGAGGCTGTGATTTTTTTCAGCTCTGTGGGTTAACATAAACACTAGCAATAAATCGGCAAACTTTACCTCGACGGAAAAAATGCTAGATTTGCAAATTAAATATCGTAGTGTGATTTAATTTTTAATGCTGGATCGGCAATACGTGTCGCAGATTTATGGTTGAATCCTTAAAATTTACGATGAAGACTGCCCAACACAAAACACAAATTCAATTGGGTCAATAATTTTAAATGATGGCGAAACGAGGTCTCGGACAAAAAGTCGCCAGGACGCTCAAAATCCGTTTCTTCCACAGAAAGGCTCCGGAAACTAGAGGAACAAATAATGAGAGATCCGCGATTGAAACTGTCCTATTTAGCAGATGAGATGGGTGTTTCAAAACCAGCAATTTGTTCCATGTTAACTGAAGACTTAGGTATGAAAATGGTTTCCGCCCGTTGGGTACCAAAATTGCTTTCAGCATCTCAAAAACAGGATCGAGTCGACTTTTGCAATGCCAATTTTAACCTATTAAATGAAGACTTGAACCTGCTCAATATTTTATTAGTTGCATATGGTACTTGGGTTTACTATTATGACCCGGTGACCAAATAATAATTCCCTCAATGGAAGCACGAGGGGTTGCCACCGCCCGTGAATTGAAAAGTGCAAAAATCTGACAAAAAAATGATGATGACCACTTTCAAGGATACCAAAGGTCCCCTCCTTATAAAATTTATTGCTGTAAATACTACAATAAATGGGGCCGTGTACGCAGGAACCCCGAAGGAGCTGCGTCCTCCGGTTGAAAAGAAACGTGGGGTCAAAATAAAGAGTTGGCCTTTTTTTAGACGACAACGCGCCACCTCATACCTGGCTTTTTGCGAGGGTTAGTGCAGACGAAAATCGCTTTACCTGCACAAACCACGCCCCGTGCAGTCCAGACTTGTCCCTTAGTGATTATTATTCGTTTCGAAACTTAAAGAAAAACATCAGGGGAAAACGGTTTTCGGATGATAATGAAATCAAATCGTAAATTTTGGCATATTTTCGAGGTAAATTTTAATGAGTTATTGCTAGTGTTAATGTTAACCTACAGAACTGAAAAAAATCACAGCATTCTAAAAGTATTTGAAGTTTGTTATTTCATCAAAAGTTTGGTCAGAAACAGTGTGGAACATACATTTTGAAAATTAATAATAAAACACCCACGTATGTACTATATATGTACATATATACACATGCACAATTTTAGACAAAGTCTCACAAATGGAATTAAGCACAAGCACACTCATGTAAAATCCCATAAAACTACAATATCCAATATATGTAATTAAAAATAATTTGCTCATAATATTTGCAATTTATGTGCAATGTCAATATGCATTTTATTATACCATAGATCATATTTAAACGTTGTATCTGAAATTTCGATTTACAAGCAGGCCAATCCACTAATGGTAAAAGAAATTAATTTGTTAGAGAGTTAGATAGTGAGAAATTTTAAATAATTCAGACAGTGATAAATTTGCATTTTTGATTTCTAGTAGTAAAACGTCGGTTCCCATTGGTTTAGGCAATTATGAAGACTGTTTGGTTCGATGGGATTGTAGCATTGATTGGTGGTGCCCAAGTAGTGCCATTGACGGGTGGTGCCCAAGTTGTACCATTGACAGGTGGTGCCCAGGTAGTGCCATTGATTGGTGGTGCCCAAGTTGTACCATTGACAGGTGGTGCCCAAGTAGTGCCATTAATTGGTGGTGCCCAGGTAGTGCCATTCACAGGAGGTGCCCAGGTAGTGCCATTGATGGGTGGTGCCCAGGTAGTACCATTAACAGGTGGTGCCCAAGTTGTGCCATTGCTTTGTGGTGCCCAGGTAGTGCCATTGATTGGTGGTGCCCAAGTAGTGCCATTAATTGGTGGTGCCCAGGTAGTGCCATTCACAGGAGGTGCCCAGGTAGTGCCATTCATGGGTGGTGCCCAGGTAGTACCATTAACAGGTGGTGCCCAAGTAGTGCCATTGCTTGGTGGTGCCCAGGTAGTGCCATTGACGGGTGGTGCCCAGGTAGTACCATTAACAGGTAGTGCCCAAGTAGTGCCATTGCTTGGTGGTGCCCAGGTAGTGCCATTGACGGGTGGTGCCCAGGTAGTGCCATTGATGGGTGGTGCCCAGGTAGTACCATTGACAGGTGGTGCCCAAGTAGTGGCATTAATTGGTGGTGCCCAAGTTGTACCATTGACAGGTGGTGCCCAAGTAGTGCCATTAATTGGTGGTGCCCAGGTAGTGCCATTCACAGGAGGTGCCCAGGTAGTGCCATTGATGGGTGGTGCCCAGGTAGTGGCATTAATTGGTGGTGCCCAAGTTGTACCATTGACAGGTGGTGCCCAAGTCGTGCCATTAATTGGTGGTGCCCAGGTAGTACCATTAACAGGTGGTGCCCAGGTAGTGCCATTGATGGGTGGTGCCCAAGTAGTGGCATTAATTGGTGGTGCCCAAGTTGTACCATTGACAGGTGGTGCCCAAGTAGTGCCATTAATTGGTGGTGCCCAAGTTGTACCATTGACAGGTGGTGCCCAAGTAGTGCCATTTACAGGTGGTGCCCAGGTAGTGCCATTCACTGGTGGTGCCCAAGTAGTGCCATTCACTGGTGGTGCCCAGGTAGTGCCATTCACTGGTGGTGCCCAGGTAGTGCCATTCACGGGTGGTGCCCAGGTAGTGCCATTGATGGGTGGTGCCCAAGTAGTGGCATTAATTGGTGGTGCCCAAGTTGTACCATTGACAGGTGGTGCCCAGGTAGTGCCATTCACAGGTGGTGCCCAGGTAGTGCCATTCACAGGTGGTGCCCAGGTAGTGCCATTCACAGGTGGTGCCCAGGTAGTGCCATTGATGGGTGGCAAGTCAGTTGTTTGATTTAGAAAGGCTACATTAATTATTTAAAACATTAATTGTTTTGATAAGCATTAAATTTTAGCATTTTCAACATATCCAATTTAAAATCCATTTTCCATTTCTTAAACCTACCCGCATTCCCACAAGCAAACCCTACTGCCAAAATTGTAAAGATTATCCCTTGCATTGTGAATCTTTTTATCGGAAATTTTAATTTTTGTTTGTAAAGTAAAATCTCCAGTTGGATTGCTGGTCTTCCAGAAAGTGAATTTACAACCAACTTGGCTCTCTTAATATAGGGGTAGCTTATCAAAAATGATCTTATCGCAGTTAAACTTCCCAGACATGCGCTTCTCATGTGGAGATGTACATACATATGTATCATTGTCGTATAAATTTGACGTCACTAAAAAATCGCAAGTCTTTGTCCACCTCCATAATTACTTCCAAGTCAAGTGTTTAAAAACATAATCGATTGTGAATTAGATATTAATTGGTTTCGAGAGGTGAAGTCATCTGCCAGAATAAAATATTATTTTACTCTGGAATTTCATACGTATTGAATTTTACGCACCAGCATTTTATCCAATTTAGTCATCTCGTGTGTACATAATTATATGCAAAAATGGGATACATATGTAAAACAAGTCTTGAGTAAATCACAGATTAATTGATTCTCTTCATACATGTGTATATACATAAATAAGATGAGGTGTAAATCAGAGCCCACTTGAAACGCCGGTGCTCACAAATCTGCCCTGGGATAACCTCACTCAAATTAGTGTAGTATATTGCATAACATTACATATGTCACTTTAAAATCGTTGCACGTCAATGCACTCAAATGACGCAGAAGATCACACAGTTAATTTTACTCACTGACGCTGATTTCAAGAAAAAACAACAACCTGATTCACCCAGCAATTATTTGCTAATTGAAAATTCGTGTTGTAAATTATGTTCCAGATCAATGAATTAATTTCATCTGTCAAAATTAGGATTAATCCTCAATCGCATGTGACATCGAACGGGTCGCTCTCAAAGAAGGTCGCCATTTTGAAAATCATTTTTATATTCTTTCCAGCATGATCAAATTACTAGCTTGTAATTTTAATTGCATTAATTTATTAAATTTGATTTTTAATTATTTATAATCCATCGTCTAAACAAAGTTGTTAAGGTACGTTTCCGATGAGTTACGTTTCAAATGATCAATCTAGCAAAAGTAGAATCGAATTGGTTTCTTAATCATTCGCTTTTGATCTTCATGTTACCGGTTTCAAATGCGAATACCGTATGTTTTCTTGAAAATTTGCTACTAATATTAAAAAATGATTATTAATCCGACACTTGTGATTTCAAAATTTAATCCTTCATCCTTAATTAATTTGTAGCTTAGTATCTAGTTGAATTTGTAGTTGCCATCAATTAAATTGATAGCTGGTAAGTAGTTGCTAATTGGTTGTTATTTGATTAATTTAAGTCAAAATATTTCAGTAGGTCCTGCAAATCTAACAAAAAGTAAGTATTATCTTTTAATTTGCACACAGTATTGAATTCTAATTGTTCGTTCAATTGGTAGCTCAAAAATTTCCGTTTTTGACGGAACATGTTTGAGTCACTAATGACTAAATAGAGAAATAATCATAATAAATTATAGATTATGAATGAACATATTTAAAAAATATAAATATGTTCATGACCAGAATTAAAAGTCCCAAAGTCCTAGTTATCTGAAAATAAAGTTTGACATTACATCTTTAACGTGATTTATGGTTAAAAAATAGTAGCAAATGCTGTAAATATTTATGATCGTGTATTTTCACATATTTTCAATTCATTAGCCAGAAAAAAATATGCAAGACTACTCACATTTCGGTCATATACATATGACATATGCATACGTTTATAACGCTTTCTATTTGATGACCTTTTTTGTGCTGACGAAAAAACTGATCTATTTAGATGAAGTCCAATTTTTTTTCATATGAATGTTGCACAAAATCTTGTGACAATTTTTATCCAAGTTTTCAAAGTATTTAAATAGGTCTTAATTCGACCTTCAGCGAACGAGAGTAAGTATTGTTTTCCAAATTTTCTACAAAATTTACCTCATGTTTTATATCTCTCTTTTGATAAGTGAACAATGTGTATGTATTTTTAATTGCACATTTAACATTGAGGGGCTACATGAGATTTATTTATAATGCACGACAATGTAATCATATTTCGATGAATTCTCCTAATTATGTTATGTATACCAGAAAATCTTGTTTTTCAGACTAAATCCTAAGTGGTGCCCTTTTTTGTCCTCGTCGCGTGTCTCACTACTTTTACCATACAGTAATCTATAATGTATGTATGCTTGCATATTTATGTACGTGTACGCCTGCAAGTTTGTGTTCAAAATGTTATTATCTGCATTGTGAACTGGATAAGTACTTCCCACAATTTTACAAAAGAGTACCACGCAACATTCACAATGAAGATTTGTTCAAATTTGGGGTATGCAAATGGTACTGAATGAGTTTAAAATAAATGTGCTCTATTAACACGAATATCCGCTTTTTTAACACGACAAAAGATGGATCTTGCACAGTAATTTTTAAGCTTTTGACCTCACAACAATTCAACAAAATGGATAAAATTCCCCAAACTATTTTACTTTTCTCACTTTACTTTGTCGTAGGAGATTTCCCAATTTGCTATGGATTTGCTCCAGGTGGAAGCAAACTTCTAGTTGGAGTGGGTTTCATGAGTAAATAAAAATACATTATTAATATTGATACTAAGTTTAAGTAAATCGTTATTACCTAAATATGTCTGTTATGCATACATAATTCAAATTTTGTTAGGAAACCCGTACGCACAGCAAGGAGAGTTCACAGAAATCGACAACTACTTGCAGTCAAAACTGAAAATGGAGAACTTCACCAAACTTCTGCTGGCAGAAAATCCAGATAATTCATTAACACTGGAAGAATTGGATACTTTGGAAATTCCCAATTTTTCCAAAGTTACCATAAAGAACAATTTCGTCAACTTGGCTGTGTCATTTAAGTAAATCCATAAAAATTATATATGTAGCCAAAATTCGCCATAAATTCTGAATATGTTTTCCTAGGAAAACCACCCTTTCGAACTTTGGAACAAAAGTGGGCCCAAGTTGCATCCGTGTCAATTTAAAGGAAAGTAAAATTTCGGTGGGATTTTCCGCTTGGAATGTCATCCTGTCAGGTCAGTTTAACAACATTATCGGTTATTTTGTCCAAAATTTATACATTAATAATTTGTACTTGCATTATCAGGCGATTATACTGCAGAGGGATCCCTGTTGAATGGTAGCATGCCACTTAAATCCAACGGTAACTGGTCGACCCCGCTCGTGATGGCGTGCACATTCAATTCCAACTTCCATTATGTCAACCAGTCCTATATCATGCTTGACACGGATGCAGACGCTAATATAATCGACTTTCGGTGTGGTAAGAGATTCGAGAAATTTGCGAATTTCGGCATACAATATTCTAGTCAACCATGACATGCAAAATGGATAAATCTAAACAATGGATACTTCGTAAAAAAATTTCTAAGTCTTAATTTTTTACACCTAATTTCAGATAAAGCTGGTGATATGTATGGTATGTCTGGTAACGTCGGGTGTGATGCAATTAGAGGGACAAATTTTAACCCTTATTACACAAATGACGTCGGAAAACGGTTCGATCATTTAAATGAAGTTTATCCTGGATTTAAGATTCTAAATATTCGACCAACTTAATTTACAGAGGTTTTGATGGTCTATTTTCAAATATTGAGAAGACAAACAATGTGACTGGAGTGAAACGTTATGTGGAGAAGATGTTGCGACAAGAAATGCAACCCACGTACGCAGCAGGTGTAGCAGATCGTGATGGAGTCGTAAGGACAAAGTTTGTCCCGTTGTTTTACAAATATGTGACAAATTTAGTGAAGGTGGGGTGATGTTGTGATATCAGATTTCGGTTTGACAAGTTAATGTTTTTAAACAATTTATATATTTGATTTTTAGGAAAAATCAGTTTTTGAAATGATGAACTTTGACCCTGTGCGGCACTTTTTCTTTCCGAGACAAAATACCAGAGAGATGAGCCCAGGGGCTATGTCAACTATGGATAATTGAAAACAAGCATAATTCTTGTTGTTCTACCCATATTTATACCGCTGAGTATGCTATAATCTTTAATGGCGAAATTTTTCTCACAATTAAATAAATATTATTCAGGAACACTTTCCCCTGAAAAGTAAGGTTGGTGGATCTATTCAACTTATAAATAATTTTGTTAGATGAGAGAATATTATTCGGAAAATTATGTACTATAAAATTTATCTTAATTGAAATCTTCAAGATCCAATCATCAATTTGACAATTGTTCGATAGTAAGCAATCGAAATTCGGTGTTAAATTGTTTCCATTACTTAAAACTCCATTAAAATGTAGAATGTGGTTTGTTATGTAATGCATTTTCTTACTTTAACATTTTGTCGCAAAATAAGTATTTATGTCCCAATGTAGCTGCAATTTAAATACGAAGACGACGATTTATTTATTACAAACTCATGCTAGTATCTTTACTTGGATTATATACATATACATCGTAAATTGTGCCGCAAATTGGAATGATATTGTAAGTATAGTATGAGGAATACATACAAATTTGAATTACTTGCTAAGCCCCCAAATATTCCTCCGTTCGAGAATTCTCTTTACAAGGAGCAGGTTCCTGCAAATGCCAGCATCCGTCACAATCATTGTGGGAAGAGCAGCCGACATACTGCAAGTCCCACATGTTTCCCCGCGTCGTCCAGCACCACTGCTTGTGGTCGTCAGGTCGAATCCCGCACCACGCCCAGCACCGACCCTTGTGACACCCGTAGTCCTGACACCCGTACGCGTACTGCTAGTTGTCAATGCTCCCGTAATCCGCACGTCGTCTCGTCCGATTTCCTGGGGCTGTTTCCTCTTCCGCAAAATCGGGGCCGTCCTCCGTTGGGAACGACGCACTGTTTTTGGCCAAAATGGAGAAGACGACAACCCCCAACATAAGTTTTGCAGCAGTCAGCATCCTGGAAATTTTAAAAATTAAACTAAAGTAATTTAAAGTTTTGTAGTTTTAAAAGCTGAGAAGGAAATACGACCTTACATGTTTCTACTTTTTAATCCCGGTATTACAAAAAATGTAGATTTTTAAGATTGAATTGAGGAAGATTGCTTGAATGATGAATTTACAGTGTTACGGGAGCATTTAAATACCTGAGTGGACACCCAATCTTCGTAAGTAATTTCTTGGTAGAGTTTCTCTAAAAATAAAACGTGTGACGTGCTACATATTTATTTCTATCGGCTCTCATTCATATTCCTTCGTTACTTGTTGTTCCCATTCATCTTGATGCGTAAACATTTTGACATGCTATACACTTTGTAGATATGAGCAGAGGAGCAAACAGTCCAAAGCATTCACATACATGATGTATTTCTATACATATATAACTGGGGATTAATTAACTTAGGATTAGACCAAGTAATGTTGTACGCATTCACTCGTCCAATGATAAAGTGTCCAGATCGCCACTCTTTCGCTGGACAAGAAACAGAAATTGCACTGATGATGTTTGTTTTTTCAGCAATACGCAATGATCGTAACCTTATCCACATGCAGAAAATATGACAAACTAACAACACTCTTATTCATATTTACGATCCATGTATTTTGCTGTACTAAACTTGGTCCACATTTAATTAATGTAACATAGTTAGCCGCTGTGTTTAGAAGCTGTGTTGTCCTTTTCTTAATTTAATTACTTATTTATCTCATTCAAGCAGATTGTGTGACACGTTTTTATCTCACCACTGAAATAAAACGCATGTTTATCGCCAAACAACGAATCTACTTGGAATTTATGAATTATATTTTGATCCTCAAATTTCGGACTAGAACTTTAATTAATAAATGACGTCGGACGATAGGGGTATTTATTGCCATAAGAAGCCGCCAATGTTCATCAGATTTTTTCTACATTTCCCAAAAACCACTTCGACTGCAAACCCAACTTTTTATACAATCTACCACTAGTCTGCATTACGTTAAAAAAACATCAGGTTTGTAATTTTTTCAGTAATTGGCATATTTTTATAGTATTTGCTTCAAATCGAGTTTTATTTTTTTCAGGATGCTGAAAGCTACCATAATTTTTGTGGGGGTGGCGGTACTTTTGTGCATAATCCGAGACATTAATTCGCACCCAACGTTGGAGGTTCCTAACGCCGAGGGGGTCGTAGGAAACGAGGAACATGGAAACAGAACCAGGCGATCTCTAAGCTGCACGAATTACGGGTGTCACAAGAATTCCTGCTGGGCGTACTGCGGGACGAAACCGGAAGCTCATCGGGAGTGGTGTTGGACGACGAGGGGAATCACGTGGGATTTGCAGTACGTCGGATGCACTTCCGACGCCCAATGTGACGGATGCTGGAGTTGTGCAGGGGCGTGTTCTTTGTAAGAATGGGAGCCATAAATTGTGAACCTTTTAATCACTTAAATTTGTACTTGTAGATATGTATGTATAGAAAGTTAGCAACTAATCCAAGGAATAAATAATAATTTAATGTGTGCATCTATCCTAAAAATATATTATCAATCACCTCCCAAAACATGCATTTTTCTATTTTTTCTATCCACGTTCACTTGCTGGATGTGTATATGAAAGGTATAGTATGTCAGCAGACACTCCAATGTTAAATAAAAATGCTCGTGTGGCGAAACCTTACAAGATAGAAAGATAAGGTAAAAGAACTTTATGACCGTCTCCCAAATCTAGGTATAGGGCACGCATACCGTTTTTCGAAATTTTGAAACGTTTTTGAAATATGCACCAAAACGTTTTGTTTTACAAAATAACACTAAATACCACCGTAAATGATTTAGGCCAAAGATTAAAAAAAACCAGCGACAGGGTTATATCCACAGGTGGAATAGCTACAAATTTTAGTCGGAAATTTTTTTCATATCATGCCTCCTTTTGGCGCGAAAATTCAAAATGTCGATTTTCGGGTCGTGTCATTCTGACAAGGGTAGCATGAACAAGATTGACTTTTTGAAGATATTGCAACTAGATAATTATTCCTCAGAGCTATGTGGTATTTCCTCTCATAAACCATTTTTCGAAATGCAGCTTGTGTCTGGCGCTAAGTTCAAAGCTTTGAAAATTTTCGCAATTTCGGCTGCAAATTTCTTACCAATACTACAGCCAAGATGTTACATTCTAGCGACCGAAGCAAAGTGGCACCGTCTTTGGAATGGCCCACCTTAGATTTCTCCTATTTACAACTTATTCGAAATCGACCTGGTTTTTGAGCTATGGCGGGATATCCAAAATTCGACTTTTAATGGGCATAATCGTGGGATATAACGTACTTAGTGTTAAAAAATAGTTCTTTTCCGCGGTTTTACCGCATAACTTGTAATATTTGTTAGTGCCTAATGCAATAACTTATTTATGAGAAATATTTCCTGCCCATTCATTCCTGAGAATTACAAATGGTACTCTACTTACATATTTAATTAGAATATCAAATAGTCTAAACCTTAAGGAACTTCGCCCAGTTTTTAAATCCAGCCTAATTTCAATGTAGGATTAATGCAGGCACAATTTCCAAACCTTTTTCCAGTCCAAGTTATATGCACTTGTGTACATACATATGTATGTATGTACATACTAAATACGTCTTAAGAAGGGTATGCTATATATGTACACACTCTTATTATTACCTTGACCTGCAAGCTTTTCCCAGAATCAATTCGACTACCTGCTTCAAGAGGGGCATGTTTTTGTCCAGCGTTAAAAGCATGTGTTAGGGTAAGGCCAAGGAAAATCCAGATTTTACATGAATTCATCAGCCCCAATCCCTTAATTGACCTATTTAAGACACAACAAGGACACTCGGGTTGCTCAGTCTCTCGAACAAGCTCACTTCTCTCTAACCTTGTCTCAATTATTTTGTGCATCGTATTTTTTAATTCGTAAAAACATGAAGAACATAATTCTTCTTGTATTTGCAAGTACAATTTCCAATCTAATTTTCAACGCGGAATGTGTTCCGTTGAATGAGAATAATGGTTAGTGAGCAATTATTGATCGGCAACCGATAACCTATTTTATAACTTGAAACTAATTCGCTAATTGTATTTCCGCAGAAGACCCACCACAGCAACAAGTTGATCCCTTCGCTAATATGACCATCGGCGTCGTTGGGGGCAAACCGGCCGAATCACTGGACAAGTATCCCCACCAAATTGCTCTCCTCCATAAAGACAAATTCTTTTGTGGTGGATCCATCTACTCGGAAACTTGCATTTTGACGGCAGCGTGAGTTTTTTAATTTTTTTTTTAAATTAGTACGTACATATATAAGTTTGAAATTTGTAAAATTGCCGTATAATTTTAATTTTGCTTAATTGCAGCCACTGCACCGAGTACGATGATGGTAGTTTAATTCCTGCCGATGTAATGTCCGTGCGGGCAGGGTCATTAAAGCACAATTCAGGCGGACAAGTGTACAAAGTTGGGAAAGTAATTCGAAATCCGGGCTACAACAGGGAAGCGTCTTTTGACGGTGATATTGCCATTTTACAAGTAAGATGGTGCATGAAATATACTACATAGTTATTAAATAATAATTAGTTAATTATTTTAATTTTTATCCTTAAGCTCACTTCCACAATTTGGTTCGGGTTCGGTAAAACCTCGGCCAGTCTTAGTTACAAGGAGCCGGAAGCCGGGACAACCCACGTAGTCACTGGATGGGGTAATAAATATAACTTACAGATTTTGTGACGTGATTTATTGTCCTTGATTGAAATTGCTGAATGATTTTGCTCATTAATTTTGCAGGACGAACTTCTGAAACTGGGAAGGATTCTGACGTTCTGCAATATGCCAATGTTCCAATCGTGTCAAGGTCCGAGTGTCAAAAGGCGTATCCTGACGAGAAGATTACGGACAACATGATCTGCGGGGGTTATCCGGAGGGAGGCAAGGATTCATGCAAAGGTGACTCCGGGGGACCGTTAACGCGACAATGGAGCAATATACAGGCTGGGATTACTAGTTGGGGGTATGGCTGTGCTAGGCCAGGTAAATAATTACTAATTTTGTAATTATGTAGATTTCCTGGGTAATTAATTAAATTCTATTTATTGTTTCAGGTCAACCTGGCGTGTACACCAACACGGCGAAATATGTTGACTGGGTCAAGAGTTACTGCTCAAAATAAATTCCTGGTAGCCAATTGAAATGTAGGTATTTGCTAAATTGAGATTTTTTTTTGTTCGTTATGTAAATATTATCAAAAATTGACTAACTTTTTACTAAATTTGCGATTGAGTTTACTTATTTAATAAGCCTAAAATGATCTATTTATAATATTTCCATTTTAAACTAATCTAAATGAATGTATTGGTGTATTACATACATAATTATACGTACAGATATTACCGAGTAAGTATATAGCGTGTGTATGTACTGATTTGGTTCACAGAAATTTAATTTATAAAGTGTTTTTATACCATGATGTGGACAATGTTCTGAATAATTTAGTACTGGGGGGTACAACATAAAATATAATAAGCATGGTCAAATATTATAGTAATTTTCTCATGTATATCAAGCTAACAGCACATGATTTCAGAGTTTAAGGCAACAATTTTTCTGTACTCTTCCTCTGCTACATTTTTCACTTTAATAAATATAATGACATCCATATTTTTTGGCTGGCTAAACTGCAATGCGTCGAAATTTTGGCTACAAAATGAAAATGAACCTCTTAATTTTCCTGATTTCTCTCCTCCTAATATTCAATCTACAAATAATCACAGGTGAAATTGTGAATTATATTTATCCAACAAATTATATAAGTCTGTCAACCCAGGGTAACATTGGTCACTACTTGAAACTTATGTTTTCCTATCAAGTTGGAAATCCGAAGGTGATTTTTACCCATAAATTTGCCCTTGAACTGACACGAACATACATCCTATGGGTATCACGGCACAACACAAATTCTGGAATCTGTTTCCTTTCCGGCACCCTTGGCAATCGAAATTTTATAAATTTCAACCAAGAATTACAAGTCGCAGGATATGTTCCGTCCCTTATTCATCTCATTCCGAATGCTGCATTTGTTTTGACGGTCGAGACTGTCACAGTGCCAGCCGTCTGGTGCCACGTCTGCACCGTATACCCCTTGTCCCTCTATCTGATCCTTCTCTGGACTCGACCCTCCAGTGACATTGAAAACTTCCCAATTCGACACTACTACTCGAGACAACTTCAAAAGTTTGAACCCATCTCTCGAGAAGATTTCGTTCTACGGAACATCTATCAAGGTAATAAGATTAATATAACTACTGGGTAATGGGTTTAATTTACTGGGTAATGTACTACTTGTACTATGTGGGGTGACCAGACTACTCATTAATAGAGACAGCCAGGCCAGCGGCGGTAGCGCATTTAAGGCTAATTGCCGACTACTGGGTAATGAATTGGGTTGGGCATACAGCTAGAAATGTTGTATGTGGTACATACGTATAATCAGGCAAGTATTGATTTCTCAGCATTACAGTTACAACCGTTTGGTATTATAATTATACCGGTCCATAGAAATAATTTGCCTATCGATACTGTAAAATTTAATACCGAGCTATTACTACACGATGTTACTTATCAATACCACTATATGAATACCGCTTGGTAAAATTTTAATACTGGATTTGTAAATATTTGCACATAATGTATAATGTCCGTAGTAGAAATATTTTGTGTTCACATATTTGTTGGCTTTCTTCCTACTTTGATATATTTTTCCATTGCATAATTCTCATTAATACATATTTACGTGGATGAATTTGGGCATACAATAATTTGCATATTAAAAAAAAACAAGGTGCAAAAGTAAATTAAAAGCACGATTTTGTTGACCTTTCCAGCCAATCCACTCCTCCCCACCGACGTAAACCATCAAAGAAAACGCGTCTCAGTCTTTAATTCTCTTGGGGTCATTAAGTGTCATCTGATCCAGGATGGAATATCATTGGCTTACAAAGGCGGAGCTAAACTAAAATCCTATTTCTGCGACCGATTAGTTGAAGAGGTAGAATTTTTGCGAAAAAGCCTCAACTTTACATTTTTCTTCGAAAAGGATACACCTGAGATATCGTTACAATTTTTCACCCCGGAGGAACCCGAGTTTGGACTGACAAGCAGAAACCGATGGTCTGGAGATTCCGAACTTTTCATTCTCTATTGTCGGCCACACGTGAGGTTCAGCAGGTCGCTTAAAGTTTGGGTTAAACCATTTCAACATAACGTTTGGATTGGAGTTATGTTTGCATTTATTTTTTCATCTGTGGCCCAGAGACAAAATTCTGTGAAGAAAATCGAGCCTAATTCTCCCCAGAATTTTTAACTCTTTAAAATCTACGCTGGAATCCGCCTACTTTTTATTCTCCATCCTGATGCGGGAACCTATCCGACATTTTAGCAAGAAACATGTACCTTTCGTTGTTTTGGCTCTCTTAATATCTTGGTGCTACGAAGGCATCATAGCTGGCAGTTTAATCGCACCCTCGAAACTGTATCGGTACAAGGACGTGGGTGATTTTATCAATTCCTCGAAGCAAGTAGTTGGATATTCTAGAAATTTAGCTTTGGAAGCGAAGGTGACTAAATTCAATCCGACATTCATTAAGGTGCTCAGGAGGCATGGCGTACCTCTGGATCGAATTCGAGATTCATTCCACATCGTTCGTTCTGATGTGCACATTTTTGATAAAACCTTGTCACATTGGGACAATTTCTCTTGGGTGGGATATCTTAACAGGAGAGTAACAAATTGTATCCCCATTCGCATGGAGGCTCTTCAACTTTCGGTTGATCTGAGTCCTAGATTTAAGGGTGCAGGTGAGAGGCATGTTTGTGACAAGTTTCAATTTGGGTACAGACAAAATTCTTTTGCCTATTTTGGATTTGCATTGTCCAGAAAAGCCATCAAAGTACATGACAATTTGCTAGAGTTTGGAATACCGCTTTATTGGGATGACATCTTGTTCAATTATGTCAGATTGCAAAATATAAGAAGAAGGAGACAAAATGGCATGAAGGGTTGGGACGAAGGGGATAATAATTACATTGGTTTGAAACACCTACGACAGTTCCTCGTCATGAATTTTGTAGCATTATTGTTATCGGCTGGCGTGTTATAGTGGAACAGAGAGAAGCCGTTGTGGATTATGTTATGCTAGAATTTACGGTAACTCGTAAATGGGTGAAAGTTATGATGTGCCAAGTTGTGCAATTTTCTCTAGTAATGATAAGGAAACGGAAGAACCTGAAAAGAAATATACATAGGAACGATACACACCAATTTATTGAAACAATTAACTGATAAGGTGTATTTATTATTGGGGATATCCGAGTTACGCCTAGCAAGACACATATGTACATACATACTTGCTAAAATAATTAACTGGAAACTGGAAGTCGTATTTATGTATATACACATATGTAAGTATATATTTTAATTAATAAATATATGTATAAATGAATAGCTATACATATTATATAGTAATTATATATGTATAACTTGTAAGCTGCATACGTGCATAATTTAAAAGCCGGGCACAAGCCCGTATGCCTCCAGTGATACCAGGAAGAAATAAACGAGCCACATAAATACCAGAACGACGCTGGTGGTATATTTGGAAAAGGTCTGACCTCCAAGTTCACCACCCAAGGTGCACCTTCTTACGAATAGCAGAACTATTGCCATCAATGAGACGCACGCCAAAATTACTGTTTCAAACGTCAAGCTGTGAAAATATAGCTAGCCAATTAGCACATTACCATTGGTTTCCAATTTTGAAGTCCAACATATATCTACTTACCTTCCTGGGTCGATGTAAAACTTTGAACAGGATTCACACGATGCGTAACTGAAAAACTCGTGGTAAAGTGCCCCCGTCATCCATGCACTACCTAGACCGAAAAATATGGTCACACCATTATTCCAGTGTAATTGTCCAAGTGTCGAATCTGCATGTGGGTCCTTGATCGCTGATGTCCTGTTGACTATGGTTTCTAGTCCGGAAAATACACATAAACTGTTGTTATGAGTATTTATTTATTTGTCATATTTTGTCGCTGTGTGCAGGAATTGTCAGATCCAAAATGAATTGGAGACCAAAGTTGCCGGAAAGTTTTTGGAGAAATATGCGACAACATGCATACATACACAAGTGTGTGCGTATGTATGTATATGTCAATTTAATATTTACCTATTATTTTAGCAGGTCTTATTGGTTTCTTATAAAACCTTATACGCCAACGCATGTATATATGTACGTTAACTGTCATCGCAGACTAATGGTTGTCCAAATTTGTTTATGTACCTGGTATTCTTCTCCCCATTATAATGATCATCCCGATGGTAAAATGACGTAGTCCCACTGAACATCCTAGATGAGAGGCCAAATCCAAAATTAGAGCGGTTAGTAATCCAATTATAAAAATGGAAGTTGTAAATGTTGGGTATCCTCCCATAATATCTGCAATACGTATAGCAAATTGTTATAGTATTTAGTAGCTCCTTCATAATTTCATGCGCTCGTTTTCATATACCAACAAATACTGATATTGTAAAGCTGAAATACACTTATTGTGATCACCTTGTGGTGGCACGAAAAAAGCCAGCATTATTTTCCAAATGAAGACGAACCCATGATTTAAGTATTCTAAGCAAGATGTTCCACTCGAATTATCTAAATAAGCAGTTCATGTTTTTGGTTAACAACAAGTAAATAATGTTCCGAGTTACATAACATTTACATTTGTACATATGTACCATCTACTCCTTTTACTTTGCAAGCATTTATGAACTGTAGCTTCCAAGATGACAAATACTGCGAACTTGTCATTCGACAAGGGATGTGTTGCACTTGTGTATCTTGAAAATTCTATAATAAATTAACGGGGCATTATAGTTCGCTCTGGCCGCTCTATCAGCCAATACAGTCTCTCGCTCAATATTTCTCCGTATGTTTACAACATGCATAATTTTTTGCACAGCTTTTTTACCTTGTCATTCTTATACCGAGATTAAATGTGCACTCAAAAATGTGGAATTTGTTGAATTACAACTAGTGATAGTTGCGCAACAAGAAAATAAGGCCCTTTAAGGAATTGATATGCTACTTTTATTTATATTAATCAATTAATCTCGAGAAAAACAAAATTTTGATGGAAATTGATTTTCGGCATTTAATATAAATAAAAGTAGCATATCAATTCCTCAAAGGGCCTTATTTTCTTGTTGCGCAACTATCAGTAGTTGTAATTCAACAAATTTCACATTTTTGAGTGCACATTTAATCTCGGAATTAGAATGACCAGGTCAAGATTTTGCATTTTTTCCTGATTCGTCTCAACTTGTTAGAGTATGCGTGGTGGGAAGCCACCACCACACATACTAAAAACATAAACAATGCCAGATGATATTTGCAGTTTTTTGCAAAAAATTCAAAATTCCCTCCGAAACTTGTGAACTTTTTACCCCACCGAGTTCATCAGTTTCGCCACTATGTGATTTATGAGGATTGGTTTGACATAAAATATAGTCAACTCTTAACACGATACAAAATTTCTGAATGGTATCAAAATAAAGGAAATCTACTCAAATCACATCAGCACTCCTAATAAGACACTCAAGCACATTTCACTTTTTACAATGACATGCATTTCAATTTGGGGTGGTCCATAAATTATGTCACGCTGAAGATGGGGGGAGGGGTTCCAAGAATCCGTGACAAAGTGTGACATATGGGGAGGGGGGGGTTCGGTCGATCTGTGACATCACGTTTTGCAGGCTTAACTTAGGAGGGGAGCTTGCGAGGTTGATAATAACAGATCTTGATGCCCTTTGGATATGTGATAGGGTCTCATGAGTGTACTAAAACCCTGAAGTGGTTTGACTCCATGGCTACACTTGCGCCCGCCACACCCACTCAAAAATGCCCAAAAAACGCTTCCACTCCAGTTTTCACTCACTCAAATCCACGTCAAAAATTCAATTTTACTCGGATTTTGAAATTTCTTTCATCATTACACTCCCAGATAGTTGCTTTCTTCAATCCAATATCAAACCCAATTTTTTCGAAATTTTTAGTATTTTTAAAATTTGAAATTCTGAATGAGGATTGTTGTAGTAATCAACAACTCAAATTACGCCTGCGAAATAATCATCAGCAAAATTGAGTTTGATATGGAATTGAAAAAAGCAACTATCTGGGAGCGTAATGGTGAAAGAAATTTCAAAATCCGAGTAAAATTGGATTTCTGACGTGGATTTGAGTGAGTGAAAACTGGAGTGGAAGCGTTTTTTGGGCATTTTTGAGTGGGTGTGGCGGGCGCAAATGTGGCCATGGAGTCAAACCACTTCAGGGTTTTAGTACACTCATGAGACCCTATCACATATCCAAAGGGCATCGAGATCTGTTATTATCAACCTCGCAAGCTCCCCTCCTTAATGCAAACTCACATTTTCATTCTCCGACTATGACCAAACTACAGTTTCGCAGTTATTTCGAAATATATGTCCAAGTCCAACCGAATATCAAACCTTCGATCCAAAGCATCCAAAATTTCAACCAAGTTTTAGATTTTGAGATTTTCAACCAAGTTTCTAAATTTTGTTCAAACCTTAAAATAATTTGCACAATATACAATTATTTGAAAATTAAAAAAATTCATGATGCCATAAAGTCTGCACAATTTAAAAAAATCGTCATAGTTTTGCAAAAAATTCACTCAACAATTAAAAAAACATTACTAAATCTCCAAAAATTTGCACAATTAAAAAAAGTCGTCCGAAAGAACCGTATTTTTGATAGCTTCAAAAATGGGTACTAATTGAAGACAATTGCATGATTCAAAAATGTTAACAATTAAAAAATGTATCGCAATAAGAAAACTTAAAAATTTGGCGGATTTTTTCAACTCATTTGAAACTTTTAAAAACTAAAAATACTAAAAAATGAACAGTAATTTTGGGAAAGGTTGTTATCCACAAATCTACCAAGCTATGACTTTTCAACCCATCAAGGGTGTAATATGAGTATAAATAAAGCTAACAATTGTTCCTATCTGTAAAATTACACGGGTTTCACTCAGTTATCTCGAAATATTAGGTTTAAACCGCAATTTGTACTACATCTTCTATGACAAAGGCATGGTTTCATAATTATCGACCAAATAAAGTTAATTTGTGCAAAATCCTGGTGACAGAGTACATAAGATTCCCTTGTTAGTTTTGATATTACGCCATATTTACTACTCGTTCCTCTTTTATAGAACACATGTATGTATCATTCTTGCAATTGGAAAAATTCAGATTTTCAGGCGTGACGTGACAAGAGGGGGGGAGGGGTCACGTTGAGCGTGACAAAGGCGTGACAACAGGGGTGGGGGGGTCCTAAAAAAGGTTTTTTTTGCGTGACATAATTTATGGATCACCCCTTTCTGCTGCAAAAACTACTCAAAATTCACATACTCGACCTGAAACTGCTTGTCTGTCATCAATTTCAAAACATTTGCTAGTCTCCAAGTTGGTCGTATTTTCAGGGTTCGAGAAAGTTTCATCTGGCTTCCTCATCCCACAATGTCCAGCCAGACCCGAGGTTATCACGATAACCGGAAAGAACACAAACGTCATGACACCTTCCCATAAATCAATGACACCCGGCGTGGTATATTTTAATACAAGTATTAACCACAGATATGCAAATATTGACCATGTGCATTGGACTAAAAATACACTGGTGTTTTTAATTTTCCGAATTTTGCCGTTTGGTATTGCGGAAACCAAAACAGAGGTTAGGATAAGATGTCTGTATGCAGCGGTCCCTGTACAAAAATTTTCGCTTAATTTTAAGTCTCCATGTACTTATGTACATAAACTGATCGTATAATGCACATATGTAGCTCACCTAGTATAACACCAGGACCGAGATCCCCTGCGCCATAATTTTTCGAGAAAATTTCAAAAAATGGAATCATAATTTCCACAACCGAGCCCCCCACTGCTAGTAGTGCAAAATTTAGACCCGATCTTTTCCAGACTGCTTTGAAACCACTGTTTGGTAGTTGAGCAGTGATCACATTAATTGAGCCAATGAGCAGACTGTTGCCCATGTTAATCCCGACAAGTACATAAATCATGGCAAAGAGGTATCCCAAACCACGTACGACTGAATTATCTGGAATTTAAATTTGAGATATTTCGAATTGGTAACACGGGCTAATTTGTTTGACGGATAATAAGCTTACAAGTGGACGAATCAGCCGGAAGAAATATGCCTGGTTCACATCTGTCTACATTATCGTCGTCGTAATCGTAATTGAAATCCGTTTCATTTAAGTACTGTTCCATTGTCAGGTATGTATTTCCTTATTAACTATAGAAAATAATAAGGTTAAGAGTGATTTTTAAACAAGAATCTCGATATCATTCTTTCTTTTGTACATCGAAAGAGGATGCAAAATATTGACCTCGCACCGGGTGAGTCACTCACTGTCCAACTTTATATGTAGTAGTAAGCCCAAGCCCATTAAAGAAAACATACATACCGAGGTTGAACCGCTAACACGTGAACGCGGATGACCTTCAATTACTGGTTGAACGGCTTGGAGTGGAGGTCTCGAACATTTTTTATGTGAAAGCCCTTTTCTCGAGCTACAAGTCGGTATCGGCGATTTCAACTTTTGTACACTGATTTGACCATGGCGAGGTCAAGTTTAGACCACTCGTCTCTCAAAACTTTCCAAACTCCGTCAAAAGTTTTTGGGTGGCGGAGAAAAGATTTTATTTCAGATATCCAAAGCCGAAAAAATTCTTGGGACTTACATAGAGTGACTTAATAGGTATTTCACTATTTTGGATGATTGTTATCCCGAGTGTAGCTTTTAAGTCCTTGGCGTAATCCTGGGTCAAAAGGGCGGTGTGCGATGACGCTGCGTCGTAATGAACTATCACTTTTTTTGTGTCCTAGCCATATAGTTTTGGAAGATGAATCTCCAAAAGCGGTTTTAAAACAAAGTCAATGAAGTACTTCGCAGTTACCTTCACTTTTTTTGGAACTTTGATAAGTGGGAGGAGACCACGACCAGATAATGCACCAACCACCATGAACTTGTTGCAAAACTTTTCCGTGTGCGGGATGGCCAATCTTCTGGAATTATTTTCTTCTTTGGTTGTATAGTAAATTTTTCTCTGACCGTTGGTATCTTTAAAGAAAATAATTCTTCATCCAACGACACTAAAAAATCACTTTTATCTTTTGTCAGGTAATTCATATAAAATTTTTTGCAGGTCAGACGACGATTTTTTTATGCTTCTCGAGTCAGCTGATGGACTCGGATTTTTCTTCGTTTTTGCTTCCACAAAATATTAATTGCTCGTCGCAAACTAGTCTCTGACACTCTAGTTAGACGTGCCACTGCTCTCTGGGGTGGTGGGTTGTCCTTAGAGGTCAATAGGTCAATTTTCTTAAGCACGGGCCGAATTAGCACTTTTCGGACTCGTGTTTGAGGCATGAGGGTTGTCCTTTGGTACGAGCTTGTCGTTATTGACCTTCATTTTTAAGTACCTTATGTATCTGGCCTTTCGAAACTCGTTGTCCTTGAGTTTTGAAGTGGTTAATTATGTATGTGTACGAAGAATTAAGTTTGGAAAGTGTTTTTATGGTACCCTCTTACTCTAAGGTCAATGGTCGGGTCATTTTTGAATCTAGAGAGCTAATTTTTTGCTCAGCGCCCTTGTCAACAATCACATGTCGTTATGCTCAAAATTTGGAACCGAAACTCCAACCCGTTTCGGAGCAATTCAAGATCGACCGCGTTCACGTGTTATCGGTTCAACCTGTATGTAAGTATATTTTGCTAGATAACTAGTTTTAACTATAGTATTATCTGCAACATAATTAAGTATGTGTTGATCAATAAAATTTACCCTTAGTGGCATGTATATGTACATATGTATGTAAGTATGTATAATAGCTTGTACATACGTTCATGGTTGGAATGGAATATTAGTAAACAGACTCAAGATTTCTATGAGGAACTGGATTTTGTATCTGGAACTGCGTATTTTATACGTAGTATGTACGCCTTTGTATAAATATATACTTGTATGTATATAATATATATGTATCTTACCAAGACTGAAGGTATTTATATGAAAATCCGTGATGGAACTACTTTTTATGTAAGCAGCCAATAATTAGTTACCCAAAATACGATTCTGCAACCGATGTACTTACATAAATGCATATGTGCATATGTATTTATCTAGTTAAAATAAATATTCGTCCAATTTCAATATTTCAGTGAAGAAAGTGTAAAGTGTTAGAGCTGATCAATCACTACAAATACGAACGTATTGGGCAACTCGCCAAGAAAATATTACGAAAAGGCAGGCGGATGTTTATGTATGTATACATTTTAGCAAAGTCGGAGGTCAAGACTTGCAAGCAACAAGCTCCTGAACGCATACGATGTATGTATGTGTACATCGTTACATTTAGTAGTTGATGTACGAGGGGGAAAACCCGGGTAACAGTACTATCGGAATTCGGAACAACCCACGATGAAATATGCACCTATAAAAAGTATTACACACCAAGATATTGATTAGTGTACATCCATCCACTATATGATGCAGCTGGAATTAGGAAAATCTAGGTTATCCAAATTCTCAAGTCTTTGAAATTTCTGTATTTACTTCCTTGTCACCTAATTATGTACATAATTTAAGCATAACTTGAGTGAATGATATAATAATTTTAGTGTAAAATAAGATAGACCATGTCGACAATGTTTGTCGCTGCAACTACTTGTAAAAATAATACTTCGACAATCAAATTTTCCCCCTTTGTAAGCACAAGCAAGGAATTTGTTTTTGCCTACATTATGCTAACCGGAGGTCGAAGACAAAATGAAATTTGTGGAAAATTGAACATAACTCAACAGAAGGGAAATAAAGTGTCCAATATCCACAGCCCCAAGTCTGACAAGTGGCATCATTATGGTAAGTGTTAAAGTATGTAGATCAGTGATTGATGAGGATACATATTTATTACGAGTTCGCATCGTTGGCAAAAAAAGTTGGTAAATTCGCAAAAAAACACTTTGGCTTAAAAATTCATTTGCGAACTTGCGCATCTCCAAGTTTAGTATTTATATATTTCGGAAAATGTTTTTCAAAATTATGTTACAATGCGAACATGCGAACTCGTAATGAATACCCCCAATATTTATTTACTTAGCTTGAATTCATTCAACTGTTCGATGCGTATTTTCATAATGCATTTTCCTCCGTAGCACTAGTCGTAGAATTCCATGGACAACTAGCAAGTACCGCATTTGAAGACAACAACAAACCTCTGCCACAGCTCGTACCTGATGCAACTTCCGAACTTATTTGCAATTCTAAAATATTTGCATTAGTTTCCGGAACAGAAAACGGTTAAAAATGATTCTCATTTACATAAATAAGTAGTGTACTCTTCTCCTAAGCATTTTTACTCATGTCAATCGTATTAAATTCTACAGGAATTAAAAAACAACTCAACTTGAAAGAGCAGACTTACATCTTAGCCAGAAATCCAGCATCATTTCCCTTCAGAATTCTACTTCCTGAAAATCATGACCAACTCCCATCCTCCCTGAAATCTTCGAACCTCAGCGTCGAGTACTTTCTTGTCTGCTACCTTCGAACCGAACATGGCTACGAAGAACTGGACAAACGGCCCCTACATTTCCGTGGGCATAATTTGATAACATTCCAAAACGAGTGCAAAACAGTGAGTTGGACCACATCGACTAATCAAGTCACCATAGTTTGCACCTCTCCACAAAGATATTACAGACTTTGGGTAAAACAACCTGTACTTTTCACGGTCACTCTCGATTTTGAACATGAAGAAGAGGAGAGCAGCCTCGTGTTCTGTGAAGTTTCAGTCGTACAAAGAATTTCAATGGGAATCGAAGTTACTGAAACTGTGGTGGACTCAAGGTCTGAATCGAAATGGATGAAAAGATTAAACTTGACATTTTGTGGGAAGCTACTGGACCCCAAGATTGGGGGACATGCTCAAATTCTGCTTCCTTCATATAACCAAGATGACGAGGGTGGAGTAAAAGTACAACATTTTTTAAAGGTGAGAAGAGCTATGTATGTATTTAGTAGCAGTGGCCGCGGAAGCGTATGGATACAGGGACAATGTCCCCACGGTTATTTGATGTCCCCATCATCAATATTAATATCCCCAGAGCCTATGCGGCCACTGGTAGTAGTAAAAATCTTATGCATAATCTGTATCTATCTGCTGTAAATCCAGTTCAAAGTTGTTCTGCCCATGGAATTGGCTGGTGATTCGTTGGAACACTTGGAGGAAATCTTTATTGGAACTGGGAGACTTTTAACTGCTAGCGAGACGAACAAAGGACCAGGATTATTTTCTAGAATAAGATCACAATCCGTGTCATCTTTGCTTTCTCTCTTTCCACCGTCATACTCGGGTTTACCTTCACGTCGAGGGTCGCAAATTTCACTGGAAACATGTCAGTTTAAATGTGTAAATCTAAATAATTCATGATTTTGAAAGTTGACGTGGTGTTACATATTTTGACTTTTATTGGTTCTAGTGCCTCCTCATTATGACGACTTATCTAATCCAGATGAGACTATGTCTTCTGATCAAGAGTGACAACTTACTTTACAGTATTCGCTTTCCATACTATTATGTTAATTTTAACTTAACGACATGATTTACACATGAATGTACATACATAAATGCATGCATACTACTGATTTTACTGATATTGTGAACAATGAAAATATGCCCAAAACATTTATGATAAAAACGGATGTCTTTTATTACTGTTGAATTAAAAGCATAAATGTGTAGATGCGAAATATAAAATATTCTTTATTTAGCGACTAAGACAATAAAGAAAATTCTGGTGAACTTCAATTCATTCATTAAAAATCAAATTTTCTTCTGAATATTATATCTAACATGTTTAAAAAATATCATGATGTCCTGTTTTTCAACGTAAAGTTTTAAATGTCAATTTATTTTTAATCATCCTATTTAACTATTTACATTCGGATTTTCTAATAAAAACTATTTTAAACAATTTAAAGCACTAGACTGGTTCAGAATCCTTCGTCTCATTTTCAAAAAAAGTCATTAAAATACATGGAAATGTCTTAGAATTCGGACTGCAGTTGCATTGGGATGACATATCTTTCAACTACGCCAGATAGAAAATATAAGAACAAGTAGCATGAAGGGTTGGGATAAAGAGGACAATTATATTGGTTTGAAACGCCTACGACAAATCCTTGTCAAGTTGTCACGAATTTGCAAAGAAAAGATGTATAGGAATTTGGCAGCATTACATATGCTCGGTCGGCGTGTTTATAGGGGAATGGAATAAAAATCGAGGTGAATTATGTTAGACTAGTTTTTAAATTATAATTTGGGCGAAAATTGTGACGTGCTAAGTTGCACAATTTTCGCTAACCGAAAATTTGGAAATTTTCATAAGAGGGATAAGAGCATAGATTAATATATAAAGATAAGAATGAGAATTTTCAGGGTTGGTGACAAAATGTGGATGAGAGGAAATATTACCTCCAAAATACAGATAAAAAATATGTTTGAATTTGAAACCAAATCCAGAATTTTTGTGCTGATCTCGGTTTCATGAAAAAATGCATGGCCAGAAACAACGAGTCTCACTTTGTTCCAAATCAAGAATTTTTTCGGGGCAAGTTTTCACAATGTTTTCACACGAGTCCAGCAGCTGGATTTGCATGGTGCATGATAAAAAATAAATTAAAAACTATTGTTTGCTATTAATTTTAAATTTAGTTTAACTGAATTTGAAATACCAGACAAACAATTGTGTTTTCAAACTTCATGCCTTGTTGTTTGGAGTTGAATTAGCTAAACAAACGTAAGTATAAAGGGTAAAGAATATTAATTATGATTCATAATTTATGAATAACAAAATTAATTTTGCTAAAATGCTAATATTATTATTTTTGGTTATTTAAGCTATTAGAACTGGGGGTGTGTCTCTCTAACCTTGGTCGTGATAATTTTGTTCGCGAAAAACATGGATTATTACAATTCCGGTATTTATTGGGTCCTCATTTTACCAAATATTTTAATAATAATTTGAATTTGTATGTCAATGTCAATCTAGATTTAAATTACATGTATTCACTACTTTTCACTACAGATAAAAAAGAGGACACGGTTTTGTACCGTTGCGACCAGTGTAGAACATTCCTCTCAACCAAATCACACCTTTTAAACCATCTCCATAAATGTGAAAGCAATCAAGATGATGATACAACAATGCAGACAATGTGAGGAATTCTCATCAGCAAATAAATTTACATGGTACTCTTAATGAATTTGACCTTAAATTTAGTGACGGATGGAGCGTCGTGACCTTTCCTTCTCTTTCGGTCTGTCTCGATAAATTAGATGATTTTAGGGTCATTGTTCCCGATGGGGATGAAACTGGTTTTGCCGTTGTCAAGCTGGAGAATGATGAAATGAAATTTGAAGAAGCCGACGGTAATTAACACAATTAATACAGTTAAAATATTTCGTTACATTGAAAAATCCTGTGCAAGAAGAAACTTCATATTTACAGTTATTTTACTTTTGTAACAGGTCACCTAGAAATCTTGGACTCTTACAATTATCGCCCAAACGCTTTGTTAGTCTAGTAAAAATAATTGTAAAAATTGACATGTAGCAAGGAAATTCTAATTGTTTGCATTTTGAACGTCAACTTGATTAGAACTAAACCTATCGTCGCGATGAAACGTTTTAATGATCCATCTTTAACATGTAAAGGATGCAACCACACCTTCACTTCGCAGTGTTTATACGATCGCCACATATCCAAAATGTAAGTCAATTGAATGAAAGTGTAATGAAGGATTTTCAAAAACACCAAAATCTATCTTCTTAATTTATTTTTCCTCTAGGAACAAATGTAATCCGACCATTCAACCGCACCCCTGTCCCCATTCTGGTTGCAGGCGCATCTTCTTCCAAGCCTCCAAATTATCTATCCATCTCCTCAGTCACCAGGAACCATCGGCCCCTCGCCATCGCGAAAATCGCGATACTGAGAGCAGCAGAAGGTGGAAAGGTCCCACAAAATTGAGAAAACCGAGAAACCGATCATTTTCGGATAATATAAAGGAGGGAAGAGAAAATAAGCTAGAGAAGCAAAATCGGTACCAAATTATATCGATTATAATTATAAACCGTAATATATGTTTGCTTTATTGTGTATATTATCTAATATTTATTTATTTAGCAACAACAGGACTGCTCCTAACGAAGAAGACGAGGTTGTGTCGCTTCCAAAGTGCGAAAAAACTGAGCATTCTCATTCGTGTTCCATTTGTGGGGAAACATTCCGTCTTCCTGCCTCCCTCCGAGTACACATGACCAAGGATCACATCAACCTAGATGAAGTTCAAACAAGTAGGATAGAACAAGAACAAATCCAATTGCTGTCTTCAAATCCCATACTACTACTAACTTTTGGTGGAAATGCCCCCAATAATTTTGGAAGAAATTACCAGAATAAAGTTGTAGGTAACGAGTCTGGAAGTTTTGTAGATAGTACGAATGACGATGATGGTGAACTAATTACTGAGGATGCTATTAAATTAGAGATTAAAGAAGAGATAGACATTGACCTTGGTCCAGTCAAATTTGAGGTAATAACTAGTGACTCGGAGGAGAATGTATATCTCTGGTACTGATTATCTCTAGATTTGTATAAAAATATATTTACACATACCAATTGTTTAATCGAATCGAATATGTTGTATGTAAATGTAAGTATCAACGAAGAAATAGCCTGAATTTTGGGCATACTCCTCAAGAGGTGTGCTATTGTTAATTTTATTTCGTCTATTTTATTTTATTTTATCTTAGGGTAGGGTTTCTATTTTTGTAAGTTACCTATGATTAAAATGAACCCACAAATTGGTTCTTTGACATTTATTTTATATTTGTAACCAAACAAGCTACAAATACAAACTCTGCCATACATGCATGTACTACTCTACTGATAATATTTAGAAACCGGAATAAATTTGCCTTTAGTAAATAATATTTACTGATTAATGTAAATATATCCCTAATTTCATTCATACGACTCGCAACCCATGGGAAAATTATGACCACCAATCTCAATTTATTAAAGGCAGGGAGACAAAGACGTGAGTGGCGGGAGGGTCATTTGTGATTGTGACGTTTCGCTCGAGTTCCACTCATTTATCTCTGCGAGCTGGCTGCACCGACAAGGGACTAAAAAATACTCCCAAAATAAAGAACTGGAGTTTGAAATTTTGCAGTTTTGCACATTTATTATCGTAGAATCAATTAAGGCAAGTATATTGAATAATAATAACCCTGATTCGAGGTAAAATCAGGTCGAATTTGAACGAAAATCTCGTCACGTCACGAGATGGCACATTGTCTTATTTTTTAAATCAAATCCGCATTAAAAATATATTTCTATAACGTACTTTTTGTATAGTATAGAATTTTAATTTATATAGGACAAATTTAAACTTCAAAAATCCTTATTTAGTTCATTCTAGCTTGGAGAATTGTTCGATCAAAATGGAAAAGCGGTCATCTAACAATACCCCCAAAGGGAGTCGAGTTCCGTTCGAGAAATGGATGGGTGAACTCGCAAGTGGAAAGGTGGATGATTTGTGTGCGCACATGGCGAAATTGCAGGCTGTAATGTCCGACCCTGCTTATTTGGATGAGACATTCGAGTTTCTGGTCAGGATGGATTTGCCAAAGGCTGAAGGACAAACTACACCGTGGCTTTACAACGTGGAAAGGAAACGTTTCAAGGACGCATTTACTTGGGAGGGCAAAAATAGTTTGCAAGATCAGATGAAATATGCCTCCTTCGTCATGAGATCGCTAAATATGCCTGGTGAATTTCACGGCGTTGAAGATGTAGCCGATATTACCATTGTAAACTCCCTGGACTTCATGATAACTTACTACGAGACGGCTAAGCAAACTGAACAGAAGGTGAGTTAGGATTTATGATCGTATAAATAAATAAATGTGCATACTTCTATAAATCAATAATATGACTATGTTACAGAGCTTGGAATTGCGGATGTTATCTCGAGACCGACTGCACCACTTGGAGTCTTCTTTGAAACGGGAGGAACAGACGATGGCTGAACTTTCTATAATTACTAAGGAATTCAAGGAATACATTCAGGAATTTAAGGCTGGCAAAATTACAGTGGAATCTCTCAAGGAAATGGACCTTGGTCGAAAGAGAATTGTAAATGTGTTTAGAAAACGGACCAGTGATATTGATGCACAAATGCAAGAGGTACTACGGTGTTTAAAATAATTTTTTTTGCAATTGAATCATACAATTGATTAATTTTATTAGGAAAAGAGCAAGATGCCGTCACTGTTGACTTCAAAGAACGATGTATCCCGTCTGGTGGAAAATCTTGGGGAAATGGAAAAAATGTGGTCAAAGCAATTGGTTAATATCATGCTCAAATTTAAGATGTCCCCAAACTTCAGGCCATTTGAACTCTCCGACAAGATTAAAATTGAGATTGAAGTGGTGGAACGCTTGAAGAAAATGTGCAAAAGGATTGAGATTCTTGGAAATCTTTTGCTGGTAAATTTTGTATTTCACTCACTCTAGTAAAATATTGTGCTGTTTATTAGGTCAATGAAAAGAAAAGAACTAAATATATATATACGTGCGTTTACAAAAATATTTATTTGTAGGTTTAGTAGTACACAGTACACATGCATCATTCTGATAAATAATTGTCCCGTTCTTTTGTTTATATTATTCTACAGGCGGAGACCGACGTGGCTAAAAAGAACAAGTTTGAGGAGGATTTGAAAAAGGAAGAAGATGAGTTGAAAACGTTTTCGGAGAAAAAGGAAACAGTTGATGCATTTGCTTTTGTGAACACTGGGACCATGCAGCTGATGAAGAGAGCGTGCAATAATGAAGAAATTATCAACGAAACAGTATGCATTTACTTTATACTAAGCAAAAAATTAGTTGGTAACTCAACTTTCGTTTTGACTTATTTCCTCTACAGATGGATGAATTATGGATTGTTTTCAACGAGCATGCCAAACGGCACGAGTTGCCAGATCAGTACGCCGCAACGGAAAAAGAAATTGAAGAACTCATCGGTATTTACAAGGATGACGAGGTCGACGAGGAGGAACATGAAAATGACGAAGACAAGAAAGTTGAGAATGACGAAGACAAGAAAGTGGAGAATGACGAAGACAAGAAAGTGGAGAATGACGAAGAAGATAACAAGGAGAATAAGGAGGAAAATGTCGAAGATTTTGAGACCAGTTACCAGAAAAAGGGAGACGACTAAATTTATGCTTATGGGTATCCATTAATGAAACCTCAACTAATTGGACACTGATTATTTAATAATTCACATCTAACTCATGTATTTTTGAATCTGACTCCCAATACTTTAAATGATTTATTGATTAAACTTGACTAATTTATAAGATGATGCCAATTGTAACTTACGATTTGATAGCAAGTTATAACTTATAATTTAATTGATTCAGTGTCAATGTTAAGTGCGAGTCGAATATATTTAGTAATGTAGTATGACCGATATAGATTGTTAACTTTTATTTCTTAACCAAGTGTAAATCTATTATTTGTTCGAATGAATAGATAAACGCTCAAAGTTTTCTCAATTTTCCTTAAATCGTTTTAATTTTTGTACTTACAACACACTAAATAAATTACTGACACTATTAGGCCAGAATAAGTTGACATACTGACCGTTCAATCTCGGCTACACAAACTTTGAAATGATCGTCGTAAAGAATTAGTTCATTTTCTCTCATTGATCCAAATAAATGTTGTGAGTCAATGCTAGGAATTAGTCTGGGTTTCCATCATATTACAAATATTTTTATTTAGGTTATATATGTACATAAGTGCAATGTACTTATTTACGGTAAATACATTACAGGTAAATAATTTACCTGTACAGATACGTATGTACATATGTACACACACATAAATGTAAAAGTGTTAGTTTTCATCACTAAATCCTACTTAGATAACAACAGATTCATTGTTTGCATCAAAATATACGAAAAATAAGTAATTTTAATTTGGTTGTCCATGTAGTATAACCTGCAATAGTACAGCTGCCCGCAAAGCTTAACTGGTTCCATGGACTTTATTCTCGCTTTTAAGACCTTCTTCTCCTTCACTGTTGACAAACTAGTCACCCACGATTGCCAATTTCTTAACACCATTTGCGAAATTTCATACATATCTATTATTATTTGAAGGGAAATGATGGAAAGAACCACAATGCAAACATTCACACTAGGAAAATACAAGTAAAACCAGAGCGGAAAATGTGTATGCATCCGAATCGTTACATAACTGAAGAGAATCATGCAAGACATGCCAATCCCCATTAAAACCACGATTAGGTATTCCAGTAATTTTCGTACGTTTTGAAATATTACGAATAATCTGACATATTCCGAAATCAGGGCGTTCAAACGCCACCGATTCCTCGAGCTTGTTAGCGCTTTTAGGATTTCCTTCATCATTTTGATTGCAGTCAATATCAAAATTAAACTTTGTGGGAAACATCGACAGATCTCCCATATCGCTACGAGGAGTGTGTAGAAGGCGAATGTTCTCCCAATTATGTCCCCAAACCAGGTGAGGTGTGTCATGTCAACGAGATAAGCACGGTGATCCACTTTTAAAAATTGAAATGCCGGCACGAGGATGAACGGGTAAAAGGTGAATTGGTAGACGATAACTGTCAGGACGATCCAGAAAGGATCACTTCTCAGCTTCTTGGTTGTACGAACTGAAATTAATACGACACTAAATTCAATGTATACATATTTTTAGGAGAAATTATTTTCAGAGGTAATTTGTTTTGTATTAAATATGTGCATAAATGTAGATATGTATATATATCCTGCATAAATGGCAATACACAAAGCGAACAAATAGATAGATTTAAGGAATTTTGGACAAGTATCGGGTGACAAAGTTATTATTGATATGGGAAGTTTGGGACAATATGTATCAGCCCCCTCAAATTTATTACACGCTTCACGTCCATAATGAAATGAAAATCTTTGGGAATAACTTGGCGTTTCAATAGGGTTGTTTCTATTCTAGTAAACATGTTACGAATTAGTTAATACGTACATGAAATCAGTGTGTATTTAAATGCACTCATATTGGAAAAATACAAATGTATGATGGGTGTGATAAACCCAAGACAGTTAGCATCACAGAAACAGAAAGACATATTACAGCTATTTCTATTGAAAATAAATACTGTTTTAACCTTCCTTTTAGAAATTACTAAATTGTTACAGCGCTAAATACTGTTATATATAATTTGCTTACGTTCTTGATCTTTACGTCTCGCATATTCTGCAAACAAGGCGTTCCATCCTCCCACGAATTCTTCTCCATGAATTATATTCCCAATTCCCACGAGAAATCCGAACATGGCCAAAAATAGAATGATCACGTGAAGAAATAAAATCGGGAGTGGCGTCCACGAGACGAATCCATGCAATTGTGAGAAGAGTAAGACACCAACGCCTACAATCCCAGTAATTCCGATGATAAAGATCAGGTTGAAATGCCACCAAAACGTGGCATAAATTCCTTTCCGATAAGTTATCTTTTCCAAAGAAACGTTCCATTCCACGATCGGCCTGGATATGTAGCGTTGCATGCACTTATCATATCGTGCAAGTACCTGAAGAATCCCGGCGTTAAAAGCGAACATGATTATGATCAACTTTATTTTATAGAAATTTAAAAATAATCGAAAATATTTATTAAAGTATGCTTTCGGACTCTTCTACATACTATGAATTTCGGGGAAGTGCTCGCTTGCTGGTCACTTTTCGAAAGGACAAGTAAAATAAATAATTCTGCGAATCACGAATTTCTATTAATGGAGAAGATATGAGGGTATTCATGATTTTTTCCTAATCGTAGCCCTAGTGCTTCGTACCGTAAAATATGCAAGTTACGACAGCTACAAGATTTTGCAAGCGTCGGAAAATTGTGTCATCAAAAATTGCGTTATTAAGCTTATGATTTTTACGAAGCTGGACCCTTTATTTTTCTTCTACATAAATTATTTTACGATACTCAGGATAGGAAGACAATTATGAATACCCTCTTTGTATGTACTTATGTATGTATGTATGTATGTAAATATAGACGGATAGTATTTAATATCTTGGTAGTGGTTAGTAGCCTTGCACATACATAATTTAAAACACTGGTCATGCTAAAACGTCAAAGTATAGGACTCGCTTCGATTTAGTTTTTCATAAAATATTTTCCAAATCCAACATTGACATGTGTATGTATCTGCATATGTACAAATAGATAAATGATACGTAATAAACCCTCCAAACAAATGTAAATAAGTAGCGTCAGAGCGATTCAAGCTTCCTTTAACGTTTCTCCATATATGACCTCGTCCTAACCGTCATGAGGTCAAAAATATTAACGTCTTCGAATTCACGGTGAAATTTCTTTTAAAATGACACCCCATATGAAAATTATGTGTTTTCTGACCTGACCTCGTCGTCAAGGTCATAAGGTCAAAAATATTGATGTCGTTGAATTCGTGGCGAAATTTCCTTTAAAATTATACCCCATTTGAAAATTAACGCGAATTTAATTTTGGACCACACCCCCTGGAGCTGTGTGGGGTGGTCCGATTGACTCCATGATCGAACTCGATCGAGAACTAAAAATTAGAAGCACAATGGCGAAAACCGCTTTTGATTATGTTGAGGCATTCTAAAGATATCCAGGATATCATATCCTGCTTACGGACGGACAAAAGTGATCACAATAAGTAGCTGACGCTATTTAATAATGCATACTCTGCAACCCATACTAAAATTTGTATTACATACATTCTCATAGATAAAGTGAATGAATTACTCGCAATAGATGGAAATAAGTGGATAGATTTAAAAATGTGTATTGTATTCATATGTCCATGTATTATTATCATACGCACGGAACAAACCATAAAAAGGAAGTAAAATAAATTTTCTAATCAAAAATCAATTAAATCAAACGTTTATAGAAAAATTAATTTTCATATATGTAGAAAACCTACCGATATATATGTAGATATGTACATACATGCAAGTGTATCTCTTGGATCGCTGAAAATTAACGCTACAATTTGAACCGGGCGATGGCATTCTATCCTTCCCATGGGTAATTATTGCATGGAGCATGTGGGTCAAAATCCTCCAAAAGTAATCACCAGCTTGATGTATGCACGGTCCCATTTTTACATTCAGAATTAGACGACAACTTGCAAAAACAGTATGTCCTTAGGTACATAGACACGTCTACCCCCATAGTTTGGTCATCAAAGGAATGGGAAATAAATCAATAACGAAGTTTGAGGAATAATGAAGAATTACTTAAAATATGTATGTGCTTATACTTAGTACTTACTGCTTTAAATTAAATATTGCTCGTTCTCCTAGGTTGACGACTTTTTTATTGGTCAACTATCAACTTTGCGACATTGGCAAATACACATTGAGACAGTTCACATGTGATTGATTGGGTTACAAGAACAATGACGCTGTATATGTATAACTATGTACATTGATGGAAAATTATATGTACATGTGCAAATATGCTATTTATGTAAATATTGTTGGGTGCGGTTGTCTTTGCGATGCAAAAAACATAAGGAATAAGTTATAGATAAGATAAGATAGATAAGATTTATTAAGTTATCCTTTTAAAGGCCTCATCGGGCCCATGAAGGTACAATTAATGTGTGTATTTTTAATATTGAGCTAAGGAGAGTTCTAATATTAAATGTGTGTTGGGCAATTGTGTGGTGTAAGCTCTAGACAGTTTAATAAAAATTGAGATTGGGGACAGAAAAAAGATTTAATTTGTGATACTTCACTTTAATTAAAGAGTGTGTGGGGTTAGGTGTGTAAGTGTTTGTGGTGGGATGGGTGGTCTTGAAAGTTGCACTTCGGGTCGGGTGGACGGAGAGGTGGGCGTGGTGGCACAGATTGGGGGGCGGGGGTGGGCCCTACGTGGTGGCCGGGGCGATCTTCCTGTTTAAGATGGGGGTGGGTTGGGTAGCGGAATTTTGGCACGGGGGGGAGGCGTGGGCTGATTTGGGGGGTGGCGTCAATAGTGTATAAGGAATAAGTTATAATAAACAACTTTCATATAAGGTACCTTATACGTAATATCTATATAAAAATCGTTGATAAATTATTTGTAATACGAACTTTGTTAATACTTTCTTATTTTTGCAATAATTTGTTCTACTTATTAAAAAGAAAAATTAAAATTATTCCGAACTCCATACTTTTGTGTCTCATCCTTATCTCTGAATTGGGTCATGACAATGAGAAGAGTCATCAGGACCGACAATATCTACAATCGGGAGAAAAGTATTAAATTAGTCATGCAAATTAACACTTCTATATTTCACTGCATATATTTACAACTTACTGAAAGTACAAAGGTGCGATGCAGGACAAAGAAGTGCCCAGCCGTAATATTGAGGTCACAATTTTTCACTTTTCGGAGTAACGATTTAACCTGAAGTTTTCAAATGTGCAACAAATTTTACACAATTTTTATGCTTGCAATAGAGGTCTCCCAGCGTGTATGCTCTCAGAGTTTGACAAACACAAAGTTAATTTAATTTAACACGAAATTTGCAAGACACTGTCAGACAGTGCCAAGCAATGCATATGTTTTGCGGAATATTTGCAATGTAAAAAGGAGGAAACACACCGTGAAGTTGCCAAATTATACGTTTTCCAAATTTTCTGCCCGCTTTCTCCTCTTTGGATGCGAATATCTCCGCTAAACCTTAGCACTGAAAGATAGCGTCTTCTGAAAATTTCATACTAATTAAATTTGTGATCAATTGATATTACTTAATTTGGTAAAAATAGGAGAGCATACGCTGGGAGACCTCCTTTGTTAGATTAGTTTACAAAATCGGTCAAACCGAATAACTTTACCTCTTCACACTCCATCCTTCCAAGATTTTGTGTCCGTATCTGACTCAATTTCTTCATTAGCAAAATCCTTTTTTGACTCAACAATTCTCCATGATTTCCATAATTATATAACGCGTACATGGCTAAAATTGAGGCGGATATGTTTGTTGCACAAGTACATAACCTTCCCACCTTCCAAGCAACCATAGCAAAATATGTGCATCCCAAAATCCAAACTATGTAAACCCCCACTTCAACTAGAATCCTAATTCCGAACGAGTCGTTAAAACCGTCTACCAATTTTATTAAAATATCATATGCATCTGATGCATCATTAAAACTTCCGATACTCTCAGCACCAGCATTAACAAAAAGACTTTCGAGTGCTGAATGCTGATCCACCTCGCGTAAAATACCGGTCAAAACTGTAGTGTAAATTCTAACGAAAAAGGTCAACCAGTTATTCAAGAGCACATTAGTGTAGGCCAGATAGATCCAAAATATCCCACCGGACACCATTAAAACGACAGCTACTGGCGTAATAATCATGCCATTTTGCGCATCTTGGATCCCAACACCCCACAAGGCGTCAATAGCTATGAAAACTAACGGCAGTACGAGCAGGATGGAAATTTTGAAAAAAATGTTGCGATTTTGCTTTCGCAAGTCTTCCACTAATTCTGGAACATTCCACAAATTTGCAATTTTTCCCACCTGATTGCATTGGAATCTCCAAAAACGGAGAGTTTGTCGCACACAGGCCAATGCATGGACACGATTGACGATACAGTTCGTAAGGCAGGAAGTGCAAAGTATTCCGATAATGATCGAATCAGAAGTTAGGGATGTCAATTGATAGAGAGATTCTTGATCTTGACTATGTTTGAAAAAATATGTGACGAAGACTGCGAGAAATGTGAGGGTGAAGATTTGCGAGAGAAATGGTATTCCCGTCCAGCGGAATTGCAATGATTTTAGTGGTAACGTTTTGGGTGGGTGGTTATCGTCGTTGTTTATGATAACGGGAACTTGTACGACTGAGAGGGGGAGGTACCCGATAATTTGGAGGCCACGGATGGGAAGGTTCCCCACACTTAAGAGTAAGTCTTCTGTGTGACTAGTGTTTTTGGTGGGTTTCATCCAGGTAGGTTTAATCGAGGCGAAATCCATACCTGAGAAATTGGCAATTTCGGCTTACAATTCAATTGTGAGGCAAGTGAAATGTGTTGTGAGGAGAAGGAAAGTTGTCGGAAGAAGGTTGAGCGTAGAGTGGTTGCTAAGTAGATAAGTATGTATCGGTCTCGTGGATAGTGTGGTATAAAATAATTAATTACTCTAATTAATAGTTCGTGAGCATTAGCAATGAATTTTATGGTTGTCTACATATGTTACATAGGATGTCATTTATGTTAGATTAGTATAATTAGCAACCAAGTAACCTCTCAGGAAATTTTCGAAGGAGTAATATTGGCTGAACGGTGAACTTTTTTTTCTGCTCAAGCTCTAACTACATAGATAAATAATTATCTACATCTATGTTATAACTGGAAACGTTTGTTGCCAACGGAAGTGAAAGCCGGAGAAAATAGAAAGTTAATTTGCAGCCACAAAAGAACTCGATCGTGCCAGTAATCAGCTCGGGTGGGTCGTCAACCAGACTAAATTGGATCGATACTATATAACCAATTAGTCAAAACCCATTCATGCACTCCTATTATATTGTTAATACCTATTATTGAGAGCGATGTATGTATGAAACACACCATCGGACTGTCTATCTACATATCTGACCCACCCTCTGTTCCAATTAGCCAAAGAGTTGGCTACACGAATTTTTGTATGTATATATGTACATACATACATAGGTATGTATCTATTTACGGCATAAAAAAAGTGAGCTGGGCATTGAACTTATTTTCATCGCGAAGCAATTTGCAAAGTTGTAATTAATTATACGGGATCAATTGACCCCCCGTTAAAAATTAGCCTGACGAAGAAACCTTTGTGTTGCACAAAAGGTCCTGTGCCAAACTGCCAACTCAGAGGGATATGCATATTTACGTATGCAACGGAGAACAAGTAGATATCAATTTGCGGTAGAGTTTCATCAAAATACAAAATAGCTTAAAATGAGACTCTTCAAAAAATATTACATAAATATACATAACACAAAATCCTATACAAATATTGCAAAGAATTTTCTCATTCTACACTGTCTTTTTTTATTTACAATGGTTTATTTATTTCAAATATGTCTATGTACCTTATAAATAGAACATAAAATTGAATACAAATGTGAAGAAGGTGTGTATGTAAGTATTTATAAATGTATGTCAAAAAAATTATGTAAAAGTGCAAGCCTTCACCATTTAATCCTAGACAACAACAAATTCATTGTCTGCATTAAAATGTACGAAAAATAAGCAATTTTAATATTGTTGTCCATGTAGTACATCCTGCAATAGTACAGCCTTCCACAAAACCTCATTGGTTCCATGGATTTTATCCTCGTTTTTAAAATCCTCCTCTCTTTCACCGTCGTCAAACTATTCGCCCACGATTGCCAATTTCTTAACGCCATTTGCGAAATTTCATACACGTCTATTATTATTTGAAGAGAAATGATGGAAGCAACTACAACAAAAACATTTACACTTGGAAAATAGGCGTAAAACCAGAGCGGGAAATGTGAATGCATACGAATCGTTACATAACTTATGACAATCATGCAAGCCATGCCAATCCCCATCAAAACCACGATTAGGTATTCCAGTAATTTTCGAACGCTTTGAAATATTACGAACAATTTGATATATTCTGAAATCATGGCGTTCAAACGCCACCGATTCCTCGAGCTGGTCAGAGATTTTAGGATTTCGTTCAACATTTTGATCACAGTCAGCAGCAAAATAAAACTTTGTGGGAGGAATCGACAAATCTCACGGATGGAGACGAGGAGTGTGTAGAAGGCGAATGTTCTCCCAATAATGTTCCCAAACCAGGTGAGGTGTGTCATGTCAACGAGATATGCACGGTGATCCACTTTTAGAAATTGAAATGCCGGCACGAGGATGAACGGGTAGAAGGTGAATTGGTAGACGATAATTGACAGGACGATCCAGAAAGGATCGCTTCTCAGCTTCTTGTTTGTACGAACTGGAGTTGATAAATCAAATTACTTAGGGTTAATTGCGTTCATTTTTTTGCCAGACTAAAATCCTCACAACTTGGGATTTTATTTATTGATAAATTTTTAATTTAATTTTATTTGCAATGTATGGTATAGCAAGCATGGTATCATGAATACCATGCCACTTCAGTGTTTTTGGCAGCTATCAAAAAATAAAAATGGTGACGACATTTGACCACAAATTGGGGGTAACTTCTCCTGAAATAGAGAACCGTAAATTGTCATTGTAAAATAAACTTTCTTAAAAATCTCGAAAATCGGAGGTAATCATAAAGATCCAGTAACATAACATTAATTATCGAAAAATCTATCACAGAACAACAACGCGACTAATTATTTTCAAAGATTTATAAAAATAAGACTGAAAAAAATCGAAAATTAAACATCGAAAATTTGATTAGATAAATCCCTGAAGCTGTGGACATAAAAATAAATTATAACATTGCTGTAACATTTTAGGACGAGACGCGTGTTGGGTGATAGTTCACATCACGTAGAGTAAAAACACAAACGGTAAAATATTCAACCTTCCTTTTGTACATAAATAACTAAACTTTTAAAGTGCTAGATACTGTTATTTACAATTAACTCACCTTCTGGATCTTTACATCTGGCATATTCTGCAAACAAGGCGTTCCATCCCCCCACAAATTCTTCTCCATGAGTTATATGCCCAATTCCAACGAGAAATCCGGACACGGCAAAAAAGAGGATCATCACGTGAAGAAATAAAATCGGCAGTGGTGTCCAGGCCGTGAATCCATGCAATTGTGCGAAGAGTAAGACAACAACGCCTACAATCCCAGTAATTCCGATGACAAATATCAGGTTGAAATACCACCAAAATGTGGCATAAATTCCTTTCCGATAAGTCATCTTTTCCGAAGAAACGTTCCACTCCACGATCGGCCTGGATATGTAGCGTTGCATGCATTTATCATATCGTGCAAGCACCTGAAGAATCTCAGCGTTAAAGACCAACATGATCAATTATGTTAGAGAGACTTAAAACTCTGAAATATTAGAGCGATTTTTGAAACATCTCAATTCCAGAGAAGCACTGACTTCCACTTCGATTTTATAAAGGACTAAAAATTCATAGTTACATACATTCGTGATTTTGTAAAGTAAGAATTCTTATTACCCAATAAATTTTTTTCGTGAACACACAATGTATTTACTATATAAAAGTATATAAAAGTGAAGATCCCTCGTGATGGATATGTCGTGATGGTTACATATCGTGAAATGCACACATTTCTTGGCATCAGTGGATTGTTCTAGCTGCTTTCTTGGGTAATTCACTACCAGCGCTGAAAGAGAAGAGATACAAGAGCAAGGTCACCACTAAAATCAGTCGGCATTCACAAATATTCTCCCTCTCTTCAATTACTGAAATAAAATCCGGGCCCCCATCTTCCAACCATCTTCCAAAAATTTAAAAAAAATTATAAATGTAACCATGTAATTATTTGATATCAAACAAAACTTGACTTGGAGGAGGAAACGTACACATGAATTTTAGTTTACAAATATATTTTTGCCTGATGAAGAAATTCTGTATGAATATCGAAAGCTTGCAACAATAAATACTTCAAGTTAAAATGTCCTCTGATGCCGATGTAATGGATCAATATATATGTCGAGGATGGAAACATTTAATAAATCAACTAAGACCGCTCTACGGTGGAGCCCTGGTCAAAGATATCCGAAAACTGGAATTCAAACGTCAAATCCAATTCCACAACAATACAGTATTTTTAAGAAGATGCCAAAAAATGAAAATCATCCCCAGGGGACTTCACAACCAATTCATCACAAAAAAATTTGGCTCAAGGTCTTATTTTACAAAAATTGAAGAAGAAACAAACCAAAAAATCCTCAAAGGACTCATCAAGTCGAATTTTCAAGACCTATACGAAATAGACAAGAAAATATATTCACTCCGGAACCAAATTAGATGTAAATTACCACAATATTGGCATTTGATTTGTCACCTAATAAATCGAACACGACAAAAAACCAATGATTGTATCAGAAATCGGCAAATCAACAAATTCAATACTTTAATGAACGAGAAATTAAGCCTGATAACAAAGGAAAATCCACAAACCATTAAAAAAGTCATCCATAACTTATCATCTCATCCACTCTCGGAGAATGAACAAAAACTACTCTCATTAGGTCTGAATTACTCCCTCCCAATCAAAGACATACGTGTGACAATGATGGATACAGCTGCAATTATTGACTTGAAACTGCACGAGACCGATTTGGAGGAGAGAGAAAAGGAACAAGTCAGAGCCGGAGTATCACACATCATGAAAAAACAAATTAATAGTGGAAACTATATGAACAAAATTGATACTTGGATATCCTCATCGATCAAGTCCCTTACCACAAATAACAACATTTGTATTACTAAGGCAGACAAAGGAAACGCAGTGGTAATTTTGGACAAAAATGATTATAACCAAAAAATGCAGACAATGATCAATGAAGGCCCCTATGATGAACTCATTCAAGATCCTACTCCAGATTTCACAGATTTAATTGAAGTCCACTCAAGTTCATTGAAAACAAATGAAAAGTTATCTGATGCAGAATACTCCAAAATAAATCAAAAAACTCCCAGAGCTCCACTTATCTACGGTGCACCTAAAGTGCATAAACCAGACACACCTCTCCGGCCGGTGGTAGATTTCAGAAGTTCCCCTACATATAATCTTGCAGCAATGTTGTCCAACATTTTGAAGAAAGTAGCCTCGAAACATGAATATACTGTCAAAAATGGAGAAGAATTCGTGAAAGGAATAAAAAATATCAAAATACGACCAGGGGATCAAATGATTTCTTTTGATGTTGTCTCACTTTTCACAAAAGTTCCCATAAAAGAGACCCTGAAAATCATCAAAAAAGACTTCAAGATTATGATAACCTAAATGAACTGACAAAACTCTCAATCAATGATCTAATGGAGCTGATTAAAATTTGCTTAAAATCCACCTATTTTAAATACAATAGCAAATTTTATCACCAAACTGAAGGTACCGCTATGGGATCCCCCATCTCACCAATAGTCGCAGAAATATTTATGCAAGAATTGGAAAAAAAGCTTGTCAAAAACAATCGCAACATTATCTACTGGCGTAGATTTGTGGATGACGTCTTTGCCATAATAAGGATTCGAAGGAAAAGCCACATTTTAAATCTAATCAATTCGTTCCATGAATCCATTCAATTCACATTTGAGGATGAACAACAGGGACAATTACCTTTCCTGGATCTTATGCTGTACAAGAAACCGGACAACTCGATTGGTCATCAAATTTACAGGAAGCCTACGCATACAAACTTGTACCTGAATTATCACTCTTTTCATCCCCCGGCACACAAAATTGGCGTAACGGATACCCTGCTGACAAGAGCTTTAAGACTGTCAGATGAAGACCATTTAGAGAATGAAATCAAATACACAATCAAAATCTTGGAAGAAAATAATTACCCACGAAAAATGATTGAATACAGACTGAAGAAAGTCAAAAACAAAATGCAGTATAACAATAACAACAACTCACTAGACGAACCAGTCAAAAGAATTATATTACCGTGGGCAGGTGAAACCACCACAAAAATTGCACGATTTCTAGAAAGAAAACTAGAAATGAAAATAGGTTACATTCCTGGCCCGAAGTTATCCAGAATGCTAACCAACACTAAAGAGAAACCGAGAACAATAAATTGTGGGATTTATTCAATTCAATGCAGTAATTGTCTAGCAAAGTATATTGGAGAAACAGGACGTGATTATACTACAAGAATTCAGGAACACATTCATGCCATTAGAAGTGGAAATGTAAGATTATCTCCTGTTGCTCTACACATGCATGAACATGAACACAATTTGGACCCAAATTCGTATAAATTAATTCTAAAAGAACCTAGAAGATATTTTCGGAAATTTAAAGAAGCACTGTTCATCAAAAGTACCACTAACAAGATGAATATTTCGAGAGGAGTCGCAGTCAGCCCTATCTGGTCAAGTACACTAACAAACTTTTTAACATATACACAATAGCCCTCAAAGTCCACGTAAAAATTTATAAATGTAACCATGTAATTATTTGATATCAAACAAAACTTGACTTGGAGGAGGAAACGTACACATGAATTTTAGTTTACAAATATATTTTTGCCTGATGAAGAAATTCTGTATGAATATCGAAAGCTTGCAACAATAAATACTTCAAGTTAAAATGTCCTCTGATGCCGATGTAATGGATCCATATAATGTATTTACTTTTATATTCATATGTAGATATCTATGAGAGGATTATCTAATCAGGTTAGCTGCCCATTTAGAATTTATAGCGATGCGAAGTATTTACAGTTACGTTTTTCATCAAATATTGGAAAGTTTTATATGAACTTAATGCAGACATAGGATGAATTTCAGCTACGCTATATACATACTTGTATATGTGTACATATGTTTGTGTGTGTTGTGTTATTACAGATAAGTATAAGCTATAAATATATCTGTATAAGCTATAAAATAAGTAAAATAGTCTGATAACCATATCAATTCATCAAGGTTGAAAAATCAATGATGAATTAGTCTTCGTCAGAAAGGCTATAGTCGATTATTGTTCAGGATTGCCTTTGCAAATTCAGAGACCTTCACATTAAAGAAGGCAACGCTCACAAAAAGTATGGCTTTTGTCGGGCACAATTAATTACAATATTAACTTGGCTATTAAAGGAATGTGGAGTAGATAAATAAATGTGTTCAAGTTTGCATTCGTATGAAAATTAAATAGTTTCAATAATGTGTATTCATATATGCAAATATAGACATGCGAAAGTGATGTATGTAAATATGTATAACACTTTCTTCTGCTTTACACCACATCGATGGGAACATACATTTGTAGATGTGTATGTATGTACAAACATACATAAATACATACATATGTACTTTCACTCCCTTGCTCTTCTCCCGCATCATTTTATTTGATTAAGCTAAAATAAACGTTAATGCAATGAATGAAATGAATACCTATGCACATATATATGAACATACACACACAAATTGGTATACACACATACAAATGTATGCTCAAATTTCAATATATCAAGTTATAAATGTAAAAGTTCAAGGTTTCACCACTTAATCCTATACAACAATAAATTCATCGTTTGCATCAAGATATACGAAAAATACGTAGCTTTAATTTGGTTGTCCATATAATACATCCTGCTGTAATGCAACCTACCGCAAAACCTCACTGGCTCCATAGACCTTATCCTCGCTTTTAGAATCTTCTTCTCCCTCAGCGTTGTCAAACTGTTCGCCCACGATTGCCAATTTCTCAACGCCATTCGCGAATTTTCATACACATCGATCGTTATTTGAAGGAAAATAATGGCAAAAATTATAATGAAAATATTTACACTGGGGAAATAGACGTAAAACCAGAGCGGAAAATGTGTGCGCATACGAATCGTTACATAACTGAAGAGAATCATGATATACATGCCGGTCCCCATCAAAACCGCGATTAAGTATTCCAATAATTTCCGTATGCTTTGAAATATTACGAACAGCTTGACATATTCTGAAATCATGGCGTTCAAACGCCACCGATTTCTCGAGCTGGTCAGCGCTTTTAGGATTTCGTTCAATAATTTGATCACAGTCAGGATAAAAATAAAAGTCTGTGGGAAGAATCGACAGATCTCTCGGATTGCGACGAGGAGTGTGTAGAAGGCGAATATTCTCCCAATTATATCGCAAAACCAGGTGGGGTGTGTCATTTCAAGGAGATATGCACGGTGATCCACGTTCAGCAATTGAAATGCCGGCACGAGGAGAAATGGATAGAAGGTGAATTGGTAGACGATAACTGTCAGGACGATCCAGAAGGGATCACTTCTCATCTTTTTGGTTATACTTGTACGAACTGAAATTAACAAGGTGCTAAATAAATATACACATATGTACACATACGTTTTTAGCAGGAATGATTTTCAGAGGTTAATTAGAACTCCTGAAAATTGGTAATACATAAAATTATTACATTTAATATCTATAATATCTTTTTTTAGTAAAAATCCATATTACTAATACGTGGAGCTAACAAGGGACACTCACGACCTGTCGTTTCAGTCCAAGGTACCCACTATGTTTTTTAGAATATACTAGGACCCCAGATGAAGGATTCATTCATATTTCCGTGTAAAACTCATATTTGGCGCCATGGCGTGGCGCCAAATTCGCCAAATTTGATGGTTTTTCATTTTAAAACCGCCATAACTTTTGAAATCCTGAGCGGATTTCCAAAATTTTTGGCAAAAATCATGACAAGGAGTTAAACTTTCGTATCCCATGAATTTTTTTCCAAAATTATGGCTTTTAACTTTTCGTAATTTCGTAATTTTCTTAGAAATGGGGGTCCGTCGAAAAAATGCTAAAAATATCTCAAAAATTAAAATTTTTTTATTTTTATTTTTTTCTCTAAAATTTCGACTTTTCTGATCATTTTAAGCATAAAATTTTAAAAATCCGACATAAACTGCAAAAGTTATGGGGGTTTGAAATTGGTCGAAAATGCAAATTTTTAAGTTTAGCGCCACGCCATTGGGCCAAATATGAGTTTTACACGGAAATATGAATGAATCCTTCATCACGGGTCCTAGTAGATTCTAAAAAACATAGTGGGTACCCTGGACTCAAACGACAGGTCGTGAGTGTCCCTTGTAAGATATATTTTAATGATTCAAGTCCAGAGTGAAATAAAAATAAATGTTTAGGAATATCTGACAGACATATTAGACATTATTCTCTTTGCGTTTTAATGGTACTATTTCTATTCTGTTAAGCATGTTCGGAATTAATTACGTTAAATCAGTTTGTATTTAAATTCACAGATATATTGCATAAATGCAATGTGCATATGATGGATACATATGTGATTCAACACAAGACAGTTAACAGCCCACGAAAAACAAAGGCAAACTACCGTTTTTCCTTAAGAAAATATATGTATAACCTTACTTTTGGTATACATAATTAATTAACTCACGTTTTGGATCTTTATATCTTGCATATTGTGCAAACAAGGCGTTCCATCCTCCTACGAATTCTTCTCCATGAATTATATGCCCAATTCCCACGAGAAATCCGAACATGGCCAAAAACAAGATGATCACATGAAGAAACAAAATCGGGAGCGGGGTCCACGCCGCAAATCCATGCAATTGTGCGAAGAGTAAGACAAAGACGCCTACAATCCCAGTAATTCCAACGACAAATATCAGATTGAAATACCACCAAAATGTGGCATAGATTCCTTTCCGATAAGTCATTTTTTCCGAAGAGACGTTCCACTCCACGATCGGGCGGGATATGTAGCGTTGCATGCATTTGTCATATCGTGCAAGTACCTGAAGGACCCCAGCGTTAAAGGCGAACATGATTATGATCAACTTCAATTAAGGGAAATTTAAAATTCTGAAATATTGAAGTGACTTTTGAAAAGTCTCAATTGCAGAGAAGCGCTGGTTTACTCCTCACTTTTCGAAAACACTGGATGTATGTACATAAGTAATTCTGTGAAACAAGAATTATTTCTGTTTCTATTAACGGAATAAATTTTATGTGCCCACACAATGTATGTAAATGTATGTATTTACTTATCTATGTGTGTATCTATACACGGATTGTCTTATCCGGTTAACTTCACATTTATAATTTATAGCCGTGCCAAGTATTGGCATCGATTAAGCTTTTCATCAAATATTCGAAAGTTTTGTATGTAAGTAAATACGTATGAATTTACTGGGAGCTTAATGCATACATAGGATGAGTTTCAGCTACATACATACACGTAAGCATTTGCATACGTGTATTCTTATTCCAAACAAGCTTTAAGAAATAAAATAGTTTAATAACAAAATCAATTCTACAAGGTTAAATGAATTACTCTTTCGCCAGAAAGGCCATCGTTGCGTATGAATGTGAATAATATTCATATGGTAAATTGTTCTTTATGTACTTCTCAGGTTATTATCCCATAAGGCAGATGGGTTTTCTCCCTCAAGAATTGCGTAGAAATAGGGTTTGGGTAAAATTTTTGGATTATCTGTTAATCATACACATGTAAGTATTTAGTAGGACGGTCCCACCGTTACATTTGTAAATTCAGAGGTCTTCATACTTAAGAAGGCAACGCTTACAAAATGTGGGGTTTGTGTTAGACTCAATTAGTTCTATATATAATAACATAACTTGGCTATTAAAGGAAAATAAATTTGGGGGATAATGAAGAGTTAAAAATATATACGTATGCATCTATGTATGTAAATGTATTCGTTCTCCTCCGTTTTCCAACTGTGTTATTAATCACTTATAATTGCAAAATATGTATGAAAGATGAGATTAAAATCCACTGATTATCAACTACCACGAATACATGCATAGTATTAGATTAATAGCAGTGTCGTAAACTTGTTTACCAGTATGTCTGATCCATTTGTGCAAGTTTTCATTGATATGAGATTTTACCAATGTGTATATTCATTTAAACTGTATCTTTTTCCGATTCACATATAGCATTGCCATTATCTACCAATTTTCATTTAAGCATAACACGGATTTTTTTTACATTAGTATGTACTATGTGAACTTGAGCATACACACCTATGTATGCAAATATGAAAGTGATGCAGGACTTTCTTCAGGTTTGCGACGGATTGCACCACATTCATGAGTACAAAAATTGGTTGATACATATATATTTTATAGACCTGCTAAAACCATTTCCATTGTGTGACACATATGCGATGCCAATTTATTTTTCCAATCCAGGGCTTAATAACCCGTCGTGCCTGTCGCGACAAATCTCGTTAAGCTCATCCTATCGACTTTAAATTTTTCGAACATATAGTATGACAAGAGTCAGTCGGGTGGGGTCATTAGGCAGAATATTCCGAATGGTCCTTCCTTAGTAAAATCATTTAATGGTAAGGCTTACCTACACATTTACAAATTTGTAAATACCTTAAAACCTAGCGCTGTGCAAATATGATTAACATCAGTACGCTTATTAATAGATTTGACAATGCTTGTAATGATTGATTCGCATAAAATCATTATGTCATGCAAATGAGATCCACACATAAAGTATGATGGGTTTTCATATAGTTATGACCCCTACCACCCCACGTGACCTATTCACGAATGTGCGAATGAGATCGACCCATACCCTCGATTACATACTTTATGCACCGTCCCATTTAAATAAGTACATTTGTACTTCTACATAATATGACATATGTACATTGTATAAAGTGCACAACATTGATTACAGTTGAGTGGTGAAGATTATTACTTTTGGTCCAATTATTAATTATTCTGCCCAAGAGATCAAGTTCTATGCAGAACTTCAATTTGGCTTACATAATTCAGGGTAGAAACACACACAACCACAATCTTATCAAGATCGCGTACAATAACAGATTGACCACCGAAAAATATATAGGGCACAGAAATTATTGACGATTTACAAATAATTCGAGTAGTGTTAACCTGTCCGAAGTACAATTATCATTATCACACTATCGCGACATACCTGAACGAAATCAAGTCCCGTCCGCAAACATGATTGATTTATTTTCAGTCACAAAATTAGAGCATGTACGCTTATCATGGTGAATGATAACAGTAAACTTTACTCCCGAAGGTGTGCTGGGTATCAGATCAGCGTGACAGGGCGTGTACCAGAGTCGACCTATAAATCCACTCAGAAATCCAGGTCTGACATCCACTTCGGTTTAGGATCTCGTCCACAATGGTTATCACGCGTTTGTTCCTCGCTGTCGTCGTTATTGCGGGTAAATTATTCGCATCATGAAAATGGTGAAAAATCGGATTTAAAACATATTTTACATAATTGCCGTTTTTTGAATAAAGGTGTGGCGTCCGCCATTCCGGATTATGCATCAACCATCCGCCCTCCATCCTTCCCACTGGCGGTCAGAAATCCATACACAAACGTCTGGCTGCCCGCTAACGAACTACCGGGTAACTGGCCCGTTTTTTGGTATGTATAGATAAATTTAGCATATTTGTCGCTATTCCTGCTAATATTTTTTACGGTCAATTTTTCTCTATTTTTTTAGGACTAGCAGAACTAAGGGATGGACCGGCATGATTCAGGTCGATGGGAATCCCTTCATCTGGATGGGACGTCCGATGGAATCCGGTCAACTGATGGCCCCTTTGGCCACCCAACTCTTCTCTTATATCACCCCCACTCAAACCATCTTTGGCTTAAGGGCGGGGCCACTTGACCTCAACGTGACCTTCTTCTCTCCCGTGGAAGTTACTGACATCCAACGTCAATCCATTCCCCTCTCGTACGTCACAGCTTCTGTCGCCTCGAATGATGGGGCCTCCCACGATACACAGATTTATATGGACATCTCCGGAGAATGGGCGGCCAATGATGAAAGCCAGATCGTCAACTGGGCGGCCGCCTTGACCCCAAGCGGTCTCAAGGTTTGGTCCACTCAACTCCAAAACATGAACAAGTTTGGGGAACAGAGCGACTACGCGGCGTGGGGATATGCAGTTCTAGCCGCGGCGGGAACTTCAACTCACATGTCGAACTCAGACGTAACTGTGCGAGGAACATTCGTACGGGATGGAGTGCTTCCTAATACTAACGACCCCAATTTCAGACCAGCCAATGACCGGTGGCCTACTTTTGGGTTTGCGCAATCGCTTGGTTCCGTTGGAGTTGCCCCGGCAGAAGCGCAATGGGTTGTCGGTAACGTTCGGGACGATAACATTAACTGGTTAGGGACAGCTCTTCCCGCTCTGTGGCTCTCATACTGGCCGAACTTTCCTGCTATGCTGGACTTCTTTTGGAACGATCTTCCCACCGCGTTAGAAACCGCGGACGCCTTGGATACGCAAATCCTTACTGCCGCCTACAATTCGGCGGGACAGTATTACGCGGATATTTTGGCGTTGTCGCTTCGCCAGTCGTATGCAGGAAATGAATTCTCTGGAACGGCCGAGGTGCCAGAATATTATCAGAAGGAGATCAGCTCGGGAGCTTTTATGCAGGTAACTTTTATCTTAAACATATAAATACTGTGGAATTTTGATCACCTCATTTGCATAAATTTCACAAAGCTAATTTTCGGCGGTACATGATTTCCATGTTGAATAATATGGGCTTTCCATGTTGAATAATGTGGGTTTTCCATGAAAATATGCAAATGATGTGACTAGCCGGAAAAATTCCAATCTTATATATCTTATGCATACTTTTATCTTATACTTATCCCTTTAATGCCTTAATTTTCAGACTGTGGACGTGATTTATCCCACAGCTCCCATGTTTTACTACCTGAATATCACCTATCTCGAACTTCTTCTCGAACCGCTGTTCTACCAGATGGAGAACGGAGTATGGACGCAGGTAAATTTAACTTCCGGGAAAAATTAAGCAGCTCCTTCTCACCAGTAAAATTTGTGCATTCTATGTTTTTCAGCCTTTCGCCATGCATGACATTGGAGATTTCTACCCGAACGCTTTGGGTCAAGGGTACGGTGGCGACATGCCGGTCGAGGAATCCGCCAATATGATCTTAATGGTGGGCGATATCGCCTTCCATCCCACCGCCGAAGCTGAGAAGAGCCGCGCCTACATTCTTCGCCATTACGACATCATGGCGGCATGGGCGACTTACCTGTACGAAAATTGTCTCTACCCAGTCGACCAATTGACTACGGACGACTTTATTGGACACACCGAACTCAATAGTGGCCTCGCCCTGAAGGGAATTTTGGGCATGGCCACGTTCGCCAAGCTCTCCGAATTTGTTGGAAATCAAACCAATGCTGACTTCTACAACGCCGCGGTGGCCGAATTTATCCCGATTTGGCGCATGGAGTCGATGCATGTGGATGGTGATCACTTGAAAATGGAGTACAACGTTTCCAACGGATATCAATTCAAGTACAATGCGTTCCACGATAAATTGCTGGGATTGGGCGTCGTTCCCGCCGATATTTATCAGATGGAGGCTGATTACTATCTCACCAAGATGGAACCTTACGGGATACCCTTTGTGAGCATTAGGGATTTTACAAAGTCGGGTGAGTAGCCGCGAAATTCAAATATGCATCTGTATCAATTGTTTAAAAGTTAGTGCGTAACATGATGACGTTTGTTTGTAACGTTTCAGACTGGGAAATGTGGACCGCGGCTGCTTTTGGAGATGAAAATCCTGCCCTTCGTTCCGGTTTGGTTGAAGCGTTAGGAAAATTTTTACGAGTGACGCCGCAACGCGTCCCCTTCACCGATTGGTACACGACAGCTACGTCGAATCATGTCGGCTTCCAGGCCAGACCGGTTGCTGGAGGTCATTTTGCACTTCTCGCTTTAGAAATGGCAAAGGCCCATAGAAACGAAGTATGATTTGTAATTTGTTGTAATAAATGTTACCGTTGTCTTAATTTGGCAACCAAAATTTTCTGGACATTTGTTGTTAATTCATGATTACTTTATTTTCGTCCATCGCACATGAAATTAATTATTTTAAATGCTCTGGTAACCATGTGGAATGATTTCATGAAAATTTTATTTACATATATGTATGTAAACTGTTGACATTTATCGTCATAAAAACCTACCCACCTTTCGTATATGTTCATAATCTATCTATCACAAATCATAATACTTGAATGGTGGAAACTAATGGAAAGCAACTTCACAGCAGATCAAGTAGGTACTTGTATACAATTTGCATAACTTTTAACTCTGCTTGATCTTTACGATTCTTAGAATATCACATTGATTATTATCATTTTAAAATTTACAATTTGACATGGCATTATATTACAAAACGACACATCACATTAAAAAAAACATACATATCTAAATACGTCTCAATTTTCCAACAATAGTCCAGCATATCTACGTATCTTGTAAAAAACATGCGAGACCTAATGAAATGACCACCTCGTCTGTCCCAGGTACATATGACCACTTCACACAAACAGGTATTTATGTATGCACCTATATACATATGAAAAGAGGACATATGTCCTCAGTGAGTACAAATTTCATCGTATGCACTTCATACTGTTCCGAATATACGATGCCTATCGATGGAGTCCATAGTATGTACTTCTATCTATGTAAAACGTTTACCACAACGTTTACACGTTTGCTCTTCCCCAGCTGAGCTTTTGCATAATAATCCATCCAAATAAATAAGCAATACAAATTGCATGTGCCACATATCTTTAGTGCATACAGCGTATGTACATAAACTACACTGAAGTCTAGCCATTGCATCAATCCAGCATTGATTGCACGAGACGGTTGCATATAAAGGTTGCAGCAGTAAAGCAAATATCCCATTCCATATTCAGTTCCAAGTTTCAGTCTTCAAAATTTAGCATTTTCCTTTTTCGAAAATGTCCAACTCATCTGAAAAAGTAAAAAGTGAAAGCAACACCACCACCTGTAATGAAATCATTACGAAGGAATTTTTGCAAAATGTGTTAAAAATAGAGGCGAAGAAGAAGGGTGATCCAGTCTCCGAAATTATTTCTCACTCCGTCACCCTGGGGACGAAACCAGGCGAGAACTATGCAAGCATAATTTACGCGGTCGATATCCACTTATCGGGCGGAACAAGGCGTCACCTCTTGATAAAATGCTATCCAAATAACCCTTCCAGACAGCAATTCACAAACAATTTCAACTTCTTTTTCAAAGAGTGTGACGTTTATTCCAAGTGGATCCCGGAATTGAGACGGATACAAACGGAAGTGCTTGGTCTTGGTAACGATGAGCTTGTAAACCTGCCATATGCTAAATTTTTGCATGGCGAGTGCATCGATTTCCAGTCGGACGAAGGTTAGTAACAAAAAGTTCTCTCACAAAAAGTGGTCAGTCAGAATCAGAGGTCGGATATCTATATGCATTTATATTCAACTATTTTATTTGATGACGACCGGCAGTAAAACTTTGTGGGCGTGTTCCCGAATTCTTTTAAATAGATCACAAAAATTTCAAAATATTTCCACATATTTCTAGGTTTTCAGATAATTATTTGAAAACCATATAAATATTCTGAATTTTTTATATTTAAAATACACATTTCTTAATTATTTCAACGATACAAGACGGAGTTTTTTTGCACAAGGAAATTTGAGTAAAAAAATCCAGAGTATTATATTCAGAAATAAAAATTTTGCAAAAAATTTTAATTTTTGTTTTTTAGTACATATTTCGTTAATATTTTGGAGATTTTTCATAAATATGTGCACACCTATACACCCTCTGGTCAGAATAGACCATAATTTAAAATACATTTGTAACTCCCAGGTAAAATCCGACTAACCGGAAAAATAAATTCCATCGACAACTACATCGTGATGGAGGATCTTCGAAAAACTCACGGATTTAGGATGAACTACCGTCGCGAACCATTTGACCTAGACCACATGAAATTAGCCGTTACTGCTTTTGCCAGGGTTCATGCCCTCAGCTGGGCGTATCGTCACCACGTGGAGAGAAACATTACAGATAAATTTCCTTGCTTAGTCACCCACGTGTCAGATGAAGGTGTTGCAATTTGGAACGATGTGACACTGACCAGTTTAGAGCAGGCGAAGGGAGTCTATAATAGGGCATTTGGCCCAGGAAATGATTATTCCGCAGCAGTGGATAAATTTTGTCCACTGGTTGGCAAAATGACGAATTTTTTTACGGGACATGAAACCGCAGAAGGGTTTGACAAATTAATGCGAATTACGAAACCGGATCCTGCCAAGTTTGGCAAAGATGCTGAAAATCCAGGTTAGCAAGTATTTGTATATGTAGCTTAATTGTGATTCCCGTATTCGAATCAAGTTCACATTTCTGTGAAATTAATTACATATGACACCATTTTTCTCACATATGTGTTTTTAAATTATTCTCAGAACCATGGCGCATCATATGCCACGGCGACTGTAACAACAACAACATGCTCTTCCGGTACGATGCCACGACTGGAAAACCGCTCGAAATTGCCCTTGTCGACCTCCAACTCTCTCATGAAACCTGTGTAATTCATGACCTGCAGTATCTCTTCTTTGTCTCCACCACGTCAGAATTCAGACGAAACCATATCGATGACCTCCTCCTCTTATATCATGACACGTTCAACAACGTCTGTGCAAAATTGAGGACGCCCACGTTACCCGGATTTTGCATGGATTCACTCCAATTTCGGTTTCACCGGGCAAAATTTTTCGGCTATTACATCGCCATGATGGTCCTTCCAGTTTCTTTAAGTGTGGGAGAAATTGCTGACATGGAGAACATGGAGGAAGGAAAGGATATCACGGAAGCGTTTGTAGAACAATTTTGTGATTTTACAAGACCAAATGAGCTCCTAAAAGGGAGACTTTGCGAAATCACGAGGGAAATGATTGCGGATGGCGTGTTTTAATGCAATTTCAATTTTAATGAAGTTGGTTTTGTGAATAAATTTGGATTTATATACATATACATCGTTTTCTACATATTTTTCCACGTATTTAAAAAAATGCATGCATATAAATACTAAATAATATTGTCTATTATCTATGTAAATGAAATCGACACATTTGCATATGTGATTTAAAATTATGAAATTACTAAACAAAATGATCCACCTATGTATTTAAAACGGGTTCATTTAATTGTAATAAATCGAAGATTCATTTACAGATATTGAAATTCGAGTATTAACCGTATCTCAGCGATATGCACTCAATCATTAATTGAGTATAAAATCTGAAAGCCAACCCTTAAGTATGCATGAGTTGTTTTAATGTTGATGAACTGGGGATTATTTTATAGTTCAGCTTTTTGCTCGTAAAACACTTTAGTATTTTGTTTAATCCGAAGTAAATATTTTAGTTTTTCTTTAAGATTGCCCTACTTTATGGTCATATTTATGTTCTACCCGTTTGAACAGGTATTCATATTTATTAACGGCATATGACACATATACATACAATACTTATATGTATGTATGTATGTAACTGTGTCCTTATGCACAGGCCTTTGCAAGTAGTTGCGTTGTGTCACTTTTTTGATCACTAACTAGAAGTAGTTGAACAGTAAAAATCTATTCGCCAGTGCATTTTTAAGACGTAAATTTTATTTTTCTGCGGATTAAATACATACTTAAGACAATGGCACAAATCAAACTTCAAGAAAGAAAAAGTTATCAATTTGTAAGACATTTTTTACCATAACGTAATCTCAAATTTATTTTTAAAAGAAAATACGTACATTTGTATGTACGTTTGCATATCAAAAGATTAAATAAATCACAATCAACAGAAAAAATTCGCCGGAAGTTGTACATACAATCTGAACAAAATTTTCTCAATGTATTAAGCTTTCAAATTTATTCACAGTCTTGCATACTTCTCTTCTTATCCATCTGGTGGTCCGGAAGCTGGGGATTCCCACATGTTTCGAGAACAGTGAAAAAATTAGAAAAATTGGACGACCAAGGCGACAAATTATCAACATCGGTGTTCAACAGTACAGACCAACTAATCCGAACCACACTTAGTAAGCTTTTAAGTAATACAGAAGTTGACTAACTAAGTTTGAAGTAAATGATATTTACATATGTACGTTTGGTAGTTTTAACTTATATAAATACTTATGCTCATACTTATATTTACAAATACATGAATTCATTTATTCAGGCACGAAATCGACAAATTTAAAGGCGATCACACAGAATATGGAATCCATGAAACCTCCAGTAACACCAATTAAGGAACTTCAGGTAAAGTTAATTTTGAGGGCATTCATTATGACTATTATGAGTTCGCATCGTTAGCAATGTTAGCAAAAAAAGTTAGTAAAAAATTTTGGCTTGAAAATTCGTTTGAGAATCTCCACGGCATTTTTCAAAAATATGTTTCGATGAGAACATGAGAACTCGTAATGAAAACCCGATGAATATGTGTAGCAAAATTACTTGTTACAAAATAATTTTTTTACTGCGTAGATGAAACGAATGATAAACACATCTTTAAGAAGCCGAAATTCCCGTCAAATGAACTATCCATTCATCATTTACGGAGGCTGGTGAGTTATCGAAAGTTTAGAAATTTTTGCTGTAATTTGTGTGTCCTAAACATGCGAAGTACATATGTACATATGTACATACATAAATGTAGAATTTGAATTCTACTGTTATATTTACATAAATAGCTCACCCTATGGAAATTCAGGACCTTGGATGAACCCTTATTACCCTGGCGCACAGCGGGCGTCTAATAACCCACTCGCCACAGTTTTGAATGGCATAGCAGCCACGACGCCCTTTTTATTCTTAATTCAAAAATATTTAGAACAATTGCACGGGTAATAAATTTTCTGATCTACGAGTGAAAATAAAATACTTTTGTTTTCTGCAGCAACTGTTGTAAAATTTATTTCGACATTTCTTGCAAATTTAACATTGTCCCCGATTTTATTTTTTCCATGATTTCTGTCAATCTGTCAGAAATTAATTTGAAATTTCTTTTACATGTAGAAAAAGTAGCAAAATTACGAGATTTAAGCAAAAACCCAAAAAAGCCCATTGACCTTTAAATCACAGATTTGCAAATATAGTATGATATTTTTCATGATTTGTCTCACTCTCACCTAAGAAAAACGCTACTAGGTTTCATAGTGCCCCACTCTTGCACGAATGCGGAGACAACAACCTAGCCGTCAGATCAGTTGTCAGTCAATTGCTGATTCTACGTCGTTGACGGTTGGATGGACTTGCTGTCCGTTGAACATTGTTTATTCATTGTTTAACTTAAATTCTAGTTCGGCAATTAACTAACGATAAGATAAATACCAGGTGAGCAGAATTCAATATCTTTAGTTGGATCAATTTCACAAAGTAAATTTGTTGAAATCCAAGTGGAAGTACTTTTTTTCAGATTTTCAAGCGGATTTGATCCTCATCACAATGGAAGCTCTAATTAGCAAGCATTTGGACCATTTGGGCTTTGTGGACTCGGTAAGCTATTAATTTGGTTACAATTCTTCAATTCATACGCATCAAATGTAAACCACGTTATTAGTGTTATCCACGAAATTGTCGTGTTTTTTTAAAATTTTACGTAACACTTTGTTCCATAATTACAAATTAAAAACGAGTCATCAATTATAATCCTGCGCTGTAGACAATCCAAATGGCGGACGCGACCCATCCCACGACGAGGGTTAATCCCCACTTTTTGCGGATCGAAAGGGTGCAGAATCCTAAGTGGAGTGCCCTCCTCATCAAGACGCAGGTTTGCCGAAGCTATCCCAGGTAAGATATTTTTGTTGCAACGATTCTATTTAAAATAAAAATTTTGCTTACACGTCAAAACATAATTTTCTCCACAGATGGGCAAACGTTGGATTGGTTCCAACCGTGAAGCCGTTTACAATTTATCTCGGCGTACTTCTCGACCGAACCAACCCGGCTAATAAACGGGTTCTGATCATTGACACGACAAACGCCCACTTTTACGAGGACGCTGCCACCATTCCACCCGAGTCGCGGATCTTTGCCGACGTGGGAGAAGAAATTGTGAAGAACATCCGTTACGCGGTGAGATGCAAATGTGCATCTGTGGCTGGATGCACCTGCGGGGACGGGTGGACTGTTGAATTTCTCCGATGCAAGGAGTTCAGGAAGAGGGAAGACGTCCCTTACATGGCAATGGTGGACGAATTGGCTTCAGGAGGCTGGCTAAACACCGTCTTTTACCACTACATTAGCGAATTCATGAAAGGGGCGACGATCACCTCGTTTGGCAAAGAGGACAAGACCCAGCCAACTTATTGGACTAATGAGCTGTTTGAAGCCTCCAAGGAGATGGTGATAACCGATGTATTGTATGAGATGGGGTTCGGGTGAGTTGTCTTTTTCTAAGCTGAAAGATGGTTCAGTTCAGTCGTTCTTGAAATTTATAAATTGTTTCTAAAAAAATATGTTAATTTCATACTGGGCTTACTAGAAATTAGCAGAATTGATGACACATTAAATGAATCTACTTTTTGATTTTGCTATATCCCAATTTTTGCGTTTAACTAATTTGTGGAATGATTTTTCTATTTAGTGATATTGACCCAGCCCTGAAATGTGGAGCTTGTTTTAAGGAGGATGTATTCAAGGAGGGAATTCTGAAACGATGTGCGAGATGCAAAGTCGTCCGATACTGCTCAGAAAAGTGTCAAAAGGATGACTGGCCAGAGCACAAGAAAGTTTGTGTGGAGTCCCCTCGCTGAAATTAGCGTTGACTTTATCAACCTGGTTTTACAAATCGGACCGTTACGACCACTCAATCCAACCTACTTCAAAAATGACATAACGAAGGGAATAAGATGATGAATGAAATACTTATCAAATTACTGTTAACATGTTTCTCTCTATGGTTCATTACATTTTTTGTAAAATTCTATGAATTTCTTGATATCAATGGAAAATAATTAATTTCCTAAAATTTATGTATTGCACACATGAAATTTATTAACGAATGAAATTGCAAGAATTATCTTACACACCTCAAATTTTTTTTTGCATGCGACATATATAAACATACAATTTCTTCTCGTATCAAACTTATATCAACAAACATGCAAATTAAAAATCTGTCTACTTTTCCTCACACCATTCGTTCTCCTTACGAATTTGTTCCTCCTCCTGGGGCGTCAGATCATTCACGAGATTAAACATTGCGCGAATATCATCTGCCGTCTTGCCCTTGATCATGTTCGCCACGATCTTGCACCCGAGGTCCAACAAGCCAGTAATGTCGAGATAGTTTGCAGCCTAATCCGGCAGAAAGTAAAATACATTTAAATATTACTTATCTGACAAATAACATCGCACTCAATTTAGCAAAATATTTGTGTTTGCAGCAAGCTTACCACAATCAGGTCAAATAGCTCAATTTGTTCCATCTTTATGAAATTGGCGTCCCACGTGGTAATGTCGTCGGTGCGTCGCTCACGGGGTGGATCCTCGTCATCCTCAATGGATGGGAGATCATCCTGTATACATATTTATCAATAGTCAATTTAATTTGCAATTCATTTAGCACATATGCAAATTGATAATCAAGAATGGTTTTATTTAGTATCTATTTGCATACCTTGTGATGTTCGGCCCATGTAATGACCTTTTGCAGTATTTCTGTACTAATATTTTTCAGGGGGACGACTTCGCTGTCATCTCCGACCCCCAAGTTATCTATGAGCTGCTTGATCGTTAGGGAGCATGTGATCACGTCAACATCAACCTTTAGCATGTCCCCATCCGAAGATTCCAAATTGATGAAAGGCATCTGAAAATAATTCAAGTTGATTTCCATCAGATGTTACTTTCACTCTTGACAAAAATTCTAACGGAGTGCAAATTCTAATTAAAAAATATTTCAAAACAGTGGGCAGGACATTTAATTCATAACTTTAAAGGATCCAAATGAAAATGGTTTAAGAAATTTTGCAGGGTATGATTTGCAGGTTTTCAGAAGTAAATTTCAAATTTCATAGCAATAACCTCAATAACGTAGCTTTACCTTTATTCAACAGGTTATACAAGTACTTCCAATTGGTAGTAGTAAACTTGAAGGAATTTTGTGCTTAATATTTAAAAGTTTACCGGAAAAAAAAAGTTTTGTGAGTTAACTACTCGGTTGTCAAAGTTGGAATGAAGCTGTTAGAACTTTTTTAAGGCGTCGTTGTTAGCACGTTGATCTATTTTAAACAAGGGTCTACTATTGTTGAAAGTTTGAAACCTAATTTCGGGTACCTGACACTTTATAGTTACAATCGAACTGAATGTAAATTTACATATGTATGTAAGTAGCAAATAATAGGAAACGAACCCTTTTTAATCCTTACTTTAACCCAAATTCCTTTAGATCCATGCTTTAACGTTAACCTAATCTTTTTTATGCCTAGGTTCTCATTGTGCTTACAACTGGGTTCCACAAATTCCACGAAAAGAAGGAACTAATTTTGACTTTTTAAGATTTGTGGAATTTACAAGTTTCCTTTTTCGAACGAATATTATTTAAATATAAGTATGTACGTATTACTTTCTTATGCTTTCAAAGTGCAAAAAATTATTCCTAAGTACATGCACATTTTTTATGGGCATAAATGCATATGTAGATATCTGCATACATACAACACACTCGTAAAGACATACATACATATGTGCATATATAGTGAACGCATGGATAGTCTATTATCTGCTCCCCTCTTGGGGGAGGGTAAACTTACAGTCATGAGGCATGATTATTTCGAAAATCAGTTGATTACGTGATCGACTGCTTTGACTTTGATCTGTGTAAAAGATTTCAAATATGCAAGCATACATATGTATCGACGGGAATGTTCATAAAATACGTAACGCGGAGCGGGTAGATGGGTCGGGCCGTTGTGCCACACGTCAACCTGCGCCACACGTAAAAAATGGGGTGTAGCATGTTATGATGGTAGTGGCAGGGGTAAAAAATCACCAGTTTTGAGTTAACATATTTTATGAATGTTCCCCTTAGAGATATGAAAATTCATTGTCTTAACTACTGTCATAAACACATATTTAGATACATATATTTAGAGACGGTTATTTATCAAATCAGGTGCTAGCCTCGTGTCCTAAGCCATGTGCATGCCCCACCTGGTTATCATTTATTAATTATATTACGCTATCTGCATATTTTCACTAGTCTGCATAATTTTTACCCATGATCATCCGGATTCACAATGCAAATGTTTCACGATGCGGCCATGTGAGCAATAAATGCATATTTACATTGTGACGCTCTTTGTCCCTCGTGAACAGATAACTGCATAACTTTGTAATAAATCCCGTGACAGGAAAGCCCTCAGGATCTCATTATCTAATACAGACACGAGTAATTTCGTTCTTATTTAAGGAGTCTTCGTCTTTTGAGATTCAGTCGATCTTTAGGACGTTCGAATCCTAAGAACAAAATAATAATAATTAAAGTACCTCGTTTACAGAAAAAAGTAATACCGACACAAATTACAAATTCTAGAACATGGACGGTATACAAATATTTTGAATAAATTATATTTGTCAACATACATATATTTAGTTAATTTTCTTCTTACACAGTTTTCCAGTACATGATGTGGTTTCACAAGCAGCAATTGCTCGACGAGGTCAAGAAATCTGCGGAGGAGGAGCCGAAACCGTTTCATTTCAATGGACACGATCCAAACAAAATTTCCAAAGCAATGGACAAAATAATGGGAGTCTTACCTGCAGCTAAATTCCCACCAGTGACCCTGGACAAAAATGGGAATCACATTCAACATCCGCCCAAACCGGAAGTGGGGACTAAACTGGTAGAAAGTAATCAATAACTTTCTTTCCAAAGACGACAATTTTATTTCCATGACAGGGAGCGCAAACTGAGCGAGTGGGTGGACCAGTCACGTACGGGTCAACCACGATCGCTAAACACTTTGAAAATTTCGGAAATTCTGAAAGGAATTCTGGGAATTCTGAAAGGGCGAAACATGTCATGGGAACGAAAGAATTGCCAAAATCGGATGACATGGTCATTAGTTTGGCTGACATGTGCCTTCTCGTGTCTGAGGTGGAGTATGCTCTCGTGAAAAGGGTCCCATTTTAGACTGGTCAGCTAAATAATTGATCATGCCCCAGCATCTGAAACCCGTTTGACTTTGTGCCCCGAAAATTCTTCACTTTTTATAATAATTGAAGTATATTTTATCTTATCAATGGTTAATTAACTGATAATTGTGGAACAGAGTCGTATATATGTATGCTCGTACGTATGGACACAAGTAATTACGTAAATGTAGAAATCATGCAGTGTGCAGTTGAATGCCACGTGGCTCGTGTTATACTAAATACTTAATTACATAATTATTGTCTATGCACGTATTATGGAATGTCGTGCTGGAAAACAAGCACCATAAATGTAAGATGGAACGGAATGCTTGAATTTTGTAGTGGCCTGGAATCTAACAGAAGTGGGTGTAGTCGTAACTAATTAAAATAAATACATTCGAATTAGACAATATTTGACAATATTGCAAAAATAACTCATACTCTGTTTCTTGTCTTATGCAATGGAATTTAATTTATAGATATTAACGCGACAATATTCATATTCATATACCCAGTTACATATGTTGTTATGTTGTACAAATATGTAATTTCCAGGTACATACTTTCACATACATTTGCGTATGTAGTACCTAACACATGAAATGTGTTGTCTCAATCTGTCTCAACCTGCCACCCATTCCATGTGCAAGTGCAGCGAGAACATTGCATTTGCAATTTTGTTCATCTCGTCTCAAATATAGGTACATTTCGTTAGCAGCCTGCATCAAATGTACGATTGTACGATAAGTTGAGACTTGAGACACTATGCATCTCACACGTATCTCACTCATCCCACTTTATTGCCATAAATTAAATCATCTCATCCTAACAATTATGTATTTACGTTCTACATACACACAGATTACATAGTACCATTTAATTACTGAATAGTGGATATATAACATACTCAATTTACGACGCCAGACATAATACACTCATCCATCATTACGTCAACTGGTGTACAGATACATCAACAACACAAGTGAACCCAGATTCAAGAACATTTTAATTTAGCCTACTTAAACATTTCCACTACAAAAACCAAACCTTCTATTACCTCAATTTTTAAATTGCTACTCGCTAATGTAAAATTAAAGGATGCATATTCTTCTAAATATAGTTCAGAAGAAATTTACGGGGGAATTAATTTCTCATTTGTTACGTTAGATTTACATAATGCTACTCAAGCATACATGCAACCGCCAAATTAAGCTCATGTTTTATTTATTCATTCATAATTCCACTTGACATACGTCAACGTCCATCTACTTACATACAAAATCAGTTTAGCGTTATTTTCTGATCTTCGCAGCAACACATCATTTCCTACCGCACACGCTTTAGCAAGATCTTGTGAAGGACAAAGTGCAGAGCGTGCAGGCTGCTTATCATTTCTATAATGATGATGGGATTGTGGTGGAATAACTGGTTTCAATTAGCATGATACACACATTGCAATGCAAGATGCTTCCTTTTGTATCTAAATATTCATTAGTCCTTCGTCGTCTCTTCAGTCGTAATGTCTTTCAAGGTGGACACAGACAAGAGTTGGTCAGTCCGGATGCAGTTTTGCAGTCTCAACTTGCATAATACAGAAAAATATTACTTGGTAAAATGACCGACGGTAGATTACTATTTGCAAAATATATCAGTTCAACTTCAACGTTAATTCTTGAGGAGCCAGAAACTCAAAAAGTGGTGTCAAAGTATTCAAGTTTGCATTCGTTTCATAGCATAAATCGGGAAAATTTTAGCGAGGAATTTTGTACGCTGTATTGTATTCCTGGTCAAAAGGTATGAATGTACATTTGTAAAATTTCGTGAATTTTTAACACTTAAAAAATGTCTTTTAAAATTTTGCAGTACACTATCGGGAAAAATTTTACCAGTCGTGACAATCAGGGTGAATTTATATTCTGTTACTTTCCCGAAGTTGGAGAAGAATGCGAAATTCACATAAAACAAGATCGCACATGGTGGATTAAATCTCAGGAAGGAAACTCAATTTATCTAAACGGGGAAAAACTTACGAAAAAAGTCCAACTCCACTTTGGGGATTACGTTTCGTTCGGAATTAACTACAGTGTTGTGGACGATATCGTATCCTTTATAGAAAGAACGGGAACCAGAAATTCTGGGAAAATACCAATCTTCCTTTTTGAGGTGGTTACCTTAATAATATCTGCGCAAATTATGTATTATGACACAATTCACTCAGAGGTTTGTAACTTGGCAAAAATTATATTATGTAGGAACACGTTGCTAATCTCCGAGTGAATTCCTTACATAATTCAAAATATTCATGTAATTCATACATATTTGTGACCCCAATTTAGAGGTCCAACTTTTTGCACCTGACCAAATCCAACCAACCAGTATTAACCCCATGCCGCGAAAACGAACCTCACCCAGATGCCTCAAACCCTGGCAGCACCCTTGGACGTAATGAACACCTCATTTCCAAAATTCTAACCTATTTGCCCATCTCCACTCTCAAAAGTGCTCGTCTAGTCTGCAAACTATGGTACGAAGAAGCCACACCCCTCTTACGAGACAAGTCCCTTATCCACTTCAACTTTAACACGTACCAAACTACGCGGGAATCTATGCGGATTTTAAAATATACATATGAAATGGAGCATTTCCCTCATCCCCACTGGTACCTGAACCTCCCCGTTTTATCAAATTCGGCCAACCCGTTAACCCGAAAATTTCGGCAAGATTTCACCCATCTCCTGAAACACCAACGGAACGTAGAATCATTACGAATTAACGGGGCAATCCACTCCCCACAAGATCTCTCAATACGAATGAAACTATTTCAAGCGGTGTCCCAAACTTTACAAGATTTACAAATTTTGGGAGATTGGGGCTTCGCAAATCTTAATTTTCCCCATATCGCTTTTCCACACTTGAAAAGTGTCACCATCGCATTTGAAATATTACGCAGGGAAGAAAATAATGATAAGAAAGATAAGATTGATCCTCATCCAGGCGAATCGAGGCTGGAAGAATGGTGCACATCTTTCATGGACGTGTTAAGCTCTACCAATTTGCAATCGATGGGTTTCGCATGTTCGAAAATGTTAAGTTTGCTATTTCTTGAAGAGTTGGCGCAATTGAGTTGTGAGGATGTCGCAAAATTTTCGCATTTGCAAAAATTAATGATGCTCCATACAACCCCGTCAGTGTCGCGTTGTTGTCTCACTCTGCCTCAACAGTTAACAAAATTAGAGCTGAATTGGATATACCCGAGGAAAACAAGGGATCACTTCAATCTACGAGTTTTCACAGATTTTGAGAATCTAATCGAGAAAAATGCTCAATCACTGAACAATTTGCAATTTATTTTGCCCATGTTGCGAAAAAGGAGTGAAATTCATATTCCGGTTTTGGAAAGGTTGAAATATTTAATTATTTCTTCTGAAGGAGATTCGAAAACTTGGCAGGAAAAAAATTGCAATACTTTTTGCCCAAAGATATCATTTTGTGATGGCGCTCATAGGTCTTTGCTTGTGTACAATAAATTTTTGCCGAGGCTGCAATCCTTGCGCCTGGATATTAAGCAACATTATAAAAACTCTGCAAGGCGAGATCAAGAATTTAAAAAGTGTAGTCACCTCTTCAAAACATTTTTAGTTCCGGGTGAAAGAAGCGTTGAAAACAATTTTACCCCGTGCAAAACCTTGAGAGAATTACACGTTCCATACGAAGAGATAAGAAGCATATTACAAATTACTTCGGTAGAAATAGAGAAGATGTTCCCCAACGTGGCTAAATTCGATTAATTATGTACGAATCGAACTAAATACTTATAAGTAAATTCCATTTTCAGTATTACATAAAAGCCTCAGCCTCAATAAAAAGAATGGATCATTTACATATTTAAAAATGTGTTAAAAATTTACACCTTTAGCGTGTAAATTATTTATTTGCATATTTGTAAAACACTTTATACACCACTTACATACATAAACCCAAAACCATAGAAATCAATTTCATGTAACACTTTATTTACCATTTTATCTATGAACCTGCATAACATATTTATTCGTATAAAAATTTTTAAATTCATTGTAACACAAATATTCATCATATTCACGGATCTTTTACTAGCGGAACTAGGGGTAGGCAGGGTAGGCATTGCCTAGGGGCCCCCGCGGAGCTGGGGCCCCGAAATTCCCCTAAATTATATAAATTTGTTACCTTCCAAACATTGGGGAAACTAGGGACAAGCGTTGCAGAAGGGGCATAATAAAATCGTAACAAATTAAATTTCTATGAAGAAATTCTGTTAAATATCTATATTAGGTATAATTTCCATTCCAAGATTTCTTAGATGGGAATGGGAATTGCAACTATCAACTATCAAATTTTCTATTTATTTTCCTACAGGGTTTGCAAATCCAATCTTAATTAATAATTTTTCATGTTCTGAAATTATCATTTAGTTATTTAGCTCAAAAAGCATTAATCAAACTACTGCAAAAACTGAACTCTGTGCTACCAGCCAGCTCTACCCTCAGTTTTTGAAGTTGTGGTTTTATTAATATATAATTTTAAGTAAACCTTTGTCGTTTAAACAGACGGCGCAAAATTACCTTCCTAAAACCACAAAATGTCCCTAATTTCTGAAGTATTTTCAAATCTGTCAGGGACAGGGGCCCCCGCCGTACCTTTGCCTACCAGCCCCAAATTTATAGTTCCGCTACTGGGATCTTTAACTTTAACCCATTTTTGCACCGTAATACAGTCAGTTATTTCTACATTTTCACCTTCATTCACAACTTGACCTAACTTACATTCCTCAAATTTATGACCCTTTCCTTCCACCTTAACTTTAGTAAGGGCACAATTTTTAAATTGAATGTCACCTCCTTTACACTCCGTCGATTTAAAACCGGATCGTTCAACTTTTAACCCAGTGCAATCTGTCCTAAGTTTAACATGACTTGGGCCGTGATAATCTGGCCAATCAGAAGCCAGCTTCAATTTTTTTGCAAAATTAAAATTTTCAATGACATTATCTTTTCCAGCAATTTCTAAGCAATAACTAGACCTCGATTTTTGTTCCGGTTGAGGTGAACATTCGAAGCTAGAAAAGGTGTTGGCACTTCCTTCACTGCGTAAAATACACGTGGTTTGTGACGATTTCAAGTTTAAATTAAAGTTCTCCAGACAAGCTGAAGCAAATTCGCACTGTTTTACTGTGCAATTTGTACAATTTTGTCCCGACTCACCGTGCGGGTTTACTTGCATTTCAAAATTTTCAAACCGATTTGAGCCCCCTTTCACCAATAAAGCAAAATATGTATCTCTAGCAACTCGGAAATTGAGTAGGCGATTAAAATGGCTCATAACGTGTACCAGGGTAATTTGGCTTTTAAAGATGACATTAGTTAGGGTAATAATCCCAGCCGTGAAAGTTAGCTGGCATTGCCTAGCCTGAAATATTGTGTAAAGTCCGAACCCTTTTACTTCGCAGTGGGACAAGTTCGCATTGTTGAAATTAAAATTTCCACGATAATCTCCCGGTAGAAGTATGATTTCATTCAACTTGGCAGAATTCTCGACTGTTTTTGGAGTAGGATCCAGTATTGCTCGTAATTCATCAGAGGAGGAAACGTACACCACTTTTCGCCATCTCTCCACTCCACGAAATGTGAACGGATTATTTTTCGACCTAATAATTTTTAAAAATTTAAATTTTCAGGTAATATGGGCATATCGTCGGCATAAGTATAAAATCAGATCAGAAACGTGAATTGCACGTGTCTGATTTTATTATAAGGCCGACAATGAATGTTGTGCATCGTATAGTGCGTATGTACATATTATTATGTAAATACAAGTACATAAGGCTAAATATACATACATAACTCCCAAACTGGCCATTGTAATGTTTAATAGTTGAGTATCCGATAACACAGATTTTGACCTAACTTGAAATTCGAGCGTCTGTACGTCCATAAGCGGGAATCGGATTAGTGCCAATAATTTTTGAAATTCCGAATTTCTAAGAAATGCTTTATGTTCTTTCCACCTGAAATGAATTACATATATTTACATTTACCCAACATGTTTATAATTAATGCGAAGAACTAGTCTAATTTAAATTATGTATTTCAAGACCTGTATAAAGCTTCGAAAAGATCGATTTCATCGACAGTCAGGCTTTCATCTTTCAAAATATGGATCCAAATTTCTTCTGTCCATTTTGTCAATAACTCGTCCGAATTCAAGGCAATGAGAATATTTCTTAAATAAAATATAAACATTGTCTTTATGTAGTAGCGAAAGATGCCAAGTATTCAATATCCTTGGATTCATGGCTGAGTTACATATGCAGGTAAATATCTACGTATTACACCTTTTAAGAACCGCCCAAGCCACATTTCTTAAATCCTGATCCAACTTTTGCACAAAGGCTGCATAACAATTCGTATAATCTGCGACCAGGTCGTGCGCGATTTTAAGGGTGGTTGCCTCCCGAAGGTTTTCGAACCCATACATTTCAGCCAGATTGCTCATGTCCAATAAGTCTTCAAAGTCCAAACTTCCTATGCAGTCCTCCACGTCATCCGTGTAGATGAACTACATAAATAAGTCATACATTCATATTCCATGACATAAACTGTTAACGAAACTCGAATAAAAATACCTTGACGAATTTTTCAAATATTTCCGGGTCTATGGGCAGGCTTATCACGATTCTAATCCCAGCCTTATTTTTATCCTTCTCAGAATTCCACCGGTCTTCCAACATTGTTTCAAGTACAACTGATCTCGACCGGAGGATGAGGTTATGCCCTTTAACCTCCCTTCGTTCCTCTCCCACGACAAATGTGACGTCCATGGAGTCCTTCGAATCAGCTAAATTTCGCAGTGCCTCCGCCACCGAGTAGAATGTTTGTGTCATAGCGGTTGCCGTAGGTGATGACTTGGAGGGTAAAACTTTAGCGGGTAATGGGTCTTGTTTTCCAGAACAATTGTGCCAACGCTTTGCTTTCAAAATTTTTCTCATTACTTAAAAACTTATTAGATTGGTTGTATGAATGCAAGGTGTGGTGTTTAGCTAGATTGCATATTGCAAGTTGAAGTGGAGTGGAGTTAGATAACCGTAGCCAAACTGCATGTTTGTGCTATAATGCATTAATTCGCTGTTATCTGATATCTCGTTATCTGCAAACTCTACCTTGTCATTAATTGCGTACAAAAGGCGTTAGGACATGGTTTTGACGAATTCATGCCTTAATTGCGGGATGGATTTTAGTCGTAGAGATTTCTAACTTTTTTTATCTGAAAGCCCATGTCTCAAACTATAGGTAAGCATATCTGGCTTCCGATTTTGTGTACTCTGCGAAATGAGGCAAGGTCAAATTTGGACAGGTGTCCTTTTTTAGTTTTCCAAACCAGTGTTCTTATAAAATGGCGTTGAACAAAATATTTTTTTCTGAGGTCCTGATGCAAAAATAGTTTTTGCGACTATTTTTAAGGGACTTAGCATGCTTTTCACTATATAAAACCACTTTTGCCTCATGCTTATCTTTTAAGTCCGTTTTACAGTCTAATTTCATACTTGTCCTAATGAAATGCGCTCTTTAACGCAACTCTTCCACTTTTAAGGCCCCCACATTTTACGACTTTGATGCTAAAAATCCCTAACGTGGTTTTTATCCAAGGTACATATAGTATATTGCACTGTAAGTACTTTTGACAAAATTTTGATAAGTGGTTACACCCCACGGACTGAGTTTTCATCAGACCTTATAAACTTTTTGGAAAAGTTCCCGTCGTTTTCGAAATAATTTAACTAACCAAAACGCAATAATTTTATTATTTTGTCACTTGTACCTTGTAGATAAAATAGTTCTGCAGCAGGGGACACCAAAAGATTATTAAAATTTATCTTCGAAAAAATTTGACCATTAATTTTCCAAATAAGTTCACGAGTTTTTTAGGATTCTGCGACAGCTGATTAGCTCGGGTCCTTCTATAAAACTGTTTACACAAAATCTTGACTGTTTGTTTTAATATTACTTAGGACACTTCCAGCTTTACCCTCAAGCTGCATTTGACCCGGTGGGTCAACTTTCAAGGTCAGCAGGTTAATTTTTCCGCGCACGGTCTGATTTATCATTTTTTGGGCAAACTATCCGCGATGATGGAAGGCCCACGTTGTGTGATTCATTACGGATTCTTTTATTATTACATGCAATGATTATCTAGGGTTATTATATTAACAATCATTCACCTCTGACCTCTTTGGTTATCATGCTATATAAGCAATTAAGTTTGGAAAGTGTTTTTTTGGCTTCTACCAACTCCGGGGGCACTGTAGGGTGCATTTGTGAAGCTATCACCCTAAAATTTTAAAGATATCTTTTTGAGAGTATTATCTTGCAACATACCAAAAATCAGTCCAAAATTCAACTCCCCGCCAAAGATATTCACCCGAGAATTCGTCAAAACCATCACCTAACGCCTTTTGTATACTGACAGTGCAAGTTATTTTTGTTTGATTTTTTTCAAGTATAGAAGTTTCGTCATTGTAAAATTATTCTATTATAATTACTCTGGGACAGAATACATATACATATATACATACATACATACATGCATACATATTGGGTAGATAGCTGATTGTTCGCAGTGGAAAGTTGTCATATTCAGAGTCTTGGGATTAACGAAAGTGGGATTAATGATTAGGATTAGGGATTGATTTTTAAAAATTCGGGATTGAGGATTGAGATTAGGGATTAAATTAACTCGGGATTAAAATTAATTTGGGATTAAATCTCTCGAGGCATTCAATGGAATTAGGGATTAGGATTAATTTAGTCCAATTTTAATCCCGGATTGGGATTAAAATCGTATTTATCGTCGATCACATTTGTATCTAGTTAATGTTTCCAATGTTTTAATTAAATTGTTTGATAAGCCCTAAACAGTGTGATTGAATATTGTGGGATTTTCGGGGGATTGCATTGCATACGCGTTGAGAGCAAAAATAAGAAGGAAGAGTGGTGTGAGGAATCGAACCTCACGTCTTTCTCATGCCGGGAGAACACCTTATCACTAGGCTAACCGCCCTGCTTCCTATCCTTGCTCTCTTTTGCAACCACCAAATTCCACTATTCTCTCCTACAATATGGATTCTACCGTAACCTAATGACCGTATAAATAATGACCTAAATTGCGAGTTGTCGCTTAAGTGACAAGTCTCCATTTGATTATCATTGAGAGTATTTGAGAGTTAGTGGGCACTCCCACTGGCCACTATAGGTTATTATTATACGGTTATAAAAATATGTACTGTACACATTAGCCACATAAAGTAAGTTTACTTATTAAGTTATCACCGAACTAAAATCAACTTGAACAGATAAAGTTTAATCAAATGTTTTTAAATACATGAGCATTTGTTTTATAATATCGAATTGTTGTTTGTGAAATACAATGATGGAATTGCCGTAAATACATCGTTGATAGGTATGGGAAACATATTTCTCATTGAAACAAAAGGAGAATTGGCAAGGTCTCCAAGAATTTTCAACAGGTGGAGCTGATTTAATCCCATTTTAATCCCATCTTATGGATTACAATTAATCAATGGCTTCCGGGATTAGGATTGAGGATTAATTTTTTTTTCCAAACTACTTGGGATTGTGGATTAGGGATTAAAAGTCAAAAATTACGGATTAAAATGACACCTATTAAAAGAAATCTTCCACTTTATACGGAAATTATCAATGACATTATGTAATACGCAATTAAGCCGAGCAACGTAATGCGGGTACCTTTGTGTATAAAAAAGTATGAACCTGCCCAGATTTTAAGCAGTCTGCAACTACGCAGCTGCCTTTTTCTGTACCTTGAATATCCCTGTAATTCTAAATTTCTTATAAAATTATCAGACTTCCTCATCACATCAGCCATGAGGAGAAATGCAATCTGAATAAACCAAAAAATTATTAAGGTCAGCATTATCTCAGCCGCTACAAGAACGTATGGGATTCTCCCTGTCATTTTGATAATCATGTATCCCATTATAACAGCAGCAGCAGCCATTAAAAACGTGCAAACGGGAAACATGTACCAAATAATTTGATTCACGACCTGATTAATTATCTCAAGTTGACGATAAGTCCTCATGTTGATAACGTATCTGCCAATATTTAGAAAATTAGATCCTGTATTGCCGATCGCAGTTATCTTTTCCAATGTCCTCAGGATCAATAAGAATACATTAACTCCTTTAATTGCAAGCCCAAACATTGCTAGGCAAGTGTGAAGGAAAGAAGACGAGATGATCGTAACATTGCGAAACCAGAGGTAAGTAGGATCCAGTTTTGGGCGTAGAATTATTATAATACTACAACTTAGCGGTGTAGTAATAATGTTGGTTAGAAGTCCGTGGAGAAAAACGCCAGCCAGATTAGCCGATTGTTTCGAGATGCCTGAAAATAAGGTCATTCCAGGAGTTATTCCGCATTTAACTACGTAGATATTTCATGTATCCATTTATGTGCACCACAGTGCAATAATTTCCTTAGGCGCTGTTCGTAAACTTCGTAACGCTGGCTAACTATGGGAAGATAGGGATTTTTCCCTATCCTGTCCATACTGGCCAGCGTTACGAAGTTTACGAACAGCGCCTTAGCCTACAATTTGACGATTGGCTACATAATCGAAGTGTTTAGTATGATCAACAATTTTGATTCGAACGACGACAAATTTACAAGCCTTGCCCTACCTAAGAATGTCTTATAATGCATTCGTACTTGCACATAAATATATCTGAGGAGTATGAACCTATTTTTGCTAAATGTCTAGTCATTAAAGAAATTAATATTATTACTATTTATTTACCCCCAATTCTCCACAAGTTTCCAAGCACGAAGCAAAGCTCGTCCGCTTGAGAGTGATAAGTGCAAAAAACTGAAGTTGAAAGAGTGTGAGCAGCGCATGACATTAGGAGGATGAAATTCATTGCTACAGAAACGTCGGGATCTTTCTCGTGCGAAAGCAATTGTTTGAGCAGAATGTAGTAAAAGTTTGTTAGAATCATGGCGCAAAGAAATGAGAGAAAGTACCACGGGATCAGTTTTGCTCTTGGCGTGGGCTTGGGTTCCCATGACGCCCTGTTAAAAGTTAACTGCTGGGAGTACAACCAGTCACTGAATTTAACGAAATGTTTCAAAGCGTCGAATGGAGTGAGGGTCTATACCACGGCAATTATTGGTGGTCGTTTTGGCAAAGTCAACATGTTGGTTAGTAAACTAACATGCATGTCAAATTATTTAAGAAAGAACTTGTGTATTAGAACGGAATTTTTAGCAGATTACAAGAGAGTTGTGTTACTTCAGTTAAGGCATGTCCCAGGTTTTATTAGACAGTTGGATTTTAAACTATACTTCACAATAAGTGGAGATTGTTGTTAAGCTATATTATTTTTTTGATACGCAATTTCAAGGGCAACCAGCAGGTACAAAGCATTTTTTGTTAAAATGACAAAATTCAATAGAAATCAGGGTCAAAGTGAAAGCCTCGAGAATCGAATTTTTCACAACTATAAAATCGTCGCTTGAAATGAATCGAAAGAGATGTGACCGTACTTTAAAACGGTAGAATATCCCAAAACGAATATCTACATTTATATTTCGAAGCATTAGGATGCCAAAAAGCGAAATTCAAAAATAATTTTAGGCCACCTCTCGTCATAGTCACCAACAAAAGAGTGAAAGTCATAAAAAACTTATTCACCAACTCTTCCACGTAAAATCGTACCGCTGCCCGGGTACTGAAAATTTCAAAAAGTTTGTTGCGCAACCTAAAAGTTAATAAAGCGGGGATTACAGAAAAAAATAAATTAAGTTGCCCAAAGTACGTTAAAGACCAAAAAATCACTGTCCAAAAATTTTGCAAAAAAATGTGTCGATAAATGTCATTAAAAATTATCATCACTGATGACGAGACCTACGTCGACACTGATCCCTTAAGGGCTTCGGGAAACACATTTTTTCACGCAGGCAGTCCTGCCAATGTAGATTATCAACAAAAGTTGTATCTGCAAACTAAATCCTCTGCAAAATTCCTAGTTAATCATGCGACGGTTAACATTGAGTAAGATACCCTTAAAACAGCCAACCCCACAAATGTCCCTTATTTATGATTAATCTATAAATTTTGGACCTTGTGCCAAAGAACATAGTCTAACCTTCACTTCTTGGCGAAAAACTTGGAAAAATTCGAACGT